TATGGAGCGTTAATACCCGCTATGACGTCATACGAAATTATTTATAGCGTCATTATTGAAAATGGGGCTCACAAATGGCATAGCCTAGGGGCCACTCATCGTCTAAATCCGGCCCTGTGTATTGATAGTAGATTTTTCATGAAAGTTTCTTGTTCGATGGTGGATAAAATTGTCGCCAATAATCCAGTAATCAACGAGAAAAGCGATTTTTTTCATAACGATAGGGAATAAAATTCTATAATAAAGAAAAAGTACAATTTAATAACAAAACGATCCATAGGTTCAAAATAACATCCATTTGCACCCCCAAAATTGGAATATCATATCCATTATGAGTTCCACATAAATCCCATCCCTTACATGAGAAACACGACCAATATATTTCCACCTTGATGGACAGCCTGCATTAGACATACAAAGTTTCAAAACGAAGCGTGAGTGTAGTGGTATCTATCTATATATCTATCTGTAAAAAGCGGCTTCGTTAGGAAGATGAATCAATCACATTGGGCTGTCTATGTATGATAGCAACAAGGAAGTCGAATAATTAAATGTGTGTTAGCGAATCGGGAATATATTAATGTCTCATTTATCGTGAGCTTGGTAAGTTGTTGTCTACAGTCAATTTAGATGATTGTACAAGTCGAGTTGCAAAATAGAAAATCATTCAAATTGTGAACTTAAGTAGACATGTTTCATAATAGGACAGTGACGCTCAGACGCATGTCAGGCTGATGCAGAATGTATCGGACGCAAGAACAAAGCAAAGATAAAATACAAAAAAATTAGAAAATCATCGACCCGTTCTCTAAACCAAGCTTTAAGCCAGACAGCATCAGATCGGTTTAAGCATGCAAATGTATCTCAAATTAGATCAAATTAATACAACGCTTACAAACAAAATTTGCCAAAGAGGTTTTTCTTTAAAAAATTGCTTAAACTTATGTGGATTGCAACAATTACATCAGTAAGCATATGGTGTATATTTAATTTTCAATGCATAATGTAATTCTAATCGAAGTAATTTTACGAATTCATTTTAGTCCCCACCAGGACACCGGTTTCAACAACGGCTAGTTCAGCTGCAACAACGACGGCAGTTGACAACGCAACTTCTGAGACTGGCTATTTCAACAACAGCACTGATGGTCCGAAATTGGAAACGACCATTCCCGTTGGCACTAAAGACCGATTTAACGAAGCAAAAGAAGCCAACTACATTACATTGGTAATCGTTCTAGGCGGTTTTTGTGTCATTTTGACAGTGTTGCTGATGTATACAACAGTAAGGTATAGATAAACTACAATATATATAAAGCTATATCACCTTTTCGCAATGAATGAATACCAGTTTTAAATTCCTTTTTCAGATTAATTAAATATCGATCTGCTTCTGGTACAAATGAGGATACCTCTATCAACGAGAAAGAAGATGCTGGGGCAACTGAAGATCTGCAAGAGATGCCAGTGTACAGCACGGTTAACAAAACTTCAATTCAATCAATAAATCACGACGAAAGGATAATGGTAGACAACCAACTATATTCTTCTTTATAAATAAGCTTTTTGAAAATGCTTGGAGCTCTTCGAAACTTTACGGCAAGTCAATTGGTTGTTGAATGTAGATGTCATTGAATCTGCTTCCTGATATGTCGTTCTAGGTACGATCTCAACTAATTTAATATACTTTAAGCCGGCTAGATAGAAGATACACTTCTTCAGTCCTCCAGCGTTATCGATATAATCTGTGAAATATTGTATTTTAGGTTGATTGAATTTTAGGGTTAAGTAGAGTGTGCATTTTCAGATATTATGTTTTTGAACTAAACAAAAATGAAGTGTATTTATATATATATATTCATTTCAGATTAACAATAGATGAATTTGTCAATAATTTAATTTTTTTTTACAATCATTTTATGTGGTATTCAATCTTGAATTTTTTTAAACATAGTTTTAATGTATTTGGTTTGTTTGCAAACATTATTTAGGTGACCTTGTATACATTTTTCTACATTGGAATGTTTCAAAAAATATTAAGCTTGGTTAATTCAAGAGATATTAAATGTCTATTAGATATCGAACTATGAGGTAACAATGGACTAATTTGGTATTACGTAATATGTATAAGCAGTGCTGGATTTACCAATATAGCCTGAAGCCTCCAGCCTCGGGGTCTAGACATTTAATTTTGAACTATTAGACTGTTTTTTATTAAATTTTAAATCGTGAAGACTTGTGCCAGAATAAAAAACAGTTCGAAAATTTATGAAATTGATATTTGTTTAATTCTTTTTAATCGTCTCAATATTTTTTGTTCCGAATATTTACCGTATGAAAATTTGAAAAATTAAAAGGGTCAAATAATTGAATTCAGAGATTCAGATTCAGATATTTTATTTCGTCATGCAAGAATCAATATGAGGCAAAAGAAAAAAAAGTAAACTGAAAAAACGAAAAACATTGATTCATTGCAATTGACGCGGGGTCGCGAATAGACTCAATGAGTCGTCTAGTCAGCGACACCTTGGTGCTGTATTAAAGCAGCAAATATAGCAATGAAGCATATAGAACAACAAAAAAAGGAAAAATTATCTTCAGAAATACACAAATCATTGAAATACAACAATAGATTTGAGATAAAATACACAAATCATGGAAAGACAACAATAGATTCGAAATAAATTTAATCAAATGAAATAAATTAATCAAATAGCATAGCCTAGGGGCCACTCATCGTCTAAATCCGGCCCTGCGTATTAATAGCATATGTATTTTCATGTAAATTTCTCGTTTGAATGGTAAATAAAATTGTCGCCAATCTCTCCCAATAGTGCTTGAAGTGCATGGCGTACCTTTATTGGGCGTATTTGGGTATCACCACTCCGGCTTCATTAGCCATTTTCCTGGATACTAATTTGCTAAGGATGCAAAATAACTTCCTGTGGTTCCAACCAAGTGAACCTATATTAATTTGACAAATGTAAGAGCTTAATACAAACGAATATTTGAATGAATCTACAGTGAAACATAAAAAATACAGTACAAATACCATAGAACACAAGATACGTAATTAGTCTACGACGTCACAATCCCAAAGAAATGATCCGTAATCGGATATGCGAAAAACCTAGAAATACATACGTAGAAATGAATAAAAAAAACTAGTGTGACAGTATCAGTACAATGCAAATCGAATCCTGTGACATCTACAAAGGCACGGAAATGGGCGCTCCCGTAGTATGTGCACAACATGATGGCTGACACCTGAACATAGTTTGTGTACCAGGTTAGGGTTGGACCATAATTTTAGTCCAATTTTCCCTATTTTAGTTCTATTACGAGTTCGGGGACTAGCCAAGTGACTCCTATAGTATTTGTACCTGAAATTATGACCTAACCTCAACCTGATACACATACTACGTTCCGGTACCCGCCATCTTGTTGCACATACTACGGGAGTAACCGGAAATGTGGTAATCACACGGAAAATTAACTGCAAGTGTTGACTAGTTACGAAAACACTAACTTACGACAATAACACTATAATAATGACTTTACACATAAGCGAATCCCACATTGGCGGCAGTCCCACAAACCAGCTGAAAAAAAATGCTCAAAGGCACTCCTAGCGGTATGAATGAATATGGATACTCAATACACGACTGTTATAGACGTGGTCAGTTTCTAAATTTGCAATTGTGAAGCGAATTCTAGACTTTTGTCTCTTACTAATGAAATATAAATTAAAACGGTAAAAACGTGATTCCCAAATTGAGCAAAATCATTATCAGTGCATAGACAACAACACACCACTCATCTACTGTCTCTCCACAAGCGATTCATAAACTTATGTCATTTTAGAATTAAGTTATGTATAGTCCACTATATGCATTGATAAATATTGCAATGATGAGTTGTTTTATAAAAGTGTTTTTGCTTTTTAGAGGTAGGTATAACAATCGTTCCAATATAACTGGATTACAAGGATGCAGAATATTTAACTAGGCACCCACTATTTCCTGTTAACCTATGGTGTTTGAGTTATTATTATTACATAGTGAGCGTAAGCATTGTGCAGACAAATCGTAGTGGTATGCACAAAAATATATGTTCATAAATCATACGCTCTAAAAGGTTTTTTGTAACATAAGATATAAGCAAATTTTATTCAGGTTACTGAATACTGTAAAACCTGGTGAGTTGCTTTTGTTAATTAAGTACCAAGGAAAACCACAAGTCTTGCTACGAAATTTTAGAGTCGCATGGTCCTAATGAATATCTTATTCAGTAAGATTGACGTCCACAATAAATGGTCAAATAATCGTTGAAAATAGGGTTATTACATATTGGTAGAACTTTATGACGCAATCATTTGACTTATGTATCCAAATATTTGAGCATTTCTGTCGTGTTTCGAGCGGCCTGTTAACTGTTAAGCACTGAAATAGTGCCCATGATAGTGTCAAAAGCTCATGTCATTTCTAGAGCAAAAACAGGTTTTGACACCAGAAACATTCGATGTTTTATGGTTGGAGATGGGGTTTGATAAAACTCTGTGTCCAGTCTGTTTAACAAGTGTCGTCTCATTTTAAGAAATGGATTTATGAATTTACATTTTCAATACATGTCTATATACTGAACAAAGCTTGGATGGTTAAGTCCCCCCAAGTGAAAATATATCGGCCAAAACCACGACTCAGCATGACTTCGTACCCCAGATAATATTAACATATAAAAAATAAGCAAAATCCAGCCTATGTATTAGTTGAAATGTAGGTGAAAAAGATTATACGCACAAAGGGTTACCAGTCACAATATTGTTTACTCAATACTGACCATACTCAGACAGGATACTTCATCAAGCGTCATTTCACGATCAAAATTAGTGCAAACGAATGGAATGACTAGTCCAAACTACTATAGTCGATTAAATGTTAAACGCATCTTCATTTTGTATCCAGAAAATATAAGTTATGTGGCATTCTAAGTAGAAATATTGTTAGAGTTAAAAAAAAGAAACTTCCTAGTATAGACGGTATCAGTATATTAAAAAACAGTATTGAACGGAACTTAAAAACAATTGACGCAGAGGAAGTCACTTCATGAAAACTGATGAATCAGCCAAACTGAGCAAGGTTAATATATTATACTAAACAACATAGTTCTGTCGATGATCCATGGGTGACAGATATAAATATCTCACGCAGCATTCACATTCAAATTTGAAATGAAAACTTATATATTATGATAGAAGGTAGAAAGAAATTGTAGACAACTTTATTTGTGTATATCAGTATTTCAGGGCTAGATAAAAGAGTTCGTAAACGTTATAGATCTAACAGACTAATTTTACTACGGTGGTTCCACATACAAAAAAATTGAAAATAACTTTTTTCATTTTACTGCACTATAGCTTGATCATTAATGTATTCAGTAATGAAAGCTATGTCGTATTCTCAGTACGTTTTGTACGCGAATATTATCCTAGGTAAGTAAACGCGTACAATACTATACACTTCTAATCGAAATTTGGGTATGGTAAACAAATATTTTTGTTGTATTTAGCCTATTTGACAAATTGTTCCAGAGGATATTGCAGTATTGAAAATCTGTATCTAAACAATACTAAAGGATATATATCAACACCACCTCATCAAAATCGCGAGAACGAAAATTGCTTGTGGGAATTTTCCGACGCGTCGACATCCAGAGGAGATGCAATCATCTTGAAAATAGATGTAATGAATTTAGTTACAAAACACAGCGATGAATACTGGTGGTATAGCGTACGACTGAGCTTAAATGGTTTGTTTGATATATTCCCGTTAGCCTACTTTATTCCACAGTTATATATCATATTTCACATAAAGATTTTCGTTAAAGAAAGGGGGAATCAAATTATCTCGCAAGATTTTACTTTGGCACTCCTGTAGGCAGGCACCCTTTTTCTATTAGACCAATATCAAATGGAATTGGCTCACAATTGGCTTCGAGTGTTTTTCACCAACAAAATTTTTCTTTGTTGTACTTGTAGAGTTACATTAACAAACTTTCTTTTTCTGAGCTTCGCAGCTTGTCCCAAAGAAAAAAAATTGTCAGTCGACATACCCAGATAGCTGTGAGCTGTCATTCATTTAGTGTTGTCAATTATTCCCAGAACAGATGAAACAAATACTAAGAAATCGCCGTTGATGTTGTTCGACCTCTAGGTTTTTCAGATTATCTGATGTACTGCTAAACCAATGGGTCATCTATGAAGCTGTCTGTAATTTATAATAAAAAAGTCAATGGCCTTCAAATTGCATCCACGCTACATTTCTCGACAAGTATGGCATATTCAACATATAAAACTAGCAAAAATTTTACCTTATTTTTCCGAAAAAAGAATGTGATCTTACAAATTTTTTTGAAACAGGTCAAAATATATGTGACTTTCAGCCAGGTGTTTGCTTCATATTTAAACCTGACAAAGTTGATTGTGGAATCCCTCAAAATGCCACATCCACATGTACACACAAGATTTGGTTCACTGAAAAAGACGCGTATCCTCCAAAAGTTCTGTTTGAAAGCGACAATGATGATTACAAAAAACATCACAAATTTAAAATAAAATACAGCTACGTTGCTTGTGATAATGACCCAGGTGAGCAGTAAATTATTCTAACGTAATGTATAGGATAAATTTGGGGTAAAAGAGAGCTATCGACAACAAAATGACGCACGAACTTGTTATCTTATGATAATTTACGTACAGTTATAATTTTTCTATTGTGCGAGATTTTTACATGAACATATGAGAATCCAAGTCTAAAGTTTTCGATCTTGTTCACTCTACCTCTATGCAAATTTGGCGCTCCTAAAGTATGCGTACCAAGATGGCGGACTGCGGAACGTAGTATGTGTACCAGGTTAGGCCATAATTTTAGGTACAAATACTACGGGAGTCACGTGTCTAGTCCCCGAATTTCTTAATAACTAAAATGTGGAAAATTGGAATAAAATTTTGGCCTAACCATGACCTGGTAGACATACTGCGTTCAGGTGTCCACCATCTTGGTACGCATACTTCAGGAGTACTCTAATTTTAACCTGTTAATGTTTTCACTTCCACAAATAACAATAATGACCCATGAGTTAAAAGTATTTAGAAGTGGAAATTTCAATGTAGACTTGTGGATGTAGATATCTGAAGCTGTTTGCGAAGGGTAAACATAACTCAAGCAAAAGCATGCAGCAATGCTAATATTTTTATTCCTAACTAACTAACACACAGGCTTCTCTGTACTGTGAGCATAATAGCAATTTATTACCCAACAATGTTGCTATATGCTACGTGCTCAATGGTCACTTTTGGTCAATAATGAAATGGAAGTGATAGCTTATTCGTGAATTAGGGAAAAGTATAAATTCCTTGCTTTCAAAATTAATCACCAAGCCAGGTTATATCCATCCCTGGATGACAACCTCAAATGTAAATGAATTTAATAAATCGTTTGCAGTATCCACAAACAATGCCGCATTTATAAGCTCAACGCAGAAACCCGATCAAGCTACCAGAGGTACATCTCAATTTTCACATAACACAGCCGCTACCGTTACTCTTGGACGTACTACAAAGTGTAAGAAAATACATTAAAGCTATAATTATATCAAACAAAATATTAAGAAAATGTATTATTTTGAGCAGGGGTGAACTATGTCGCATCTTCAACAACAAATAGCGATGGAGCAATAGCAACTGGCGTTTACGAAAACAGTAAAGGACTAACAACTGAAAGCACTGTCGTCATTATTCTTGGGATCTTATCCGGGATTTTAGCGATTATAGCGGTACTTTTGGCTATAAGGTATGAATAAAACCGTTAAGCTCGATCTTTTTCAAATGGGCGCCCAATTCTTTCACCCGATAGAAACATGAAATTACATGAAATGAGAAGAATAAGGTGAAAATATGTCAATTTTCGTCAGTGGATAGTTTTCCACCTTATTTATGGTGCACTTCAAAATGTATGTAGGATACTACTTAATTCAGCGTATTGATACTTTCGATTTAGGCTCCATACAACACAACAGAAGTTGAAGAAAAGCAAAACCATTGATTTGAACGACATATCAAATAACGATTCTCCAGTAGAAGAAATCAACGATATTCCTATCTACAGCGAGGTCAACAAACAAAAGAAAAATAAACCTGTTGTTTCAGACGAGAAATTAGTTGTAGATAATGAATTATATAATGCGTTATAGATAAGAAGGAGATAGGATTATGTTTTTTGTAGTAAACTGGCGTTAATCGAAAATACTGTTTAACTAACCTGGCCTATTTTAGCACAGCATTTCTAATTCAATAAAAGAGGAATTGGTGAATATTAAAAATGTTGTTTATCAAAAAGCCTATTTGTCACTGTAAAACTATACAAGCTTGCAGGCTATTACTAATTTTGGAGTTTCATTTGTTTTATCATATCTTTCTGAGTGTCATAAAAAAAATTTCTTGTTGAAACACTAACTATAGGAAACTATTTTTATGATATTATGCCAGAAAAACGATCTTTCTTGCTATACTTTCAGTACTTTCATCCATGTATGTATAAGGAATCGTTTTGGAATTGCTGTTATTGTTTTTAAGGAAAAAAAATCCATTTCAATTTCTACTACTGACTGATCGCATATTTTCAGTAATTGAAGAAATTTTATTGTCGAACTTGTTTATACCGGTTTCTAGGAGAGAAATCATTTGAATAAGGGGATTAGTAGGAAGAAATATCCGGCATTACCACTGGTTATAGACTATGGCGTAATTCAATGTTCGTGTAACTCTATAGAAATACTATAGTATCTCAAAGTATATCAGTCAACCCTTGTTGCAGGGACTGTTTTTATGGAGTGGTGAAAGTTTCCTCCGGCTGTTACTCACAATTTATCTATTTTTTGACTCCAAATATAACAGATGCTAAAATATCTCGAGACATAGTCAAGCGTTCATTCATTTTAATTTGAGTTTATGTTGACGCAATCTCGGTTGTATTACCGCGAAACATACTTGAGAAGTCAAAAAAAATCCTAAGGGTACATATCCAGTAGAAATGCTGTTGGTTAAATATAGAATATATAGTTATAAATAGTACCGCTACTAGTAGCCTATTACGACATAATTATAAAGTCTTTGTTCCCTTTGCATTGAGAAGTCATTTAACGTACTTTTGGTCATTGATAACAGAGTTGGTTGTCAGTTATTTATGTTATCATCCTGTCAATTTTAACAAATTTGTGATTCGGACTGTGTCAAATGCCCCAATTGAAGAAGTACTACCAGTAAAATAATGGTTGGACGGGTTTCAATGGTTGAGCGCATGATCGAGAACATACTTTTAAAAGCTGGATTTTACGTATAAGATACTGGAAGCACGGAAAAGATTTTGCGGTTTCGATAAGATGATCGAATGTAATTCAATTTCGCAGTTCTATCATTTTTCCTTTCATGATTTTCTGACTTTCAGGACCCGTTCAAAAAATAGTAACCCCTTCCCCATGAGAAATGGGTAAGAATCGGGCCAAAGTGGCACTGTAGCAATAAGGGTAGTAGTAATTTGGTAGTAAAATCATTTTTAAAAAATCTTAAAATGTTACTTATAGTGATACAACAATTCAAACTCAATACAAAAAACGAGAAAATCGTTCAGAGACCGAAGACTTATCGATCGAAAGTTAGGGGATCCCCTAAAACAGCGCTCTTACTCCATAGTGACACCTTGTGTCCAATCACTAATTAATTTATGATTCACTATTTATACAACATAATTCGCCCAATCAATAGGCAATCAAGCAATAGGCTTCTGGTCCGAGATATGATGAATACACATGCAAAATCTGGAGCAGATTCAATCTCGCTTTCGTGAGATAACGCGTGCATCTAACACACAGGCAAACAGACAGACAGACAAATACCTATCAACATACTAACCGATTAAAATCGTTAAGTAACAACTCAAAACAAATAATACCAAAATATATATTCCAAATGGAACAATAAAGAACGGCTCTTCGCAGTCGGCTACTAATTATGGCCACAGCGACACAGTATTAATCAATTTCGATTGGTATGTGTTGTATAGATAGAGCAGCAATATTGAGTGAAGGCTCCATTGTGAAATGTAATCAGCAAAAATATATATAGTGAGCATAACCCGCGGTGAAAATTGTCGCTTGCTGTTTGTAAAGAAACAGAAATCTGGTGTTATCTTTCTATACTACATAAAGTATGTATATTGAAACTTAATTAACTAACAAGAAGTACATTACTTACTCACTTGTTAGAAATGGAAATTCCATTTATCGTTAGATTTGAGAAAATGAACCGGGCAATATTTTTCAAGGAAGCGTGTCGTGGTGATTTTCCTTTTGTATTCTAACATTCGACCTTGGTTTAATCTTTCATCGCAACAATTTTTACCACCGACATATCAAGTATGTCCTTTAATAAGCTAACTATACTGCAACATGATTCAATATCAGAATGACAACAGTTTGTGTCAGTGACGTCATCACCGCAGATGTCATTGTATTTTAAAACATGGGATATGACGCTGGTGACAAATCTGTTACTACGTAACATACATGGCCGTACCGTGTATCATGGTGCGAGCGCGCTTAACGTATAATCCAATCTTTGGCAACCAGGACAATTATTCCAAATCGAAACAGGGAAATACGTCAAGCATGGCGGTCATGTCGATATAAGGCAGCTCTTATTCCAAATAACCGTAATTAAATTATTTGTGCAGGCAGCTAAGGCCTATCACGCTTCTCGTGTACATTAAATTGTTTTAACAGGCAAACGCAGATCATAAGACTGTGACTAATTAGTCCATCAGACGCTACATGTACGCGGTCAACGCGATTTGCAGACACCTCTTGTTTAGGCTTATATTCTACGTTGACTGAGGCGTTGAAAGCTTTATGATGCCTTTATGATATCCTTGCTGTCTCGATGATGTAATATCCGATTCGCTTCCTCGGAGCGGCTCAGCAGTATTGCATTTCAGTGCAGGCTACTGTATCGTTCAGTACGCTGATTAGGAGGCTAAGCGTTGGCCGCAGGCAGGGTTTTGCGTAAGACGGATTATCTTTTCTGATTGTAGCTAAGTCCGAATGTCTGTAAATTTGAAATTCGTGTCACTAATGAACGGAATACTTCAATAAAGAGCCAGCATAGCCGCGCCACAAAGCATGCATAAGTTAAAGGCTCGTGATTGTGTGTGTCTCGCGCTCATTTCACGACGCCCTAAGCAGTGTAGCTAGCTTGCTCTGACCACCAAGCAACAGATACTTCAGTTTGAATTGGTGTGAAAAAAATCTAGACATAATTAAAACGAAGGTAGCGTAACGTTAGCGGAATTTGATATAACATTTCAATTCTACACCATGACTTTCATTTTATAAATGTCAGTATTTGAGCCGTGTTATGGTATGTAAAATATCAAATTTGATATAAAAAATCTGTATTGATTGTTGCAGAGAAATCTGAACATCGCTTCAACAGCTGTTTTCAATTTTATTCAGGGTAGATTATAATGTTCGCATATGCCAAAGAGTTATTTTTATGCCCGGAGCTTTAACAGTAACTTGTATACTGTAAAGTGTATGAATAGACTTTGCGCATAAAAGAATACAATTGATCAGGATATTCAGCATCCGTACATGCATGAATGAATGACAACAAAATAGATAAAGATAAAATGGCAAGTATGCTCCGATGCGTGACCGTTGGGGATGGAGCCGTGGGAAAAACTAGTATGCTTCTCAGCTACAGCCAGGGCGGATTCCCAGATGAATACGTGCCGACCATCTTAGACCAATACGCAGGTAAATATCTTCATTGTAACCGACAGACACCACATTAACATAAAATCTAATATGAAGCAGATTGCAAATGACGTAATAAACGGTACGGGTGTATGATGTCACATGATTATAAAATTAACCAGTTTCTAAAAATTCTTCAGTTCCAAAATAAAACTTTAATGTCAATATGAAGAAAAATAAAATAAAAAACCCCATGTTCGACAAAATAGTTACACGCATTCCGATGCCCTTATATAATCTTGTTGCGTATTTTATTGCCCAAACATTAGCTTATAGGTGTTACTTTGGGTATAAATCGTTTTGAATACGATCATACATGAACCACGCTCAAAGTGTACGATTTTTTTGTGGCGATTGCATGACATAATGAAATCATTCGACTTAAAATTTTCAATACTAAAATCCCAACTTATGTTTTTGTTATCATTGTAAAATATTGATCTCCAAGTTAAAAATTATATGAGATTTACAAGATTTCACAGTAACTTGACTTAGGATCCTCATAGGTTTATATAATTGGAAAAGTTAACTGACGTTGGTCGCTATCAGAGCGTACAAATTGATGTTAAATTTACTAATTTTGATTATCTTTAATAGCAATCGCTCTATCAAAAAGTTATTGATCACTGTGTTATTTATTTATTTCATTATGTTCAATTCATGTTTGTACCACGTTTGTGAAAAGGTAAAATTTGACAGGCCATGAAAACCCATTGAACGTTTTATATCCATTCCCTATATCGTTCGGTAATTTACTGGTTAGTAGTGTTTGAAACTGAAACGCGAAAATCAACTGGTAATATCAAACCTTCAAAAGGATATTAAGATCCGCAGTTGCCAAGGAGTTTATGAGGATTGGTTCGATAATTTATAGCATGGTCGTTGCTTCATCCTTGAGCAATTTTTGGCCAAAAATATGACCGACAATTTGAGTTGTATTTGAGGCGATAATTGTGTGAAAATTACAGCGAAACCACAACTTAAAAACACCATGCTGCGTAGCCAATATAGCTTTACTTAAACAACTTTAGTGATATTTTCTCAACTACTTTTAAAATGTAACTGCTGGTAAAGCTTTTCGAACCAACCAGAATCGTTTTATCCTCTTTTGACAAGACTAAGTTGTTAATAATAAGATAGAGTATTTTTAATAACTTAAACCATTGTGTTTGTGAAAAATATCACCTAAGTGAGAAAATTCTGCATCATTAAGTTCAATAAAGTCGATGCAATAAAGTTTTCTTCGCGAATGCGATTGAACCAATTTTATTTTTAAAAAAATGTTTGTTATCCATAAAAACGAATTCTATATCCAACGATTTCTAAATTGAAAAATCACATGAATTTCATAAATGATAATGAAGTGCTGGGAGTCAATCAGTAGGCATTAAATCGAAGCTTAGGCAAATGGTAAGACCACTTTTTTCTCTTCAGGCGATGATATATATGATACCTAGATCGTTATATATCAAACATTTTCACGCCATCGTTTTATTCAATAAAATTGTTGTCAAAATCGTTAGCATTTTTCAAAAAAGTTACATAGCAAATTTCCTAATTCGTGATAGACGGTGGACATAAATAAATGTTTATTTCAAACTACAGGCTGCCTTCCTTATCATTAGGCGATGCGTATAAGTCATGTAAAATCGTTATTAGTCAAATTGGTAATGTAATAGGAAGCAAGATGGATACAACATTGAAAATAGGCATAGATTATACTTGGCCGAGCCAAGTGTGCGCTTCGGTCAAGAATAGACACAAGCAATTTCTCGCTAGGAAAACGTACCAAACAGCGATGCTAAATCAATACCCATTTGGGTGGACATTGTTCCCGGGTCAGCGATTGATTAAAAGGCCATTTAAGCATACTACGTTAAATTTACTGTAATTTTAAAATATTTGGTATTGTATAAAATGAATGAATCGAGATTTACACCACATAAGTTTATATATACAATTTTTTTGAACTTTTCAATCAATATTAGTTCATTTTTTTGTATTTGGCAATGATTTCAATTTTATCAACTTTCGCCAGACTGCATCTAATTATCTATATTCTAATAAACGATTGATTAGCTTGACGCCGACTTGACAATATCAAAAATTTGTCTTTGAATGCGGAGTACAGTCTCATTTTGAAGGTCTATTGAATTTGTGCCGAAATCCGAATCAATGACCAATGTCAAAATATAAGATGACATTCAGAAAACAGATGAAGACACGCAAACTAAAAAGTGATTTAACTTAACAATGTTTGCAAGTGAATAATGCGAAACGCCAGCGATTACATATGAGTGCTAAATTCCGGTGTGATGTCATAATACAAACCTATATGTAAAACTGCCAAGATATGATCACACAAACTAATAATAATAAACCTTATTGTGCGTGTGCACCACAACTCGGCGATGTATTTCCTAATCGTCAGTATTTTTCCAATTAAACGCTACTGAATGGGGGCAGCATGGTCTAATCGTTAGTGCGTTGGTGTAACCGTGGTCGCATCTTGCTAGCCGTGGATTTCGTTGTCGGTGATTGGTCTTTTTCATTGTTCAACCCAGAGCTATAACTTCGGCCATTGTGTAAGACAACATCATTGCAAAGATGTACAAACATAAATATTTAAAAACAAGCAAGTGACACAGCAATATAAAAAGGTTAATACAATTTAATCATTTGATTTCGAATTTGTCATGGCATTAAAAACTATTAACTTATAGTATATGCCATTTTATCGCAATGTTTTGTCAGGTTTCATTGCACAAATATGACAATGTCATTCACAAACCTTGTAAGAATGACGACATACGACGAGCCAATGTCTGCCCACGTTGAAATTTATTACAATGAAGCAACAGACCAAATATGGTAGCAAAGCACGTGGGAATTCCTTTGTTGTACATGTAATAAATAAGATGACGCGCTATTTCCTAGCCCAGTAACGTAGACTGTGTTATGATTATTGATTTTATTTTTACTATACATGTATTATTCTAAAATTACATTGACATGTTTTGGGTCTGAGGTGTTTGAGTTTGAAAGAGACAATTTGTCCAGCATCTTGTAGGGACTTTGTTGAAGTATTACATTTATTAAGCCTAATGAATCTATGATGTTTAGGATTAATCGGTGTATTTTATCGTCCCAAATTATGGCTTGTTTCTCGATATTGTTCGGATTTTCAACATTCTTGCCGTATTGGTGGAAAACGATACCCAACTTTCGCAAACAAATTTAGTACAATATGTTACAGCTGTTATATTTTAGAGTCAGCTATTTACTTCAAATGCATCAGCGCACTTTGTGTTTGATCATGTCACGCTCTATATAAGTTCGCTTATAATTTAAATGTCAGCTTCAGTGGTAGTGCTAAATTAAAAAAAAAAATTGCATGCATAAACTTTGCTTCATGATGCGCAAGTGAACTTGTAATGCAATTATTGTTGCTTGACATATTTTCGTGTCCATATTGTTTTTTGTTTTGTTATCCATACAGAAAGGAGCTACCGCCGTCGTTAGACTGGCTGTCGACTTTTTTTTTACATATATGTGCATATATCACCAGACATTGATTGATAAAATTGTAGAAACAGAGATAAAATTTTCTTATATGTGGTAGCAAAACAATAATGTCGTCAAGCCATGCTAGAAAACAAAGGTGGATACTTTACTTCATAATTTGGAGGCAAAAGCGTGACACTACATTTTTGACCGGCATTCGTAGTTCATTTGTCATTTATGTTTTTCTACAGCTAATATCACTGTCAATGGAACTCCATATATCCTTGAACTTGTGGACACAGCTGGACAAGAGGATTACGATCGTTTGCGACCTCTTTCTTACAACAAAGCAGATATATTTTTAGTTTGTTTTTCTGTAGTCGTACCATCATCTTACAACAATGTTAAAGAAACATGGATTCCAGAGTTGCACGCAACGAAATCTAATGTACCGTTTTTATTGGTAAGTCCCATCTATATTTTTTAACCTGCAGATTACAAGGCCAGTGCTCAGTTGATATTGTCAGTACAATATCCCGTGCTTATAAGACAAAAATTTGGTCAGTGATTCTCGCCTACCTTTTTATGTGTTTGAATATTATTGCATTGACGATTCCTAGTTCATTCTATGGGACCGTACACTTGGCCTTTACCAGCTTCCGCTCTTGGCAGCTCTACAAACGCTTCGCACAAATTCACGCGCGCAATATAGACTCGCTGACTGACTAGGCCTAACTCAATTACAAATCTACGTATATTATGCAGTACCCCTGGGACCTGGTCGGTTTTATTGGTTTCAAAAAAGGTTATATATCCCTACAGCAAATATACAAAGGTTTTGCAGGGTTCATGTACTCTTTTGCAAGGTTCGAACGACCTATTGTTGAAATTTCTTGCTACAATCGAACGGAAGTCAATTTCACCGCTTTTAATTTGATTGGGTCAAACTCATGAGCACGTACACAGCAAGGCATTGTAATGCCAATAGTTGAAGCAAAACATTGTTCATGATAAATCATTCCGCTTTTCCAATATCATTAGGTCTAGCTATCATTTTTAGTCTTTTAGCTAGGCCATCATTCATTCGCTTGGTACACAAGTGCCGTTATCTTTACATTTTGAAAAACGTCGCTACGTCAGTGTATTTGCTGAAAGATTCTGTGGATTATTGCTTGAAGAATATCATGGACGCCGCTAAACTATCACAAGTAGTGTCAAATATTCCCAATTCTTGACTTAAGCCTAATTTATTCTTTGTATGAAATTGGACTTTTAATTTTATTTTCGTGAATGCCTGGTAACTTAAGCGATGCATTGAACTATAAATAAAACAGATTGGCAAAATGCAATGGACCTGTTTTTGTCCGAAACAAGGTAACCAGTAGTACTGAGAATAAGGAAATTTGCCCAAATGCGTGTCGACGATACCAAGGGCCATTGGCTCAGTCAGACCAGACGACCAATATTTATTTTGTTCTGTTAACAGGTTGGAACCCAAATTGACTTGAGAGATGATCCGAAAGTATTACAAGATCTTCACTCAAGAAAGCAAAAGGTTATATCTAAAGAAATCGGACAAAAAATTGCCAAAAAACTCGGAGCAGCGGGTTACCGAGAATGTTCAGCTTTGACAATGGTCGGAATTAAGGACGTTTTTGATGAAAGCATTTACATTATTCTCAACCCACCGGAAAAGGAGAGGAGTATACGAAAAACTTGCTGTCCTATATCCTGATAGGTGGGACACGAAATGATCAAAATATGGAAATATCCATTCATATGTTATATGGAGCAAATCAATCGGATCTGTATGCTACCCGCGTGGTCAAACAGTTTCTATCGTGAAACAGCACATGTAATTCCTGCCAATTATATAAAATTGCATGGACTTGTTTTTCTTCCAGGATTGTTTTCAGGAGTGTTGGGCAAAGTCGGACTTATGCTAAAAACTAGAATACAAACAATTTTAACACGAGAGAACTTTCGGTTGTTGTTGTTGGGGTAGAAATGGCGGCGGTTGTTGACTTTCCAACCACTAGACCGACCGCTGTCAAACTTTACTAGTCTAAAATCAAAGTGTTTTCCCGGATGCTGTTGATTTGCGTTTATCCCAAATTTTGAAAATGTTGAAAATTATGCCACTTGATTTTATCTAGCTTTATCTCGTTAAAGTGACTCGTAGCGCCATAACTAACTTGATCTGTAAATGGAGCGATTATTATAATTATAAAATCATCGCGAGATATTGCGAATAACTAAACATCACACATGTTTTTATTAGAAAATTTCTGTATGGCAACAATATGAACAAACATTATATTGTACACAATATTCAAACATTGCACACACAGAAAAATCACATTTTTATTACGGTGATTTATGCACGTCAATGTAGTCTCCTATCGTAACAATCTTTCCACTTTTGCATATGGATACACGTTGCATTGCTTTAAGAAATTTATAGACGTTTAGACAAAATAGACGTTTAAAAGTGTTGTGTGACCTTCAAGTTTTGGGTGTCACAGTGAAGCAGAAGGTCTATCCATAGCTTGCACTTCTTAATTAACCTTGTTTTGTTGCATTTTACTCAGTTATTGCATTCAAATTCCGAATTACAACTCGTCCGAATAAATACGTTTTATAAATATTGCTGTTCATCTAAGATTTTTGCTGTATATCATGGCACCTTGTACTCTTCGTATTCCTCTATTTATTGATACTTTTTTCAATTTTCCCACTTTTATCCATTTTCATTTCTGATTATCGAGAAAATTTTGTTATTGGCAACACGTGAGCGTGTTTGACCTATTTCAAAATTTTCGTAGCAAAATTAGTGTTTTTGATGAAATTAAAAAAAATGAACAAATAAACACCGACTATTTTTGTAAATATCATGGTTTAAGATTCAAATTTGTCGCTTGGCTGCAATTGCAAAAACTAAAATGAAAAAATAAAAGGTAGTGACGGTATCTAATGAATATATATACCAGATAATATTTTAAGGTAAAACATTTAGCTGAATTTCTTTTAAAATCTGGCATCTTCAGAACTATTGGACACAGCCTACTTACTACAACTTCTTCATTTCATATTTACCAAATTAGGGTTTTAAAAGATTTAAAACGAATTATTTTCCTCAATTTTCTCTCACCACTGGTTAGAACATGATTCTCTAAGCTGTCACATATAGATTTCAGCTACTAATGATCTGATCTAAATACCAGAATCTTTTTCCAAAGGGGTTTTCTACTTTCCACTAAATTAGAAGTGACTGGACTGACTAGAACTCACAGACCCACGGTAAGGTAATGGGCTTGGAATAGTCACTGCATTCACTAGAACTCGGAAGTAAAGTGATGGACTTCAAAAAAGTACTAGACTGACCAAAACTGGAGGTAAGGTGATAGACTTGAAATAGTTAATAGACTGACTAGAACTGGAGGTAAAGTGGTAGATTTGAAATAGTTTAGTAGTATCTAGACTGGCTAGAACTCGAGGTAAGGTGGTAGACTTGAAATAGTTACTAGACTAACTAAAACTCGAGGTAAGGTGGTGGACTTGATATAGTCACTAGTTCAGCGTTTCCCAAACTTTTTCGGCCACGAAACACTTTTTATCTCGCTTCGCGGAACACCTGTTTGCCTGTAATGTTACGTCTAATGGAGAAAGAGAAGTACCTGCCGCAATTAACTGCAGACCTGCAGTTTATTTACCTGCTGAATCGAGTTTAGCGAACATGAGTAACTTGTTCAGCATTTCAAAGTAAAACCAGGCAGAGATGGAGGAAGAAGAGTTGACCTTTTGCCTTCATTCTTCAAAGTTTAGACATACTTTTTGCCTATGGCAAAACCAAAAGGATTGCTGTAAACTTGATAATGAACTAACAACCAATAAGCTAGGCCGACGGTTACTGAATTACGAAAATTCAACTATTATAGTTAGTCCGCTTTGGGTCGACTGTGACTCGATGTTGAGCGACAACTTCACGATCCCTAGATCGCCATGGCGACCAATTTAAATGTATTTTGATTTTTTCCCCGGAACACTCGGAAGACTCTTGGGAACACTAGTGTTCCGCGGAACACAGCTTGGGAAACGCTGCACTAGACTAACTAGAACTCGAGGTAAGGTGGTAGACTTGAATTACCAACTAGGTTGACTAGGACTGAAGTTAAGCTGATACACTTGAAATAGTTACTAGACTTACTGGAACTGGAGGTAAGGTGGTAGATTTGAGATAGTTACTAGACTAACCAGAACTTGAAGTAAGGTGGTAGACTTGAAATAATTACTAGACCAACTAGAACTCGAGGTGAGGTGGTAGACTTGAAATAGTTACTAGACTGACTAGAACTCGAGGTAAGGTGGTAGACTTGAAATAGTTACTAGACTGACTAAAACTGGAGGTAAGGTGGTAGATTTGAAATAGTTACTAGACTAACTAGAACTCGAGGTAAGGTAGTAGACTTGGAATAGTTACTAGACTGACTAGAACTCGAGAGAAAGGGTGGTATATTTGAAATAGTTACTAGACTGACTAGAACTCGAGAGAAAAGGTGGTAGATTTGAAATAGTTACTAGACTGACTAGTTCGAGGTAAAGTGGTAGACTCGAAATAGTTACTGAACTGACTAGAACTCGAAAAAAGGTGGTACATTTGAAATAGTTACTAGAACTCACGATAAGGTGGTAGACTTGAAATAGTTACTAGACTGACTAGTTCGAGGTAAAGTGGTAGACTCGAAATAGTTACTGAACTGACTAGAACTCGAAAAAAGGTGGTACATTTGAAATAGTTACTAGAACTCAAGAAAAGGTGGTAGACTTGAAATAGTTACTAGACTGACTAATACTCGAGGTGAGGTGGTAGACTTGAAATAGTTACTAGAACTCAAGGTAAGGTGGTAGACTTGGAATAGTTACTAGACTGAATATAACTTAATAAAAGGTGGTAGATTTGAAATAGTTGCTGGACTGACTAGAACTCGAGGTAAGGTGGTAGACTTGGAATAGTTACTAGAACTCGAGGTAAGGTGGTAGACTTGAAATAGTTACTATACCAGGGGTCACCAACCTTTCCGAAGCCGAGGGCTACCAGTTCAATGCACACGCAAAATTCAATTTGCTCGATTAAGCCCAACTATTGATAATTACTGGTATTTAGTCAAATATACCACAGATAAAGTCTAAGATTTTTTAGGAAATTATAAACGATTATTACAACATAGCAAATGAATTAATATTAATGATACTTACATTTTTAAACTGAGTGTTTTTCAAATTGATTCTGAAATGATCACTACTGTAATATACCAGGAAACCCCAATGTACCTACATTTTTCACAAACACCCTGCACAAGCCTAAGATAAAATGGACTTAACAGTTGTACTATCAAATGTTACATTCTACAAACACTTTCAACAAATTATGAATATCTTATTTGCAACCAGGAGAAAACCAAAATCAAACAATCTGGTCTATTTCCTCGTCAGTTAGTGGGAAACTTGGCATTTCATATTCTTCACCAGTGTGTTGTACTCTGGCGTGTAATTTGTCACTGCAACTCTGAGCGAATCTTGCAGATCTTCATCAGTGAGGAGTGTTCCGTGTTTAATCTTGGTGAAGTTCATGTCAGAAAATGTTGATTCACGGAGATTTACATTACCGAGGTCAAATACAAATCAGGATGATCGTTACAATAATTAAGATAGTGTCATTTCCAGTTCCCACATGCAGACATAAGTGTGATTTATACAAGAATAGCATGACAAAAATTAATTGATGTGGCTTACTTATAAGCGCCGTTATTAAGCTTATTTCGGATAAGACCTGCGGGCGACTCATGCGGTCTTCACGGGCGAATTGGTGCCCGTGGGCAACGGGTTGGTAATACCTGTACTAGACTGACTAGAACTAGAGAAAAGGTGGTAGATTTGAAATAGTTACTGGACTGACTAGAACTCGAGGTAGGGTGAAAGACTTGAGTTAGCAACTAGACTGACTAGAACTGGAGGTAAGGTGATATACTTGCCATACTCGAGGTAAGGTGGTAGACTTGAAATAGATACTAGACTGACTAAAACTCGAGGTAAGGTGGTGAACTTGAAATAGTTACTAGGACCTAGACCGACTAGAACTCGAAGTAAGATAATTAACTTGAAATAGTAACTTTACTAGACTCACTAGAACTCAAGGTAAGGTGCACAGGTAAAAAATATGAGAAATTTTACCATGGTAAACTATCGTGGAAACATCGATTGAATTGCATAAATTCTGACAGAGACTTTTAATCGCCAGTGAAATCAAAACTGCGGAACGCTACTATATATATGATATATTATTTATTTGCATTAATCCTAATATGTAATATGCAGCAAAAATCATTCATTAATATAATAACATATTGCCCAAACACGTCTATAACATTATCATTTACTTTCTGATATAAACGACCCATCAAACATTTAAGTTTTGTAAAAGCAATAAACAAATTAAAATTCATAAATCACACATATAATGTATTCAAATATTTCAGAAAATATACCTTTTTCAACAAAAATACTGTAAAAATAATATATCTCAAAATTGTCACAGATGTATAGTACTGATTGCCATTTTTTATTTAAAAATATCTGATATTTCAAAAAAATATATATTAACAAAAACTAAGAAATAGACAACGTACAAAAGCGATATATATATACATATCGGAGCGGTGAAAAATATTAATTTTAATTATATTTTTTTTCAAAACAGGATGATTACAATGTGTTCTTGGAATACGATTCAAAATTTGAAATTCGATGAGTGACCCCCGCCACTGCTATTATTATTGATTAGTTTGGATTGCAGTATTGTCCCTTTATTTAAATGTTGATCATGTTCTCGCTTCAAAAATCTCGTTGCTATTCTGAAAAAAAATAATATAGATTTGTATTGGGCAACACTTTATATAAAAACAAGAAATGAGAAAATGTAAGTTTAATCCAACATAGTCCAACAGATAGTAACAAAGGTTTAAATGAGCTATTTTTCGAACAGATGCCAACACGACAAATGAATGCATTGTTGCATTGACTGTGTCTTGCAGCAAATATTGATACTGTCGCTACTCTTATCAATATGACAACTATAGTTCTGCTGGAGCTACATAAATGAATAACTTAGACTAATATTGTGCGAAATAGAGATTTTTATTTACATTTATTTTTATCCTGTACCCTATATATATATATATACTGTAGATTTGGGGGTTATTATTCAAGCGGGCATCTTATAGCCAAAGGAGAAACCTGAAAACGACCCGAGCAAAGTTCTTACTTTGCATAGAAATTGCGTTTGAAATCCGTTTTTGTATTCCCAAATTAACGAGAATTATTTACTCAATTGTATATAAAGTTTTTAAATTCGATGTGGAAAAAGTTTCAGCATTATTGAGAGTTACAGTCAAGTGCAATATCAATCGAACAATGTTATCTAAAATCCACTTACTGTCTCACGAGTCTGTTGCCTTCTTCTCGTTCGTGAATTCTATATAATTCTTGTTGTCGGGGAGCTACGTATTCCATTAAATCAAGAGCTTCTTTAACTCGCTTCAAGATGTCGTACTTTTCTCTCCCACGAATCTACAACAAAATAAATAGACACATAAATAGAATACAAAGTATATTTACCAAAGATGTAACATTGTCAACAGTCATATTAAGTGCCCAAGATTAGTGGCGCGAGTGCCCAAGATTAAATAAAAATCAGTGTTTTTAAGATAATGCATCAGGACGCTATTGTTATATAACAAAGAAACAAACCTTTAAAAAATATTCTTCCGATTCCGGATCTCCATTTTGTCTTCTTCGTTTTCCGAGTAAGCTTGAAACTGGTGAAACAACTGTTTCTGTATCTGAAATGAACAAAAATATGAAAGAGTATGCCCACAACGAGTTTTGTTTTTACCGTTTTGTAAGTGTAATAAATGTAATTCGGATAATTTGGACTTGACATTACGATCAGACAGTTTTCTGGATCTACTGGAAATTTTCGGTGGAACATGTATTGGCGTAGTCACGGACTGGATTAATTTGTTGATCGTGCTTATCTGTTCGGTCAATTTAAACCAACAATTTTAATTTTATATAGGTAAAGATCCGACGTGTTCCTATTTTTTGTCCGATTTTTATAAAAAAAATTGAAATAAATTGACATTTTCGCTCTCTCTCTCTCTGTCTATATATATATATATATATATTTCGATATGTACTCACTTCGTTCGCGAATTTCTGGAATATCACAATTCTGTTCCTCTCTTTTGCATTGTCCATGAGTGAGAGTGTCTCTCCTCATGACACGCTTTTCTTCTTGGGCACGATCTCTTCCGGGACATGAACAAACACGCATTTCCACAGCCCTCCTGCCTAAAACTTGACCTCTGTGAAAATAGTTTGATAATCAATAAAAAAACGAATCAAAAATTACTAAATAATTGATTAAAGAACAATATAGTTCTAACCACAGCTTAAGAACTTCTCAAAACATTTCAAACACAGGGAAAAACAACTAAAATTAATAAATTGTCCAGTTATCCAATCATCTAAATTGAAATTTTATTGGACAATTCAAATTTGTTAAAATAAACATTTCAAAAATTTTGTATACACAAGAAAAGCAACGGTAGCATCAACTCACTCCATATTCTCAAACGTAAACACCAACATAAGAGGTCTTCTGTTTATTCCGCCCACACAACTTGACAAACACATAAATTTGAATAATACTGTGCTGTATTCTGTTCCAACCTTGAAATATAAACATAGCATATTACTGTATATTTGTGTGAATAACAAAATACGTTTCTCTGAGACCACATTGCACTAAATATATAGAAGAGGGCGAGAAAAATTCGACAGTATAGCGACAAAAAACACGTAAAATTCAAATGCTCAAGTAAGACACCAAAACCTGGTTTAGTTTGGAAATCATGCATTTATGATATACAGTTGTTATTTCTTTTATAAATAGACTGAATTATTTGTCCATTGCGCAAAACAATTTTGATTTTTTGACGTTTGATTTTGCTACAAAATATATATTTTAATCCAGATTGTTTAATAATTTTCATGATGTACCAAATATTTATTTTTTTAAGAAACCACACAATCTACGATCTACCGATTTGTATGTAAAAAATTGATAAATTATTGACATACCTGTGGATTTTCATATATTACTGATACACTCTCTCTTCCATCTGCACCGTAGTTATACTGCACATTATGGCGACCGGTAGGCATTTCTACGCGTATTAAATGGTTCACGGGAATATGATTTGGAGTTCCTGAAAACATGAATATATTAAATTAATCCAAGTAGCCAATATTGAAATTTAAAATTTGTAGTTTTGAAATACAGTATTACAATATTTTTGTTGTTGGCTGAGTCGCTGCAAACACTTGCAAACCATCCCATCAAACACAAATTGCCGTTGCCAGACAATTTCTAATATTAAAGCTATCAATGACAACGACTGTTTGCTTACTTGAAAAGCGTAAAGAACATTGTTTGTATAGTTGGAAAATATTGCTTTGTGGGGGACATGACTTGGCATTTTAAACTCTGTGAAGGTTAAAGGTTGTTTTCAACTGAAAACAGTCGTTGTCAGATTGTAGTTTATTGTATCAACAAGATAAAATATTTGGGACTTGAAGTTGGAAAAGTCACGGATATTGGAGTGCAAATAAGTCCCGATTACACATGATCTTAAATATCATTCATTACACTTGAACAAGAATTTTATTCTTCATATTGAAATTCCATCAGAATAAAATACATGTAATCTTTGTCGTGTATTACTAGCAATTCTACTACAATTTAGAAATTGTTCCAGTCATTCTTTCACCGGTTAAACATTTATTAGTTTTCAATAGATAATGTGTAATTGAACAGGGTTTGATTACAAAGAGAAATTTCAACCAGGATTTTAAAAACCGGAGATATCTACCTAGCGAATCCAATAAATAACCTACTGATCGTTTTGCGAAGATGCAATCAAAATTGAACGAACCTGTATCTGTGATTTTATGGTTCGGGCATCTCGTTACAATGTCTTTGATATGTTGCGCTCGTTTAAATATCGGTGTTGCTTTAATAATACATCCTTGAGGAGGAGGAACATTACACTTGAAATGTATTGGGCAGGTAACGTTCATTTTTACAAATAGTTTATTGAGAATTGAAGAATGCTGTATGAAAAAATATAGCAAATTAGAGCATTTTAGAGTTTTGTGGCCCCGTGATTATAGATATAAAAACATGAGACCGTAATATATTATTTGAATTTTTTCAAGGAAATTTTTATCAGCTGAGAACTAATGCCAGCTAAAATATACAAAAATTTGTCTATCACTTGAAACATTACGTCAAATTTTAAGATAAAATTGAAATTAAAATATGGATTTCAATATTAAATAACAATCCATACAATACAGAAAGATATTTACCGTATATTGTGCATTTTTTGGAGCGGATGGTGTCTTCTCTCCAAAATATATTTCAAATCCATAATCGCCTGGGTAATCGCTGCCAACAAAAAAGGTCAGTGTTAAACTTAAAAATTTTAACTTCTGATTAAGATCAATGAAATTAAATATTGATTTATCTATAACTGAAAAACACTTACTTCACGGGAAGTACCATTTTTTCTTGTGGCATTTGATACTCAAATGGGGGTCCTGGGGTGTAAGGACTGTGAGTTGTAACGGCCGGGTCACCCGTGTTGGGGCTACTAGTATGAACATAGACATTTTGAGCTGCCGCAGTATGCTGTGCATGATGATCTTGCCCGTCCAACGTTGATGATTGGCTAGCAAAAGCAGCGATTGCACTTAAAGCACTGTCGTTGTTTGAAAATACGTTCTGAAGGTCGAAAGAAAATGAATTAATTGTGGTACATCACATGTGAAATGTGCCACTGACAAAATTTTGAAATTTAGCTGAAATAGTGTTTCTGGGCAGTATTATCACACATCTCCAATCTTCAAAAGTGTAATTTTTCCTGACTTTCAAAACAAGGCTTCTTGCTATTAGCCACTTGAATATAGAATAGTTATATGCTCGATAACCTAAAATGTTTCCTTTATCAAATTTTGTCTCGGCTCCAACAAATTGCACCAATCACTTTGAAATCTAGCCTAAAGATATGCGTCACGCTGATAAAACTAAGCATACCCTACCTGAACACAAAATTGACAAAAACAGCCTACGCCTAAACACGTCTAAAGCGCGGAGGAGACGTAGCCTAACATTAGCCCTCGTATTCACAATATAAAATACAAATCTTCTTACCGTCATGTCGTTCTGAATAACCAGTTGGGACATGTTTGTCTGGATCTGAATACTTTGCCAGGCTTGCCCTCAAACGAAAACCTGCCCACGAAAATTTTTTCCTCAGTACATTTCTTATGTAGGTGACATGGATCTTTAAATCTCCGAGGCGATGTATAACAAAGGCGGCCGTTGGCTGAGCTAACAATTATCCCAGATTTTATTCAATATTAAATATGTATGTATATATTTTAAATATATTTGGATAAGAAACTTTCGTTCGTGCTGTCATTACACACACAATAGGTTAGCTATAATAATAAAACGGTTTCTTGGAGGTTATAAGGAATTACGTTCGATTCTTCGGCCCACGCCATAAAACTGACCTAAGCTGTAACGGCACTTCTATTAGCTTTTCTCTCAATAGCATATTTAACTACAAACTCGGCGAGTTATTATTCCAAACAATAGATTTGAAGAGGATTTATGGCCAACGGTTTTAAAGGGAAAGTGATAAAAAATAAACAAAGACAAATTCAAGTAATTTGGAGATTTAAACTTCGTACTGGTAAAATAAAAACTTTTTGATGGAAAATAACACCCAATATTTACTTATATTCATCTCTTGCACTATGCTCGCTGAAAAATAATATAAATATACGATGCTTGATCAGACAATTCTCGCCAAAATTGGACCCCCGTAGCAATTTGCTAACATACTAATGTTAAAGTTGTAAACATTCTGAACTCTTCTCATTTAGTGATATATCATAGGTCCAAAAACACAACGGATCAAATATGTGGCTATGTATTTTAAAACGTGGCAAGTCGTTGGTCAGAATTATTGTTGTCTCTCACTTGTTCTTTCAGAGATTTCAGACACGAGAGAGAACCGTTGGAATTACCTAACAGACGGGAATATGAGTCCTTTTGTTTGTCTTCAGGTAAAGAAAGGCGTGTTTGTTTTTCGTTGTTCGTTTGCCTCACCGCGAGAAAAGCTCGTTCGTCAATTGTAAATTGTCTTCGCTTGGGTAGCGACTTTTATATGTGTTTGTATAAAGTTTGGTTCATAAGCCCTGTCACCGTCGGCCTATAAAAAGCTATGGATGAAGATCCTATCGTTAATCAAATAATGTGTTGGTGTATTAAGTAGCCAAAAGCCACCAAACGTTTTTTGAAACATCATATTAATTTTATCACGATATGGAGCGATATTAAAATATCCAGAAAATAGGTAGTGAAATTTTAAGTTTCACACTTTTACACAAATCAAAATTTTTATCAAAGCCACTAGAGCGCAAGGTGCAAGTAGTCTACATGTTTGAGTGGGTTAAAAATTTCTGCCCATACACAGTCTACCCTATTTCATTTATCATGAAACTCCGCCGCATCATCCCCTTTAATGTAAGTTGCATAATAAAGCGAGGCTTGAAAACTTTGCTCTTATATTGAGGTTTTCTTTTTTTGGAAACAACAAATTGTTGTATAAGAAAAACACCATCACCAAATATTTTGATTTGAAATTCACCAAAAACAAAAAATCGTTTTAAAGACTGATTAGAGCAATTCCACAATGACTGCCATACCGCAAAATCGCCATTCTTCAGTCAGATCTCAAAGCGTATACTTTGTTTGGAATATTAGACCTAAATTTGGTTTGAAATGAAAATAGACCTCTGCAAATTACACCGAGTTTTTTATAATTTTTAAAAATTGAATGTCTTTTTTTGTATTTCTTACTAGAACTATGAAACATATATATATCCAAAAATATTGAAATGTGATATCTTGTTTTTGAACTTCACCCATTTTTAATGGAAATCACGCATGGGATATTTTAGTACAATATGTCATATATATATACTGATTTAGAATTTCCAATATTAAAGACATATATATATTCTAATGTTTTCTAGTTAGGTGTGTGATCCATGTTTTTAATAGTGATCTTCTTCAGTGGTCGACTCTCTTTATCAACCGGTGTTTCTGCAATTTTATTGAAGACTTCCATACCTAAATACAAATAAAAAGTGTATAAATTAATAAGTATTTTAATTTTTATCATGAAGACTAATGATGGTTTTCAATGTTCTACTTATAAATCAAATAAAAAAAAACTTTGGATCAAGCGAAAAAGAAATGTGTAGCTATTAACTGCTTAATATGCAGTATTATGTTTCAATATTTATGAACGAATCTCGTCATCAAATTATGGCCAGCAGTGATTTGTAGATCTCCAAGAGTTGTTATATTTTTCTAGTTATGGCACCACCCTGAAGAATACGTGGAAAGGGCGGAGTAAGGTATAAAACAAAAAAGGGGAGAAAATAGTATATTAAACCTTTTAACACTTTTCCAAATATCACACTCTTCCCATCCATGTGTCGTAAGGCACCGAGCGTGATATAAAATTGTGACATCCGTCTGCTGATACCATGGCCGCTTCCAATTGATACCATCCCTAAATAACCAGGTCCGGTATGACTAACGCCGAAGTTTTCATTTAGGAATGGTTTCTTGAGGGCGCTCTTGCCACCAGTTCCGTCATCATTTTCCGTATCACCACCCTGTAATATGCAATTTTGAGTTTATTTTCAATTGGGCCGCTTCGGGAATTTATTGAATTACCGGAAAACGGTAGGACAACCAGTATACATAGCCGATCAGCGGCACCCATCTCAACGAACTTGCCAGGTCTCTAAACCAATTCACAGGTTCACGTTTGTTTACTCACCGCTATCAAGTGGTCACGTATCACCATAAAAAGCTGAGTTCCGCGGTAGCCATATCCCTTTTCATGAGTTGCCAGCATTATGAAGTTAGTGGATGTTCTGGGGCAAACTTGACCAAATAAACCAAGAGTAACTGTTCCCAAAGATGTTCCGTTTTGTGCAAATTCAACTATCACCTGAAATAAAAAAAAATTTAGACCTCAGACTGACAAAATTCTTTTAAGACCGTAATCTATGAATTACTATTCAAATCAAACGGTAGCGAGAATGTCTCCCTATAAAGTTCTGCTTTGGGCATTTGTGCTTTAGTGGTGCTAATTTACCATCAATGGGTTTGTTGAAGATTAATAGAAATCTTCTGCAAATGAAATTCTAAATAGTAAAGAGCTGTTGAATCGAATAGCAAATCGACATCAACTTTGATAGCGTGTAACTATCTGTTGCCTAAAAGTGATCAATCAGAATAATTAGTAAAAAGTGTTGTTTGCAACACGAAGTTTTTTCCCAAATTATTGTCGATGTATTTCTTGCTGAGGAGAATGTAGTAGTTCAAAAAAAATCGATTTTCACCGTAACTATAAACCCAACCGATTTTGTAGTGTCAGTGGCCTACATAAAGAAAACCATGCTACTCATGACGGTATTGCGAGTTTATAAAATATGACGGATATGAGATGTAGCTCTGTTGTACAATGTGAAATGAACGAGACCTACATAACCAGCAACTTCAGAATTGTTACGTCCCCTTACCTTATCCGTCACAGGAGGGGTTCGTTGATCATCAAGATCTGCCATATTGTACATGGCAATAAGCAGTACAAAGATGAAAGCACCAATAAAAAGTTTTATCCAATGTCGACGGGCGTGGAATTCGCATGTACGTGCCAGTTTACGCCACTCTTTAAACTTATCCAACTTCTCCTCCCGTCGTTTCTTTCTGTTCTCAGTCTTCTGAGTTCGCTTCCATAATTTCTGAGGATGACCCTTTTTTACACGCTGTTTAATTTCAGTTTCTTCATTAGGCGTCATTGTTGGAATATTAAAATTTACTAACGGAGAATCGCAACTGAATTTGATAAAATGATTAAGAGTAGAATAATAGGCTAGTTAAGTTTTGTTGTATTATCTTTGTTCAAAATGTTGCTTTTCAACAACCCATACCCAAATAAATTGCTGAACGAATTTAAAAGGGGGGTTAAAGAGATGCTCATCCCTACAGCCCAATTTGCAGAGATGTATTACGTGGTATTCCGTTAGAAATTATCAACATATCCACAAGTATTTCGTCTAATTCACATGGCGGTAGGATCATACGTAAAAGGTTCCCTTTGGTTGTGAACCACTCAAAAAAGCGACATGGGCCCTGACCCATTATTCCGGGTTGACAAAAATGCCACAGCCCAGCTAGCGCGTCTACGATTTTCACATTCAACTACTTATTTCCTCGTTAATTTAGTAAGAAACAACAAGTGTAACAACAGTGTGGTACAAATTCCAAAAAGTAAAAACACGAATTCGATACATCTCGGTTCTATCTGTTAAAATATCAATTCAACTGACCCGAACATCGCGATAATAAAATAACAATCCATATATGCATTTTTCGGTTAACATACAGGTTTTGATATAATATTATGCCTAAGCGTTGTAACGAAAACGCGCCACTATCTCGCCAAATCGGAGCGGGCGCCTGGTGTGCTATCGAAACTACCTATCACCCTCCAGCATTTGCGACTATGAGACACGTTTAGTCTGTACCGCTCTCGCCATCTTCCATACCCTTACTCCTAAAGGGTCATCCTCGCCACGTAACGCTTGTTGCACTACACGTCACCGGCAAATGCAGGTGGAGTCGCCCAAGCAATTCATTTCAAGTACACTTATATGGATGCATATATATGAATGTAGATATAACATACGATTCAATTTATTATTAAAACAAGAGTCCGTTTGAAAGGCACTTCAATAGACAAGAACAACTAGGTATTACTGGAGATGTTCTGCACATTAGGTCGTCCACCCAGAGAAGATGTACTGGTAACTGGTATATTAGCTTAGTTTTGCGATAAACAACGACTAACCTAATAAACTAAATTTAAGCAATAATAGCTATACTAAATAATGAATTTGACTGCTAGCATAAAAATAGGCAAAATAAAATTTAGACACTGTAAACGGTTCGAATGAAATAATCCAATAACCAGTACAAGACAAGTTAAAAAGCAGCCCGTTTTGTTAAAATCGTCTTTATCAAATTTTGTAGTAATGTGTACGGCAGTTAATACTTTTTACCTATACATGATTTGTGAATACAGTAAATATAAATTGACATTTTTAAATCTTTTTGGAGGTTGGCCTAGTAAATTTTTACAAGATTTTAGCAGGGCGTCAATAAGTTAATGTAGGAAGATAGAGCTGAAAGCTGCTTTCAATGTTTATGAAGCCGAGCGTGTGTTAGGAACAAAAATCCAATTAAGCCAAATTTTATTTTTATTTCCAATTTTCAAAAAAAAAAGTCAAATTGGTCCAGCATGTCAAAGTAATAAACAACCAACAAAAAATAAGAATGAATGATGGATTGGATCTATAAAACACACTCAACATTCCTTCAACAAAAACAAGTAAAAAACAAAACAAGTTTTGTGGCAATGTTACACTTCAAGAAGGGAAGACCTATTTTGGGCTAAAATCAAACACATATGAATAACAATGTGGGCCATGACTGTACTTAAAGAGCGAAGCAATAAAAAGGAAGGCCATAAAAGTGAGTAAAATGAATTTCCCTTTCTTACCTATGCTTATCACTGAGAAGATAAACAGCACTTATTGTATTCAAAAAAGTACTAATTCTACGATTGCTAATGTAACTGATAAAATATTTTGAGTCAAAAACAAAACTGCACCATCCACTTCAAGTTGCATAAAAACCATACATCTATATTGTTAAATAATAACTAGGTCACTTTAAACACTTAGAAAAAAACATCTATGTAGACCTATTCAAAAAGAAAAAAGGATTTCAAGAATTGGTCAGAATGAGAAGCGAAAGATTTTTCATGTGAAAACAAACTCTCATCTTGTGAAAAGTTTTGAGATTATTTTTGTAAAAAGATCAAGGTACCCAATTCAAATTTACAAAAATGAAATTCAGCATAAATTTTTTATCGATAGAGAGTAGAGACCAAATGAAATAAAGCATTAAATACCCAACTAAAATGCCTGACCATTGTGCGGGAATTTTAGACACTTTGCTCAAAATTCAGTAATTCCAGATTGTGGTTATAGAATAACGAAGTCAATTGGTAAAACTCGTAAAACGAATAATCATTTACATGATTCCAGGAAAATATTTCAAAACAAAAATAACTTCATGAATAGCAAAACACTGTTAGCTAGTTTTCAGAATTCCTTGTGATAAAAAAAATCTTTTATATATTTATATATATTGTGTATAAACATGACTGCTGAACTGATAATAAAATAAACTGCAATTTTGCTACTGCATTGATAAAACAATTTCTACATTTATCTGCCTGCTCACAGATTTTTTATAATCGGGTAAAGATTTAAACATGACTGATAAAAGTAAAATCCATGTGTATAAAGTATTGCCGTGCATTAGGCAAGCTTGGTAAGTCGTCGACAGGATAATATTAAATGTTTATTTTATATATGATGAAAAATATGAATCTTTATGCCATGCTAGACTTACAATCAATGTAAAATGAGACAAGCTGTCCTAAAATTAAGGAAAGATTAAAACTCTGAAAACATTTTCTTTCGATAAGTTCGACTTTTGATTAAATATAAATTAATTTGAGCTGAGAAAAAGGGAATCTTTAAAATAAAAATTTATGTATGCTCCAATGAGTGAAAATATCAGTCAAAACAGAATTTACCATGTATGCTGGGAAATCCTGATATTATATAAATAAAATATTAAAATTGCATTCAATACAACATTGAATGAAAACAGCTATCATTTTTAAATATAATGTCTTTGTTGTTGTAATAAGAGCGTCTATAATAATGATAATCATTAGCATTTGCCTAAGATGATATAAAAAATTTTCCAGAGTAAAAGACTTGATCACGATAATTTTCCAAGGGCAAATTTCTTGTACATCTCAGTTGCAGAAAACACGAAAGAGTCCACGATGCCAGCGACAGTGAAAGTTCCTCCTATAATTGCACAAACCTGAAATAAATATTGTTTTTATTAATTGAAAAACTAGATCATTTCATGAAAATTTGTGCTAATTGTTTTGCAAATATTCATATTTTGTAACTCTAAATAAAACTATTTTTTCAGCTGACATAAATCATGTTTTGACAGAAAAAATCACAATCCCCAAAAGAAAAGTATTTAAATATTATCAAGACACTTGAAGAATCTAAAATTAAACAAATTGAAAGCAGGTTTTAAAAAGATTGAAAGTTTTCACAAATATTATTACACCATTTGGCATATAATAATCAAATACAGATCGAAATGTACTTTGTAAATATATTAATCATGTCCTAAAAAGTAACCTACCATTGTTATAAAATGATAAAATGGTTGTCTCTTTTCTGTATACTTTACTGTGATTGGTGTCAATTCATATTTAAACCAGATCGCAGGCAAGATTCTGTGACCATGTCCATATGAAATATAATCCTGGAACAAAAAATATATACAAATTTCAAACTACAGTAAATATGACCAAAAATAAGGTGTATTCAGAAACAACAAATATTAGTTATCAATTCTAGACTAGTAAAGTGAATCCTGGAATATCTTATGTCATTTCCGTATTTTGTATCCTGTGATATTTTGTACAACGTGTGTCACAATGATATTCTCAGAACGGGCTCGTAAACCAGATTTCCTTTTATCAGTTTCCTTTTATTGTAATTTGCAAATGAACATTATTGTAATGTCACTAAGGCGCTAACGATCACTGTAACACAGCAATATAATTTCGCTAAGATTTCAGAGTACATGAATAATGTTTTAAGTTAGGGTTTGAATAACTATTTGTTAAAATTGAACATGACCAGTACTTACTTTGTAAGCTGACGTATATTGATATGCATACTGCATATCTCCGTTTATATTTTCATGTACGGTTGGTACGATCTTCATAACATAATCATGAGAAGACAAAGCTAGAATAAGTATATGATCGTTATTTCTATATGAAACGAAATTTATTTTAGTTCTGGAATCTATTTTGTATTTTCCTCAGAAATTGATAACACAGTTTTTTGACGTTTACTAAAAACGCCATTTTTCATGAGTGTAATAGATTTAATATTGATAGTTTAATTAGGCAAGCAAAGCGTAATTTTCAATAATATTAGCATGTTTCTTCTTGCTTAAATGAACTTAAGTCAACCATGTGAATATAGGAATAGATGAATATAGAACAATTGAATTTTGTTACATGACACTTATTCACAATTTTTGCTCCGAATGAGGCTATGTGCAAGCAACCAGAATCTTTCAGTTTCGGCTTTGTCTACCCAATTTATTACACTGGGTGAAGTGGCTGGCATGGGAATTGAACCAAGACAAGATATGTAAAATGTGACGCCATCACAATCAACACAATCACACTTTGACTGGGATAATTAGATATATAACTCACCATGTTTTTCCAATGTCTTCTTTCCACTCAATGAATTCAAAGCTGCATTTTTAATGTTATTCGACTAAAATAGAAAATTCAGATAAGTTTACGTCACATATATAGTATGTAATCGTGCATTTACGACAGGTATGTATGTCCTCACTTAACATCATTTATGACTGAGCAGGTACCCACTTTTGGTATATTAAATTTAGTGTTTGGACTATACTTCTCATCTGCTCACAATTTAGTTGGTTAATGTAATAAACCATAAATGTTAATATTCTAGTGAAATAATTAGTAAAGAGTAAAGAAATAAATTTACCATGATCCTATCTCCAAATCTCAATTCCCGAATTTCGTGAGTCATGTCAGGATTAGGAGGTTGACTTGGTGCACTGTGTGTTGATACATGGAAGTTACCAGGGACCTAAAATATTTCAAAAATTACTTAAATTCAGTACAGTTTGGTTAATAAATATGAAAGCCTTACTTATTTATAAGAATGTATTTTTTTATTTATCCAGGGGAGAAAAAAGCTTAATAAGATGACTTGAAAAATAAAATTAACCATGACGTCTTGTCCGGTTACTGCGAATATTTGTTTTGAATGCCTTTACTTGATGGTAGAGAAAGCCATATAACCGACCCATATAACCGACCAGAGTATACATCAACTACATTGAAATACAGAGTCTAGCAATTCTGTGCTATTTCACATAATTTTTAACAAGATCTGAACCTGCAGAACCGAGCAGAGTAACGCAGTGTGAGGGCGAGCGTGGTCCTAACACTTATATGAAGATTGCGGAAAGGCATTCTATTTTATTGCAATTGTTGGCGGAAACGACTTAATTATATGACTAACCACTGTCTTCAGTTCCATACATAAATTTCAGGTTCAAGACAGCAATGACAAAATCTCTCACCTTATTGATATGGAATGAAGTTGTAAACAAACATCCGGCTCCTTCATTGATTGGAACTTTATTTGTGTTATCAACCAATCCTACTTCGTGCCTTCCCATTTCATCTTGAATATCGAGCCCAACATCTATAATAAAAGTTTACATAAAAAACTTGTGTATATTGAAGAGATAAAACTACCGGTATATAAATTGGACAATGTTACAATTATTACAAGTTAGTCACTTTAATTGTATGTATACCATGATAATTTTTTTTATATACTCTGAAAATTTTTTGAGGCATATCAATACGCAACAATTTTATCACAGTATTAGCATTATAGTTTTATATCTTGATCAAATAATAATTAAATTCCTTGAAGCAGAAAAATCTAATTTGTTGAAATTTAACATAACAATAGAACTGAAAAATAGTACCTTAATTTATTATATATATGAATATAGAAAATAAATAAGTATTTTACTTACATTCACATGCCATCCCTGGCAATGAAATATCCAAATATACAGGAATTCTATCTCCAGACTGTGGGTCATCAACATATAGTTCACTTACACTAAAAAGAAATACGTACTGTACTGTAAATGTTGGTGTCATTACGTCAAAATATATTTTGGACAGGAGTAAGTTTAACACAGTAGAAGTTGCACCAAGAAAGGAGCCTGTTGTTGTCTAAGTACGCCCGAATAAAAGCTTATTAACACACATCTGCCAATTTGCAATTCCCTAATCTGAAACTAAATAGTTACCTAGGTAGAGCAACTGATATTTAGAAGTGCATTAGTAACAAATTGAATTTGGAAAAATGTTAGTATTTTCATTCAGCAAAAGCTGCACAATTTAATACATCCTGTATCTGGTGAATACATGGATGACCCAGGAAGCAATACCTCTATGGCTCGCAAGTAAAATGAAATATAAAGTCTATAGATTTAAAATGAAATGAAACCGGTTCAGAATATGAATTTGGGCAAATTAAATCAAATTTTTAGAGACGGGGTGGCCTAGTGCAGGGGTTCTCAATCTTTTTACCATAGCGGACCAGTAAGATAAAACAAAATGGCCTCTCGGACTGGCAACATAATATTAAACTGACACAAAGCAATGAAAATAAATTGGGAAAAATATAAAGGTTTCATTTTATTGAGTCCATTCCTCCATTAAGTTGTTTTGAATGCGTGAAGTGGTTGGAATCCCATACTCACCGGCCAGGCGGCCACCACCTCACCCAGAATGTGATGAATCGGGTAGGTAGTGCCGAATCGGGAAGATTGGTGGTTGCTTGTACAGAGCCTTGTTGATGGCAGTCATATAAACACTTCATATAAAAAATTATACTTACACGTCTACTGTGATGAAACTTGCAAGCTCAGAGATGAAGAGGAAAAATATAAACAAAGAACAGGCTATTGAAACTGAAAAAGAGAAAAAAAATACTGTTATTGTAAATAATTCCCAGCGTTTCTTTAAATCACTAGCAAGTCATAAAACTGTTATCATTCATGGTGAAAATTGAAATAGGGGATGAGGGACTATGATTTATAAATCTGGTAAAAATTAGGCTACATCAGTTTGCTGGACATTAAACCTCTGCATTCAATGCCTGTGGGAATTTGTTTGCAGTGAGAAAGAGTCAACTAATTTGAAGTATTTTGTCACTTTGTTTTCTATTATCTTAGCAATACAACAGTGTTTATTAATAAAGTATTAAAAGCATTCGTTTTGAATTAGCATTTTACCACCTACAGTTATTTCTACATTGTTTTCACAAACAATAAGGCAAAGTTTTTCTGATTCCAAGATGTTCTGACATTTGGTTCAATAGAACAAACATATACAGTATTAGTCTCTGAAATGGGGGCGCCTGGCATGATGGCAATGCATCAGATCGTGGTATGCTTGTCTCAATAATAATTTAAATTGATTGAGAGGTGCGTTGGCTGTTACAAAATTGCGTTTTTTTCATAAGAATTTTCGAATGATATAATAAAAATCCTTTTTATTGAGAAATCTAATGGTGACGGTTTGCCGATATGAAGGCCCAGACTGTCTTGTAATAAAGGTGTTTGCATTCACTGTTATAATTGATGTTTTTTAAAGTGGGAGTTAAGAGCTATCCCTGTATTCTTGGAATCGTACAACTTTGCCGTACTAACAATTGTTTTTTCTAACAATTGAATGAATAAAGAACTCACTTGCTGCACCGGCTGTTGTAGGTTGTGTCAGGTCTTTTGGGACTTTTCTGTAAACGTCGAACCTAAATAAATTGATAAGATTGTGTTAGTATCGTATGTGCCTTTTCCATTTTCGGATTTGTCTGTCTGCAGATCTTTGATAAGTTAGGTTAAATGTCTATCACAAACTGACAGAAAAGCCTCTAATATTATTACCGTACCGTTCAGCAGTATGGTAGGCCTATTTCTTATCAAAAATGAGAAAACGGAAAAAAAGTTCAAAAGTATGATGCTATTACAGTATTAAAATATCAAGCTTACCTTCTGAAGTCAAACACCATTTTTAAACTGTTTGGAATATCCTATGACAGTATGAAGTCCGTAAGTGACGTTACGTCAAACTCCAGCAGTAAGTAAACTAGTATTGCTGTGTTCAAGTATCGGACTGAAGCTTGCAGGGCGACGGAAAAAGAAGGCGTTCAACGAGTCAACAGCGTTTCAAATCTCTGAATCTAGGTAAGTAAAGTCTCAGTTGGCTGGTTGTGGAAATCTGATATATTATTGGTACCACAGGTTTACTATTCGTACTATGGAGTTTCACAATTTCAGATTTAAATCGAGGAAGCGCCAACTCAAAGACCAAACTAACAACGAAGCGCGAACAAGTAGACAAGCAAAGCAATAATGCAGCAGCAGCCGAGGAAGGAATGAATTTCCCGGTTTGTGGTGACGTCATATTCAAGTAAACGTGGCCCTTACTCGTGTGTCGTATATGCCCCGAGGCATACCGGTAGCTTTTGGACACGCCGGGGGCCTGTGAAATGTTCGAATCTATTATCATAAAAACCACCGTATGCAGGTTCGTGTAAGTTAAAAAAATTACGTGTCTCTATGTTCAATTCAAGGATATCATCACTAGTTCTTCTGGGCAGTTTTTGTTATTTCGATCTCTAGCGCCCTCTTGCCTAGATAACGGACCTTTCCTCAGGCATCGATTTCCTTTTTTACTTTGTGACATTGCCAATCAGCAAGATGCAAAAAGTGACGTAACAATGCTCCCTTTTCGCTTCCGCTCAGACACTTATGTTTATTTGCCTCAAAAATGTAACAGTATCTGCATAATAATTAAACAGTAAAACAGAGACGGGATACATGTTCAAGACCTTACTGACCTAAGACACAGATGTGCGACATGTACCCCTAACAATGATAACAGCAGTTTAGGACTGCTGCGTTATACTTGGACAGGGATGGCGAACCTTTCTCAATGAATGGGTCAAGAATTATATTTTTATCGCGGAACAGAAGACAGTGGGTCACAGATATTTAATTAATGTTTGTATCTATTAGAAACTTCTGAAACCAATCTTATATGCTTCTATTATAAGCTTGTTATGCAGCACTTCTATCGGGGACTTTTTATGACACTCGATTAGTGTACAAAAACACCCATATGAATTCCCAAAAATGCTTAGTATGATGTGGCAAATTATTTTACAATTCCAAAGATTTTGGAGGGAATTCCACTCTGATAGTGTTATATTTTTCGATGAGCTTTCAACCACATACGGCACTTTTGCACTGCCCCATTGCTATTTCAGATACTAGGTTTTTATTTCAAGTCCGAAAATTATTTTTTTTTCCACGACATCGTAGGCGAGAAACTAATGCAATGCGAAGTAGCATCTAGTCTAGTTCCTGTAAAAACCTTAAAATAGTCTGCAGATGCACTTCCAAAAGAGACGAGATGTTGTAAGAAATGAACGGATCAATTGCATTGCTATGTCATAAACGCCAATAGCTGAATAACGGTAGACAGCGGTACAGACATGCGTCGAAGATTGGGGGTTTTGAAAATTACCATACAGGCCCGAAAATTACCAATTTAAATATGAGCGATCGCAGCCCTGACTGCCCAACTGACGGTACATTATAATAGTTTAGTTATTGTTAGATAAATTTAAGGCCGGTTTTATCAATTTTTATCACATATATGTTAGCATTTTTTTTATTTTATTCGTGTCTTGGCGGGTCACGAATGAAGCGCGGTGGGTCGCTTTGTGACCCGCGGGTCAGTGGTTCGCCATCCCTGTACTAGGACAACAGACATGAAATTGACTATACAAATAAAACTCTAGTAGAATACACAAGACAAAGAGGTACGGCACAATGGCGATATGTACAATAGTCAGCTTATGGCACGTCCATATCCCAGGTTCCGGTGTTAAAAGAAACGCGTAAAGATTTGTTCGGAATATAAACTTACCAGAAACCAACGTTGGATGGGGCCACGACACGAGAAAAAATTTGTAGAAGATAAATTTAGAAAACCTTTGTTTAAACTTGAGTTGTTAATCATAGTTTGCACTGGACTAAAGATATGGGAACAATAGAGAGTCTGGCATAAAATGCGGCCACTTCCATAAGCGCTATTGTGTGAAATTTATTGTCGCCATGTCTCAGCATGATAATTATAAATTTTTATTGAATGATCTAGTTTGCATGATTGACGATCCAGCGAAGGAAATAAATAAACAATAAAACTATGCCGGGAAGAGAGACAATAGATCCGTGGGGGCCTCGAAACTTGTTTTCCGATCAATGGAGGTTTGTTGCATGATGACATTGTTAATCGATTGGGGGTATTTTTCATCTCTGTAGTTCTTTTCTCATCTTCTATGTACCCTTTGTATCTGAAAAATAATTTCTGAAAAGTAGGATGTCCCCAACTCACTAAATCTAATAGAATTCCAATAAACGTCTCTTAAGCTTGGATCTAAATTCGGACGTCGTTTTCGAGCTTTTAATATTATTAAGCAATGGGTTCCATACTTTAGGTCCAAAGAATGTGATCGATTCTTGTGCTATTGATGTTCTAACATGCGGAACAAAAAATCTGTCGTGACTTCTGCTATTTCGGGTAATATTATTCGCCAATACGCGATTAAAGCAACTAGGGAGTTGACCAGTAGAAGCTAAAAATCTCTAGTGTTAGTAAATCTTCAACACATAGTAGTTTTTCACTTTTGAACAAATCCCGAACACTACTTTTCCGATCCCTATCAAAAGTTATTCTCAAGAACTGATCACAGACACTTTGAATTTTTGCTGTAATACCTTTTTGACGATGCATCCAAGTGTTTATACAATATCCTATATGACACTCTATTAATGAATGGTATATTGTTAACAGACACGACTTATTAAGGTTTTTATTGGACACGAAGTGGACATAGCAATCGTCTCAATATTATGTTTTTGTTGTTCTTATTGGTGTTCTTAGTGTCCTTGTTCTTTGACACGTTTTGAAGAAATCGCTTTTCTTTTCGAATACTGAACCAATTGCTTTGAACTTTTCAGTGGTTGGAGATAAAATTTTCCCCCAGAAGGCTATTACTTTTATTCATTTTAAATATTTCTATTAGCTCTGTGAGATTTGTTTTTGTTTGCTATGACGTCAATAAAGGTTCTGCGGACATCGGACGCCATTTTGTGTCCTACTGTACTGCTTCGCTTGGTGTGAATATATTTGTATACTGTGATCTGACGGTACGGTAAACCGAACTGTACTGCGAACAGACGTGTCCATATATTTGGGCATAGCTCTTTTGTTGATTTTTGAAATAGCTCCGAATGCTGTCCTTGTTTTAGATAGTACCAATTGTGACTGATATTTCCATGACAATTTGTCATCGAATAAAACACCCAGGAAACGAATTTGGTTTACTCTTTGAATGCACGTGGACTGCAGAATTAGCGTTTTTGAACTTTATTCGTTAGTTTTCAGTTGTGTTTCGGAAATTTAAATATAAGTCATATATTTCAATGACCACTCTGTCTTATTAGGAGTTTTACCTTATTTGCAGTAATAAAAAATTAGTGCAGAAATAGCTGTGATAGACTAGGCTAAAATTCTTTACCGGTACTTTTAAAAAACAGATTGTTGTATGCGATGAATCATAATGATGGTTTGAAACGAATACCCCATTTCACAGGCGCCAACTCGCGAAACCACTCTTGAAATAAGCCCCGAAAATTTTGCAATGGTAAAGTATGCGAAGAATTTTTGGGGGTCAAAGGTCGGGGAAAGGTCCATTGCTGTACAAATGTTCCACTACTCGCGTTGCTAACAGCTTCATTGCACTGAGGAGTGCCGAATCATGGCCACGAAAGCGAGAATCAGCTTGCGAACACACTCACAAGCTCAGTATGGGCATTCGTGAAGCCTATAGTGTGATTGTTCCCAACAAATAATTAGGGGTTCGTTCCACTTTTACGCCATTCAATTTTACCACTTCAATCTCTACCAAATATACATGGAATTGAATTGTAATTAATAAATCTGATGCTCCTCATCTCTATTACATATCTTCCATAACATTAAAAATGCGAAAATGTTTAATAATTCGAAAATTTTTTTTTACCGAAGAGGATTTTCAGTTGCCAGAACTTACTAGTTGAGAGTTATCTAATCAGAAATCTTACTGAAAAATCGTGTGAACCATAAACAACACCAAATAAACCATCACTAAAGTTTGGCAACGGATGATTAGAGTCAGGGATGATTTTAAATTTCTGAACAATGCTCGTAACAAATAAAAACAGTTCCATTCTTGCGAGTTGCTCCCCGAGACAAATACGAGGTCCAACTGAAAATGGTATCACGTGATTACAGGGGACAAATTCTCCTGATTTGATGAATCTTTCAGGTCGAAATTTTTCTGGATCTCCAAAATATTCGGCATCGAAGTGGACCGACCAGATGTTGGGCATTATCTAAATGATAAAATTATTATATTACGTGGTTGTGTTGTGCTTACTTCGTAAGTCAATTTGAAGAAAGTTGAGATTTTCATATTTGCGGGATAGAAGAAGGTCGTTTCAGGTCGAAGGTCGGAAGTTGTTTTCAAAAAGCATGTATGCGACGCTATACAGTCAGATTACGAATTTTTGTAGTATGGGTAAATGTTTAAGACATCTCATTGGAAAACATTGACTTACTGGAGTGTCTTTTGGAATGTCATATCCATTTACTGAAGTATTTGATGTCGTCTTATGTGGTAATGCTAGAGGCAGCATTGTTCTGTGCCTCATAACCTCTTGGATGAATGCACGTGTATACGGCATACGCTCTTTGTGATTCATCGTAGGAATTCCATTCAATCCTGTTCAAATCGAAATGGTATACAAAGTGATATTTAAAACCAGTTGAAAAAATTTATCTTTGTAGGAAGCCGCCGCCAATAAAAATTATAAACCTCGCCACAGCTCGAAATAAAAAAAAGTAGTAAATATCCAGAGTTATAAATACAGATTCAGATTATTCCCAACCCTAATCCCAATTGGATAAATACTAATTTCTTATTTTAAAACGTGTCGAATGTGTTTCTCTCATATCTTACAGTTTCGCGTTAGTTGGGAAAGCTTTCTGCAACAGATCCGAAAAAATAACAATACTCACCTACGACGTTTTCTACCTCTTCCGCAATTCGACTCTGACAATCGGGAAAAAGTGCAAAACCCAGAATGCACCATCTCAGGGTGCTAGAACTCGTCTCCGTTCCAGCAGAAAACAAATCTAACACGTTGTGCAAGAGTTGTTTTTCCTGTAAGTTAAGGCAAAGTAATAAACTCAAAGAAGATCCAATTTTTTTATTTAGCAAAATCTTTAAATTTAGGACATTTATATACAAACGTTAAAAACACTCTTGTCGCTGGTTTTAAGTTTAGTTTCCCTCAAAAATTCATCAATAAAGTCTCGTATATCGTTCTCATCGAAACGTTCCTTGTGGTCTTCAATAATTTCCAGCATAACACCTTGAAATTTGAAAGACAACAAAAACAAATTTTAGTCGCAGACATATTAGGCTTTAAAAAAAATTATTTTTTTGAAGATTAATTTCTTACGTCTTATCTGTATTAAATTGTTATGAATGCGGTTATACGAAGTCCAAAATACAGGCAGGTATCTCAGCAAAGGAAAGAAAACAAGAATTCCGAATATCGTGCCGTCAAGTTTGTCTGATGATCTGATTAAAAATATGATTAGTGTTTTATCTCTGCTCAAGCATACCTATATATGCAATAATTTAATTTAATGTTCCCATCAGCACGAACCAAATCTGATTTACACGTATACAGAGCACTATTTTTAAACAATTTGGGTATTTTAATTTTAATAACGAAAATGTTTCATATAAACCTTATTCAGATTTTGAATGCTTCTGCCGAAACTGAATTCAAACTTTATAATGAACCGAAAAAGATGAATAAACACAAAAAAAATGATATTCACCGACATTTTGTTCAATCTTTCAACTATTTCAACAAATCTTTTATCGTCATATGAAAATCTTGATCCCATTGTAATACTACAAATTATATTGGAAAGCGCGTTGGAGATTGCGATCTGAAACAAAACAAAATTTATCATTTGAGCTAAGATGAAAAATTAATTATAAACCCAAACCTTGCAGTTTAATGGCTTTCCATTTTGTTGTTCAATAGCATGAGTTAAATGGCGAATTTCCTCCGTAATTCTTTCCTCCATCGATTTTCTCCCAACGCCAAATCTATGAAGATAATCTTTATTTAATATGCTTTCTAGGCTTACTTAACTCGATACCGAAAGTATGGACTTACCCTCTTAACGTTTTCATTCCAAATGCTCGCAGAAGTTTCCAGCTCTTTCCATAATCGGCGAACGCAACTCCGTGCCCTCCGCCAGAAAATACATCAAACATATGTGTTGAGGTTTTACCAGAAAAAACGCCGCCTTGCTGGACCAAAGCCTAAAATGCAAAGATTTTATTCGAAGCACTAAAACAAATGCCAGAATCAATACTGGAAACCGCAAGGTAAAGACTTGCAACTCATCTTCTATACCCTTACAGGAACTTGTATAGACGATTTGATAAATAATGATAAAGGTCAGTTATAACGTCATATACAGAACTAGATCGATATATGCACAACTTGACTAACGTGACAAAGGTCAGGTATTCTATCATTTACAGAAATGAATCGATAGCTGCTGTAATCATATATTTGCTAAGTTATTTAAATTTACCTTGTAAATAGCGTCATATCCGTTGATCACGACCCAAACTTTTGATCCAATCTTTACGGATAAAACAGGTCCGTACTTTTTTGACAATTCCATAAATGTTACGCCAGGATTGAGTCCTAAAAATGGTGCGTAGCCGACAACAGGAATACCTCTTGGGCCTGGGGGAAAATTCATTTGCTTCCTAGGTCGCTTGAAAAGGCGGATAAAAAGAAATAAAAACCCCAAAAATACCAGTTTTGATAGTACGTCCAACTGCAGCATGGTCATCACAAATATATAACGACACAAACGAGTTTACTCTACAAATTGAAATAATTACATTAGTTTTAACGAAAAACGCCAACGAAAATTTTCCAATCTTATGAAACGAATCCAATTTTCGAAGAATGAAAATTTTAAAATCTTGCAGTTATGAATCCATATGCTTAATTAATCCTGCAAATTTTTTACCCTCGGGCTATATGTGGTGTGCTTTAAATTGCGCCCGTTGCTTGAATAATTCTAATTTGCTTCTTGCGCTTTACCAAGAATGTGCTTTAATAATTAACTAACACGCGTCTATTGTTATTCAGATATACAACGGTATGAAAAGCACGGCGTGTACTGTTCCTGGCATCTCACACCATATAGAGCATTGTGTTTCGTGAACCTTCAACAAATTTTGACCACACCAGTTACTACAATATGCTCGACTGACTTCAAGTTTATTCTTCTAGTGACCTATTGTCGCAGAAAGCGCCACGCTTCAACAAATTGAAAGCGTAATGCTGACGGGCTGAAGGTACGGAAGGCTATTTTGTACGCAGAGGTGGCGACTAGAGAAACAGACGCATGTTTTCGCGACTCGTTGAAGATTGTTGCATTTTTTTCAAACAGTGCTTGTCGGTACATCGTTCAGGTCTTTAGAAATACTCCCGCCATTACATCATTCAAGTCTTTAGAAATACTCTCGCCATTACATCGTCCACGTGGAATGTTCAGTTACATATTACTGACAGTTGACTAACATGATTTATTTCAGCTAGCCTGCCTTTCATCTGAATATATATATATCACGGATTTATATATCTTTCTCGGTGATTATATTATATTCATTTAATGCGATGCACAAGTAAACAAACAACAAACAGATTACAGTTTAACATATATATAGTTAGATAGAATTGAAGTTTTCCACAGAATCGTCCATGCACCTGCGTTTTTTGACACTGTTCAAGTTAATTTGTCTTCTTCTCCAAACTGATATTGTTTAGTGCCCTGCAAAAGCGATTGATCTTTACAGAAAACTCAATTATTAATATAGAAAATTACCCAGACAGAGGGGTTTTCATCCACTTTTATTCAAATCATAGTAACATTGTGATTTGAAATGAACGTATTATCTTATGTCGGTGCGTAAGTCGAAGTTTTACTTTACCTCATATTTTTGGGGTTCTTTTTGAACAGGCGATAAACTTGGTTTGCTAACGGACCGCCCTTCCCCCCTTTCAAGCATGCCTTAGATTTTCCGTATTTTTTGTAATTCAGATGGGCATTACGTCCCGTAAAACACCTGTTAAATAGAAAATACATATATAATAAATTTGTGGGAAGTCAATTAGCCGAATAACCAAATCATTTGGCTTCAGTATTTATATATTTGAGCATTGCTCTCCTGTTGTTAATACTGAGCACTTTACAAGAAAAGAAGGTGGGAAATAAACCGCTATCGCCTAATCCTAATTCTTTCTGAAATGTGCTGTTTTAAAATATTGATGACTGCGTAGATACACGTAGCCAGGGATGTATATACTTTATTATTCGATGTCAAAAATTGACTACAAAAACTTACATCCCACCATCCTGTAGAGCGAAAACTTTGAATCCCTTTTTTGCCGCGATTCTTGCACATTTTTTTATGGGTTTGGTGCGCTTTTTATAATTGTCCTTTAGGATTGTATATTGGCCATCCGCTTTTTGTAGAGCTGGCTTGTTTTTTGAATCGTTGTAGCATCCCACACGCTTGAACCAGAAACCTATATGTTGTGTGTTCAACATGTTCAACAAAATATTCAAGTTATTTATAAATTTATTCACCTTATAATAGATTATTTTATATGTTAAAGTTTTATTTCGACGCATCTATTGGTGAGCGAGAACAGGTCTCGAATACTTGTTCACGTGAAAGTAAGCATTGGTTTATTTTAAGAACACTTCTTGTACCTCGAATTTGCTTTTTGAGTATTATCATTGCATAACAATCGCCAGTTTAATTGACGATCGTACTTTATATACAATTAATCATACCCAGTTTCTTCCGTGGCGCCTCTGAAAAAAGACACATGGATAGTGGTCTACTTTGCAAAAACGAGATCAATATGATATTTATGCAATATGGAACATAGACATCATACCTGGAGTCCATCCATTCAAAGCGAAAACTCCATTTACTAATGGCCCGCCGATGTAGTTATTGCAATCTTCAGCAGGTCCATACTTGCTGTACGTCAGATGAGCTCTAGGCCCCGTCATGCACCTGTAATTTTAAGCAGGTACACATTTTGGATAGAATCCATGAATATTTAATAAAATACGGTGATCAACATGGCTCTACGGCCCACGCTAACAAAATATAATATGTAATCGATTAATCATAACTTTATTCTTTTTTAGTTATGATAAAATTTGAAATAATTAACTTTTGTATTAGTCGATGTTTCTGACATATGAGTGACCGCTTCGACAAATTTCAAATTAACGTAAACGATTTGACAATAGTAATGTTTTGGACATTGTTTCTCTGTGAAAGGGCAAATGACAAACTTGATTTATCTGTCTCATATTTACACTAGATTGGAGAAGTGGATTAAAGTTCCAAAGAACAAGGCAGATACCACTCACTACATCTTGTAAAGATGTTAAGTTCAATTTTTTCATACACTTAAAGCATAATATAAGGCTCCAGAATTCAATAATTAAAGGGAGGGAATTCCTGTCTCTTTCCTTGGATGTTGTTGAATAATTAGTTCAGCAAATTGGACTATATTACATAAAAATTGAATTGTTCTGTGTCCAAGAGTATAAATAAAAATGATGTATATATAATAAATATACAACATACATTCTTTCTTGTATTGCAAAAACGTGGTAGCCATTTGTTGCCGCATATTCCGCACACTTCTCGTAAGACTTTGACCGTGTCCTGTAATCTTCTTCTAACAGCTCTGATTTACCTTCTGCCGAGGGAATTGCCCTTTCTTCATCGTCTTTAAAAGCATCCTATTGGTGTCATTTGAAACACTGCATCCAATAAAATGCAGGAATATTTCAGGTTTTACATTTTTTCATATCGCACCGGGACTGGATTATAATTTTTTTTATTATTTTTACCATCTGCCATTTTACCATTTACGAAGTTTCTATTTACATATATATTCTATACATAAGATAATACCCTTCATTCTGTAAATCCATGTACATTTTTGAGAATCATAACAAAAGCGTAAGGAATATCTGGTAACTTGGAATGAAATCTCAAATTAAACATTATTTTTTCAACTAGATAACCAAAACAAATGTGTTTCCAATAATAAACTCCCTGGTTACTATAATTTGTGAAAAAAAATTTCAAATTGGTGTGAAAAATAGGTAAAAATAAGTAAAAAATTCATTGTCATCTTTTTCTATCTGGTGCTGCCTAAAGAAGCGGATTCACTTGACACTACAAACTACGCAAGGACATTTCTATAGTTTATAAAGACAAATTATACCTGTTGTCTATCCATTTATACCGTATATTTGATTGGCATTCAGTCCACCTTTGCCATTTTTACCACACAAGTCGGAATGGACCAAAATATCTGAATGTTTTGTAGGCTGTAGGCGACATTGCACACCTATAAAGATCGAATATATTTGATTTGTTGATGTTGATATTAGGCTTAAGGCATCTTAAATAGATATAATCTTATCACACTCATGAATATTTTGATTCATAATTTGAAACGTTTTTTAAAATATTGACCATCTTCAATAACAATGGCTTGGTAAAATACTCACAGTCCTCCGTCTGAAATTGCAAACATGTTGTATCCTTCTGATGCAGCTAATGTTGCACATTTTGCAATCGCATTGTTACGTGTTTTGTAATCATCTTTCAAAGTGGGGTATCGGCTCTCCACCGACGGAACAGTTCGACGTTCGGAGTTTTCTCGATAGCAAGCAAGCGATTTAAATGATCTGAGAGCTGAAAAGTTAGTGATCAAGTATCTCTCCATATTGACTGTTTCGTATGTTGCTTGCGAGCATTGGTGATTAACGGCAATGGGCCGTCATTTCTCCGCTAAATTATTTCCTCGTGCAAATTTGCCTGTGCTAAATAGGCTCTCGGTCCTTTCACATATATATTATTTGAAGTATAATTTAAATCATACCTGTGATATTTCAAGGATTCACAAAACTTAGGCTTTTACAGTAGGCTATTAAAACTGGTCATTTTCGAATACCTGATGATTTCAGAATTGAATCGAATATTTTTTTCGAATCACATCAAATCTCGACAGCCTAAAACTCACCTATCGGAGCAGAGGATACAAGCACTGGCGCGAAGACGATGACAAAAAAGAGCAAATTTTTCATATTAAATTCCAAGTTTTGTTGTATATATTTATTATCCTGAGGATCTCCACCACCAAATATATATTTCACACAAATAACTCGTCGGGTAATTTTATGTCCTTTTGAGAGATGTTTCGAAAAAAAATCATTTTCTAATTATCAAGGAAACTATTTTTGTTTATTTTCAGCTAAACATGAATCACTCGTTTCATGCATCACGCTATAAACATAAATATACTGATAATTCAATAATAAGTACAATAATAATAGTAATGATAATTTTATCATGATGCATGATGTCACCGGAAGTTTGTGTACAAACAAACATCTATACAGCAAAAGTTTTGCATATTATCATAATCTGTCGATATTCGTAATGAATACGAATGTGGCGGAGAGATGACGGAAACAAAGTAATCCAACAACAACTTTTACCTCATCACCTCAATTCATTTTTTATATTGTCCACGGTGTTCATAATGTCGATTCCATGATTGCAGTGTATGTTCTAAATCAGGGTGGTTCAGGTTGCCGGCATCGAGGGCTACATTAGTAATTTTGTGTTGTTCGCGCGCCACATTAGTCCCAACTCCTTTGATTATTACTTATCATTAGTCAATGCTTTCGTATCAACAATTATGTTGGTCGTTGAAAGTTTTTAACTGGCATCCAATGTTTCGTCTCCCAACCTGTTCCTTTTGTTTGAATAGGTCAGCTTTTCTTTCGAACTCACGTTTACAGGGCGACTTACAAATCACTGTAGATGGCTCGACTACTAAATTTCAGCAATAACACTACCGTGTTATTGAACACACCCTAACAGAGTGTAACTCCGATCTGAACTCCTTCACGGGTCAATGAAGCACACAATGTATTGAATGCCAAATGTTCGTATATTGTAAAGTTGCACAATCGAATTGATCCAAATACATACACTTAAACCATTAACGCAGTTATTGTGATGAAACCAAATTTCTAACTAACAAAGAACGAATACTTGAGCGAGGGAAAATATCATAAAGAAAATGAATTAGAGCAACGACCTTGTTTCAGGCATATAACATGCACTATAACAATGAGTGGTGAAGAATATTTAAACACACAGTAACTATCCGTATGTACTCGCTACGCCATAAAACAGTTTATAAAAATTAAAATTTACTCTATTTATATATTCTGATTTTGTTTGTTTGTTTGCTGTGGCCCTTTATCAAAAAAATTCTGAGTATTAAATTGCTGAGTATAATGACGTTTTGTTGTCGAGTTATTCCTTAAGCTGCTCCACATTGTGATGCATGGAAACCTGCAGATATTCCCATGCGATGCATTTTGTTGTAAGCTGCAGCAATGTTTGAAAGTTCTGGATTCGGTTTGGGAAAAAAGATCCAAATGACCCATTGTGCTGAAAATGGATAGTGGCTTATAAATATCTCTGTGAGCAAAATGGGAACTATCGAAAAATGTTGCAATGAACTCATTTAAAAAACAAAACAATTCCAACTTCTATCGTCAATGACATCTCGATTTCTTATTTCCCGTGCGTCTCTAACTTCACTTAGTTAGCTTCACTTGGACATTCAGTAACAGTATTTCAGTCGAGGAAGAAGGTGAAATGAGTAAGAAGTCAAGACAATCGTCACAACAACAACAAGGAAAATTAACAACAACAATTTGACACTTCATTTATAATAAAAAGAGAATACCAGACAAAGCTGTTGAGCGTTTGGAATATTTTGTTTAAACCTTCATAAAATCCGCACGATGACATATGTGTTAAAACTTTATTTGCATTTTTCTTACCGTCATTAGAACAAAATATCGTCATGATATAGTTCCGATGATCCGTTACGAACAAGAAATCGTTATCAAGAATAACCTTGTGAACTGTGGAAATCAAAATAATTTAGGTTATTGTAAAAGCATGAACTTGAAATCATGACCTACCTCTACAGTAGCAACCCCGCCCACCATTTCAATAGTATCTCCCATATAGAGTTATTGTACAACTTTAGTCCTGTAGGCTCTCATATAAAGTTTAATAATTCTTCAGGTGACTGAGGCGTAAATGAAAATGGAGAAGCTGGGCTTTATTCTTACGTACTAACCAAGTTTGTTTGCAGCTCTGTTGAAATTTCCGTTTTTTTCACGTGTATAGAGTGTTGTCATCACAGGTTCTGTAAAATTATATAATTTATTAGAAATATAGTTTCAGAAAACAATTTATGTTCGGGTTAACACGAGAAATTTCTATCAGATGGTCAATAACAGGAATGTGTGACATCATCTTCCATTTCCTCAAGAATAAGTATACACGAAAAAAAATCATTAAAACGCGATAGAAAAAGAGCCACGTAAATACGGTAATATGACACCAGAGATCCTGAGCGTTGATGGTGAACAGGTTGGGAGTGCAAAAGCATAAACCGCAAACATGTATGAACCTTCATTTATGCCAGAATTTATTGTAAGACATCATTTAGTATTATTATGCTCACCATCTTTCTCTCCGCTCTCTTGATACACTCCTGGTCTCTGGCGAGTAAAATGGGAAACCCAATCAACGTATTGATTACTGCAACAATTGAAATTAGGTTATCATCATTTAGATATATATACACTTCATATCATGAACTAATAAAAAGAAGTATCTATGGTTATTGGACACAAAATGACCTGTGAATCATTTGGCTATTGTGTTGTTGTTGTCTTTTTCATTTTATCGCTATTTTCTCGCCAAGTGAATGCTGTAATTATATACCACATTCCATCACTCACACAAGGATGCCGATAAGACGCCCAGAGTTCAAATAAATTAGACGTTTTAGTAATCCGGTCTCTGCGGCACGCTACGTTACTGAAACATCCCCTATTAATACGTCATAGCAACCCTGAACTGACCCGGGCCTCCAGTAAAAGCGGCGATCGCGGGCGCCGCATGGCTTGTATGTATATGCATTATATTTGATTCTGGCAATCCAGTCGGCTAGATTATATAAATTATGCGTTGACAACTGCTTGCATTGTTTTCGTGCTTGAGTCCAAGGAGTAGTTGATGAGATACAAATGCTGCTTGACATACTCTGCTATATGTTGACTAAAAACTCATATATATGCGGGAAAATGTTCTCAAATTTGTGTTTATTGTATTCTAACGGTATATCTATTTTTATTTGCAAAACATGGCATTACCTTTGAGTCATGTAGCTTCTTGTGGTAGCCGTAAAACCATAGTCAGTTTCTGTAAAATTTCTTAATGATTCACAGTCAATATCAGATGCCGCAGCATCATTGGTTTGTAGTCCGGTGTACCATTTGGTTCTGTTTAACTATGTAAAGAGTTTTCATGAACAAATATATATGAGTAAATTTAAAGTAATTGACAGAAAATATATAGTAACGCTACCGCTATGATTTTTGGAAGCGAATTAATTGTATATTAGCTCCATTATATTAAATTATTCGAAGGAAATGTTGCTATTTTGTGAAAATGTTAGATAAATTTAGGTTTAATCCAGCATTTGTTGCAACTTTTAGCTAATTTCATATTTTTACAATATAAGGATATATCTCTGGTCGAATACAATAAAATTTAAAAAATATGCATATTCTCTGCACAATATTTGAATATAACATTACCTTTACCTTTTCAATGTCGAAGTCTTGCAATACTTGCTCCGACAGAGTGCATTTATGTTCAAATGCCAAAGAAGCGGTAATCAACAATGATGCTAGAAATATCACCGACAAATGCATCATGTCCAAACTTTAAAGCCAGGAATAGCGAAGTAAACTTTCTCAGTTTTATATTCTTTGCATTTGTTGACAAATTGTGACACAATTTTGGCCAAGACAGAGAAAATCGTGATTGTATCATGTATTCGTCAACGAAGCAAATTAACGTGTACAGACATATCCAGGTTTTCTCTCAGATCAATTCAATATGCAACAACATTCATTTGATACAGCCGGAATTATTGCAATATCGTTTTATATTGTAGAATATATTGTAGAATGCAGATCACGCATAAAATTTCACACTCGCTATCTTGAGAAAACACGATATATTGATCATAGTAGGGAAAAGCATGTCACAACAACGTTCTCAAGAGTGAGAAGCATATCTGCTACTGAGTTCATACTTTCATTAAAGTTAACAAACACGAATACTATTTTTCTTTTCAGAACATCTTCAGAGCCATAATATTGTGTTCTGTAATTTTTATATGCCAAGATCTTGAAAGCAATACTAGTAAATGGACCATATTTTCAATTAAGACAATAACTATAACTACTACATACACATCAACAAATATTTGTTATCTATGAAATTTGAAAAATTTAATTACATATTAGGAATCATGAGGTCTCAAAATGTCGTGTCCCACTTGTTGCAATTGTATAAATTTTACTTCATGTGAATACGCCCACCTTATAACGACTTATTTTATTTATCCCAACCTGGGTCGGATTTACCATTTAGCAAGGTAGGCTGAGGCCTAGGGGCCTCAATCCTTAGAGGTATCGACACTCAAGCTATCAAATATGAACTCGTATTTTTAAAATATAATTTTTTTAAATTAGATCCCACTTACTAACAAATATTTGCAACAAAACTCTACAGTCGACTTGCATTGTTACTTGGTTTACGAATATATTGCACAATGAGAGAATTTCTTATGAAACATGTTCGTTTTGACGACGATTTACGATTCTCTGGTACATTGTTATTGTGTCAAATATGATTCAGAGCAAATATCCTGACGCTCTCCCAATAACGGACCATAGTATAAACCGTTTTATGAATTGAGACTTTTCAACGACATTCTTCCCAATTATTATATTTACTAAACATACTATATGAATCTTTATCACTCTATTTCATTATGTGGACCTCCAGAAGTATGCGAACCAAGATGGCGCACAACCTGAACATAGTATGTGTGTACCGGTTAGGATTCAGGCTGTGCGACATCTTACTCTCGCATACTTCTAGACTAGAGCATAGGTTCTCAAAGTGCTCCGTACGGAGCCCCAGTGCTCCGTGAAGTACACCTAGGGGCTCCGCAAACTATTCGATTACTTTTCAAAATACTGACTTGGCTAATTTTCAACTGTTTAAAGAAGCAGTAACAGCTTCGCGATTTAAAAAAAAGGTCTGGAAAAAATACAAACGATTGAAATTTATTTTATTGCATGCGGCTCCGTCGGTAGTTTCAGAATGAAAAAAAATGCACATCGCGCGTATACAATTGATTGTGTTTCGATTTCGCAGTGACTACGATGAATACCCGAGGAAAACCTAATATAACATCAAATTTTGTGCTTTACAATCACGTTTTTAATCAGACGTGAGTCTGCTGAAACCAAACTTATAGTGTGAGTTTCCATTTTAAATTTTTTAATATTTTAGAATGCCGTTTTTCATTCAAGAAATTTGAGCTGCGGATTTACCTCTTTATTAATCATTATTTTCAGCATTTCGTTGCCGATGACTATAAAATGGTAACATGTTTTTCACATTGAACTTACAATTCCCCCACGAGAACAAAAAAGCAATTATCGTCGTCGTTGTGGAACAATACATGTATATGCCGAAGAAAATTTTTGATTTAGGGAGAATAAACACCGGCGTAAAGACGCCATGCTGACGTAAGCAATCGGCGATTGTAACAAAATGCAATTGCGCACGTTATTAGAGGCCTTTTTAGTCAACCGAGTCTAAGTCTACCGACCTTTAAACCCCGAAAATTTCTTCCTATACTTTACCATTTCAAAATTTTAGCGGCTATTTTAAGAGTGCTTTTGCGAGTTGGCGTCTGTAAAAATGGGGTATGTGTCTCAAACCATTATAATGATTCATTGCATACATGTATTTCAAAAGTACCAGTAAAGAATTTTAGCCTAGTCCATCACAGTTATTTCTACACTATTTTTTATAACTGCAATTAAATTAAAACTCATAGGAAAACAGAGTGATCATTGAATTATCTGATTGATATTTAAGTTTCCGAAACACAACAGAAAACTAACGAATAGAGTTCAAAAACGCGAAAACGAGGTAATGTTTACGACCACGCTTGAAAATCTGTCAGAGTGAGAAAAGTGTCTGAGCGGATGCGAAAAGAGAGCATTGTTTGTTAAGTGTCAAATTTACAGCTTTAGTATATATAATTTATATTTGAAATTTAGGTTTATTTTGACTTGTATTAAACCTATTGAAAGAGGTTTAGCATTTAAATTAAGTAAAGTACTTTTAACTTATCCAGGAATACTAATCAGGAAGTAACTATGCTAACATTTTATTTGGGGCTCCGTGAACAGTAGTCGGGCTTTTCAAGGGCTCCGCAACACCTAAAGTTTGAGAACTCCTGTTCTAGCTAGAGCACCCATTATGTACGTTATCCACTAACGCTGATAAACACAATCTCACTCTTCCCATGGCCGTCCTGACCCTGCATAATTATACATTACACATATATCCAATAGTCATTTTATAGCTCTATTAATATATTATTTTACCTAAAAACATTTTTTATAATATTTATATTAATTTAATGTTGCACTACGTGTTCAATGGACATTCGAGCTTGTAGCTATCATTTGTCGGTCTCTTAAAAATGATAAAATTCCTACTGTAGGCTACTTAATCGCCAGATCCGGACCCAGAGCCGGAGCCAGATCCAGATATTTCCGCAGCAGAAACTGAGAATGTTAGGACAGCCGAACCTTGAATACAGTTACGCCTCGCTTCAGTTTTAGCCAGCTTTGGATGAATTGCTTCACTATAGAAGATACCAAGTTCTGGAATATGAGCCGCGAGTGCTGGAGCTGTGAGACTCGGCTTACCCAACAAAGTTTCTATTTCCCTTTGATATTCATCCACGATGTCTTGAAATGAGCTTGTGTTGATTGTTATGTTTGGTGGGATCACAAAAGCAAAATTGAATCCGTTCAGTTTTGGAGTGATGGTCACTTCCGTTCTGTCAAATTCATTATCTGATAGGGTATCTCTGAAGATAATTTTGTACATTTTATTTAATGTTGCCAGTAAATCGCATTAAGACGTTAATATGTCTTCCGCAAAGTTGTTAACATTTCTCCAAACCAAGTCACTTTCATCTAGTTTACGGCATTACTGAAATTGTACATACCCATTTTTTAAATATTTTTTTATATACGGTATATTATATTAGATTGTAATGAGATACAGCAAAATTTTGCCTCGCGTAAACTAATGCAAAACAGAAAAAGTACATACGGACACTTGTATTCAACACATGCTGTTAGGCCATTTCCTCGAGATATTCTACGACCGTATTCCTTTCCTTTTGTAACTGCATGTGTTCCTCCACGGCTGATTGCCTCAACTGTCCACTCTTTCAAGTCGTCTTCGTTGGCATCAATTGGCAATATCTTAACCTTAAAAGAACGTGTGAAGTTTTTAAAAATATTGATTTATACAGTGAAGTAAAAGCCCAGCGCATTTCAAAACTGTCTTTCCGTGCAGGCGATTTTTATATTTTGATTGTATTTTATTGTATTATTTATTGAATTCATTTTGAATAAGCATTCATTTCAAACAACTACGGTATTGTATAATATAATTAGCATTATGGGATTCTTAATACACTAATGCATCTTCAATGTATTGAGATTTTTGTTGCACTTACTTTCACATAGCAAGCTTTGAAGAGATTTCTATTCGGCCACCAAGAAAACAGATCATTTATCCAAGGTGAAAAAATGTTGTTTTCGTCTATGGGAATTGTATTCACTTCAATATCTTCAGGTAAAACTCTTCAAAAATGGAAACATTGTTTATTTCAAATTCAAAAAAACGTGTCAGTAGTTATTTTATATCTACAACATTTTGCTTCGGTTTCAAGCGAGACATTGTCACCGAAACCAGCACCTCCATAGAATAGAATGCCATGTTACTGGTTATCATGATTCTTTGGTGTCCAAGAAGCTGTAGATGTTATGAAGTGCCGTAGGTATAATAGAAGCCAATTACTAAAACTGAGATGTTACGACTATGTCATTAGTTTAAAAATTAATGCGATAAAGCAACTCAGGTTCCGATATTTATTTCCGTCGTGCAGGAATCATTGTAACGTAATAAACACACACAATAAGACAAAAAACTATCAAAAACGGAAAACATTGACCCATAGAGGGATCCATTGATCCATTGATGAGGGATCGCGAAAGACTCAGTCATCCAGTTAGCGACACCTTATTGCTGAATTCAAGCAGCAGGTATAGCGGATTAGTTACAGGGAGCAGAGGAAGACGAATCAGCGACATCTAGTGATCAGGATATACTTCGATGAGTGCTCTTCTGGTGCTAACACAGCAACATTTCTGCCGATTGTGTTGACTAAGCACAGTATGAAAATGACGCGGCTGCCCAACAACGAGGATACGATGAAAGCGAAATACGTGGAATGGTAAACCGGTATGCATTTGGCTAATGTTAGATGATGAGTAGTTAGAATATGTCAATACCAAGCATGTAACAGATAAAAGCAAAGTAAATGATGCATAACTTTCGTGAAAGGGGTGGGAAACGTACATAAGTAAAAATGAAAATTTAGACACGTCACAAAGAGATCTCTTCAGCAATTCTCTATTTGATTTTGTTAGTTCCGGGGGAAAATATATGCGCGTGTTAAACGCCTGTTTTACAGCGTTTGGCGCAAAATACTTTTATTGGTAAAGGCGACATTTATTTTCAAAACCCATTTGGTACGAGATAAATGTACGTTTTGATGGTGCTATGGAAATAACGTACCTGGATAATCGAAAATGATTATCTCCGAACGGCGCACTATAACATTCATAGTGGTATCTGTATATGGGCCCATTTGAGCCATGGACATTTTCATTTTTTGGTATTTGCACAGTGAAGTAATTCAATTTGTTCCTGTGTGATAATAATATGATGGATTTAGTCAATGTTAGAATTATATGCATAAAAAAATTCTCCATCTTACCTTGTGCACTTTTACATACACGTAAAGTATATATTTGTAATTATTGATTGCATAATTATATTGGTCTTTGTTATCTGATATATATCCTAGATAAAATTCAGTTGAATCGACAATCTAGAAACTTCTGTTATTTAAGAATTCTTGTAGATCAGTTAATGATTCAGTATCCTATATGTTATACTTACTCAAACTTTAGTGTAGTCTGGATGTCATCTGGCACTTTGGGCTCAACAACTATGTAGTCATTGTCTTCAGCTTTAAAAAACAACATTAGCAATGCAAGAATGTGGGGGTTGTTTTGCTTTGATATCAGTGATAAAATTATTGTCACAAAAAATAGACCAATGCTTGAACAGAAAATATAAGCATATCGGTATAGCGAATGTGGAATGTAACTACGTATTTTAATGGTATTTAACCCCTTTATATTATTAGCAAGTTGAATTCAATAAAAATAGGTAATTTTGTCAATTTTCCTGATACTGATTTAGCGCAGCAACCCCTTAGTCTTTAAGCAGTGCTTTTTTGTACCGAGCGACTCGGCCTCCGCCCGGGAGTTGAGACTGTAGCTTTTTTACATTTTTGTAGCTTTACTGATTTGGATTTCAACTTATAACTTGTATATAATTTAAAAATGTTCATTTAAATATTGAACCAAAAAATAATAACGAGAATATTGGTCGGAGACCGAAGACTTATCGATCTCAGATCGGTAATTAGTTAATAACTCGCTAATTATACGACATAATTAACCCAAAATCTATAGGCTTCTGGTCCGAGGTAAGATGCATGCACATGCAAAATTTGGAGCAGATTCAACCATGCGTTCGTGAGATATCGCGTTCATCTAACAGACAAACAGACAAACATACAAACAGACAAACAGACAAATACCTATCAACATACGTACCGATCTTAAGATCGATAAGTAATTACCATATACTTGAGCGATGTCGAACCAATTCCCGTTGCATGGAACCGAAACACAAACTCCATTATATGCATATCTTCTAAGATAATTCGCCCACGCTCCGTTTGTAGACCTTGCGTATAATGAGATCACAACAATTCCATTTACTTGCGAGGACTCGAGATATTGGGCATCGCTGAATACTCGAACTAAAAAAAACAGATTTTTTGTTATACGTAGCTTGAATGTTATAGGACTTCATGGTCTATTTTTTGGAATTTAGATATTGTAAACGTGTTTTTCTTCGAAGCCTTCAAATGACAACACTTGGCTTTATGTCTGAGCACGAAAACTTGGACTTGGAAAAGCTTAGAAAGCTTAAGGCCTCAAAGGAAAAAAATTAAAATAGGTGTTTACCTTTCATATGACAATATGGATAAACTAATGCATCTAGATTCCAAATTTGACGAACGCTGCTTATGTCAATACGTGTAATAACAGACGCATGATTACTTCTTTTTCGTCTTCTCAATGAAGTTCCTGACGATGTCTATGTACAAATATCATTCAACAATGCTACTGTTTTGAATTATACGATTAAAGGATTGAAAGTTTTTTATGTACGTAGGCCTACATTCATTTGAGAAACTTCTTGCCAAACGCCGTCCTCTGTTCCGAGCCTGTATAGTTTAACTCCGTCAGTTTCATCTTGTGAGAGTCCATCCGTGATCAACTCAATTTGTACCTACGGAACAGTATTGTTGACATGTATAAAATCATGAATTTATAAATTGTAATTTATTGGGCTTGCATCCTTATTCAATTATTGAAGTAAAATTTAAACTGCACTCAAAAAGTAGTTTCCCTAATTAAGAGTAAGATTTTCACAGAGGGATCAATATATTCTTCAAATGTAAAAGAGTAAACAAAATGGAAAATCGTCATGTAGCCAATATTTGCGAGAAAATAAACTACATGTGCGTATATACCTACCCCGCGTGCATTCAACTGTCTTCCATCTGCGGTTTTAATGTCAGTTTGCAACATTCCGGTGGACGACAATAAGCCAGGACCCTCTCCGTCGACATCCTCAGTTAGAAGCTGTGCGGGTATATTGTCTGAATTTTCTCTGTTTGACGGGTCTATGAAATTGATCGCAGCTTTGACCTGGAAGTAGAGATTTGGCAATTTAACAGAGAGAAAGTATTTGTTACAGGTTTGAAACAGTAATTGGTATTATGCAAATCCCCATATTGTTACATGAATATCTTATCTATAGGATGCTTCATAGGTATTGTGTCCAATAAAATAAATGGAATCCGATTCCTGGATGAATTTTTGTGTTTAAGCTGATAAAAATATTCATTCCTCTACACTGCCTTTAATTCAACCTAGATTTAATTTATACTTATTTAGTTCAAAAATTTCATTTGTGGTTTGTGATTATTTAAGCGGCCCAAATTCGCTTGTCTTTAGATAAATTTCCTTACCTCTCCGCTATATTCAGTTCCATCTGGAAGAAACATTGAGTTTTCAGCAAATTCAATCGCTACATCTTGAGTTGTTCCAAGTTCGACAGTTTTCCTTGTATCTGATGAAAAACTTATAGCAGCTGGTTTTAGAACCATTTTCACAGTTACTGAATAAGCATATTGGTTGCTTATAAGATTAATGAGCTGAAATTTCGAATAAAACAAATTATGGTATATCAAAATGTTGTCATGATACCATGATTTTGGCACAAGGTAAATAAATATATAAAAAGCTGTATCCTACCTTTACTTGTGTAAAATACAGATCGTCTACGTCGTCAATTATTGAAAAAGTGATACGATAATTTGATGGATATTCCACACTGAAACTGAAGTGTCCATTTGTGTTTGCTCTTCCAACTTCGGTGTCGTTTATTTCAATTCCAAATGAACAGTTGTGTACCTTCGAATCACACCCTTCCATGCTGAAACAAAATTTTTTATAGTTTTTAATTGTGCTTAGAACATAGTTCATTTCATTCATTCCTGTATTTGTGGCACAATGTCGATTCTAAGCCTCTTGTTGTATTTTGAACACATGAATTTGTATGATTAAGTTATTTTTGTGAAATTTACCACAAACTTCACCTCACACTGGTTATGATATTTCAAAGGCATTTTGCAAGTAAAGTTCAACTAAAATCAGCAAACCTTCCGGCAACAAAAACTTTTGGTGATTCGCAAATCTGGCATTCACATCTCAGTACTCGTGAAAACTCAATGTCGCCTCCTTAAAATAATAAAATATTAATTTCATTTTGACACTCTGTAGTTTATCGACTGTGAATATATATATATATAAATACCTGAACAAGATGCGATGCTTCTTTCGTACACTGGTCCACAGCATTTAGGGTTGACGTCGTTGCTACAAAAACTAACCGAGCAATTTCCAACATCTCTCTCACAATTTGGTGCAATGGTTTGAAAGTTCTGGGCACGTTGGCAAGCTGTGATTGTGATTTCATTTATAATTGAAAAACCATGGCGATAATCTATTTGTGCAATATATATTAATATATGGAGATTTCTATTACCAGGGGCTTTTGTACAATTTTGTTCATCCGTCCCTCCTTTGCAATCATCGGAACCATCACATGCCCAATCTTTGGAGATGCAATTTCCATGTGAACCACCTTGTATGCACCAGAACTGACCGCTATTACAAGCTAAAATAAAACAGATATATAAAGTATCTAACTACACGGGTATAAAATAACCATAAATATTTGAAAAAAACAAACAATAAATGAATTGTCGCATTTTTCTACAAGTCCACATTGATTAGTTTCATGCTCATAAGTAAAAACGCATGAAGATATCATGACACTGTATAGGAATATTTTTGATCGGGATTAATAATTAATCGAAAAATTAGAAATTTTCAGAGCATATTTACGTGTGGTTATATAAACTTATTTACGTGATATCGGACAGTCTTTTTCGTCTTCTCTATTTTTACAGTCTTCCACATTGTTACATACACTTGATGACAAGATGCAATCAGATCCACCGTTTGCCATAGCGCCAGAAGTACATTGGAACCCATCACAAGTATCTGTAGAACGTGAAAATTTATAAACAACGTTTAAACTATAAAAATAATAATAAACGAACAAGGGGTTAATAAAATGAGTTAATCATGCATCGATAGCAAATTGGCATTTAAGGATAAAATTTTCAGAATAATTCTCATAACGTAGTTTTTATTTTTTATTAGGTTGCTCAATTCTGATCCGCTGTCTCGTCTTCACTTAGAAATATTATCTAATTACTTAGAACCGTAATCCCAATAAAACGAGAAACAATTTATTTCGTGACGTACTATCATATAGAAATGAAATTATGTCCATATCCAAATATTGCATAACTTACCGTTATTGCGAGAAAACACGACTGCAATGGCTATAACAGCTCCAACTAGTGCCGCGGCGGCAACAATTGAAACAGCTATCGCCCATTTAGGACATGTCTGTGACGCTGGTTCTTTTGGCTGAAATTAATAAATTATTAATTTTGCGTTAATAAGAAAAACAACGCTCAACTGATATATGACTATCAGTATTTCGGCATATAATTTTTTACATAATATTAAATAATGAATTAAATGCTCTCTTTCCAGTTCAAATATTTAAATCCATTTTTCCCATTTACAAAAAATTGAATTAAAAAAAAAAATCACTATTCCTACATATCTCTAAGCAACGTAACTACATACATGTTAAAAATTAATCCCGTTTGCTATAGGGTACACAAATTTAAAATATTCTGAAAAATAAACTTGCCACTCCGTCATTCTGGTCTGTAGATACCACCGTATAGAAATTATGTCTTTTTGACATTGTCAATTCGATCTAACAATTATACCTGCAAACTATGATTTCTTGATTGATATTTGCAAGTAAATTACTCCGAATATATAATCGAAATCTAAGTACAACTAAAATGAAAACAAAACACATGATGACATATATATTTTTGTTTTGCTAACCTGGTAGATATATCAATTCTTGTTAACAGCATATATAAGGATAACACCAATTTCAATAATGTTATTACTATACATATTATTCACTATTCATTTCAATAGAAATGTTTCATTTTCTACTTTTCAGCTATAATACTACCCAATTGTAGTTATCTCCATCATTGCCAGTTTCACCTAATTGCAATACTTACTATAAATACATTTCTAATGATTAAGTGAATAAATTTCTTGCAGAAGAAACAAAATTGAAACCAGTGCGACAAGCGAGCTCATGTTTGGGCAAAACCTTATTTATGTACGTCGGTTACGCCGTAACATATTTTTTATTCATAATCAGGTTCAAAGGGTATTGCCAATTTTGACAAGCTGAAAAACTTCAGTTATTTTGCATTCCAGTTTGTTGACACTTTCATAGAGAACACAAATTTTTAAAATTTTGGACGATCGAGCTTATTTTATAACATTATTATAATTGGTAATAAAATCTACTAAAAAAGGCACTATTTAAAACAAATGGCAAATTATTTTTTGTATATCTTACACAGCTTGCAAACTCGACATCGCTAAAAGAAATAAATAAATCTCAAAATTTCAAGTTAATATGCCATGTGGTTATACCGACACTAACTTACATTCAAACATCATCAGTAGAATATACTATAATGCTCGTTATGGTGCTAAACCCGAACTTGATACACTCGTGGCAGTCGCCATGTCTCGTAATAGCTTGACTGACACAGAACCTCATTGGAATAATAACTTCGCTATAGCGTAAACAAACCAAACAGTTGCTTTAAAATCGGTTTGCTTTCAATACTGGAATGTCTCACGCGGATTCAGTTTATCACTCGTTTATCATTCACTTTATCATCACGGAACAATAAGATGGAATCGTTTGAATACTGCATTGTCTATTTTGCGTACTCAGCGTGTAAGGGGAACTCACTGCGTAACACAATAATGAAGCGAAACCAAGAGGCAATTTACAGTTTACCAAGCAACGATTTTGGTTCCCTATTTGTTGATTTTTGGTTTACCATAGGGATAACAAAAGATTTTATTGATGAATGAAGTCATCAACGATCGAACAAATCAAAATAAGCCATGGGCGTTCCTGAGAAATTAGCGCTAATGCGTTTCCCAAGGGTTAAAGGACCATTCTTGATTGTGTATTATTGATTTGTGAAATTATCTAATACAATAAAATTTAATAAAAGTTTTTTCGGCTTCAATTGACAATTACCTAAGCAATATTTTTACCGAGCATAGTATCTATGCAACTAAACAGGGATAAAAACTCCAACTTCTCTATTCTTAAAAGTACAATATTGGCCGTTTATTCAACCAAGCAATAGAGCCAATGTAGAAATGTGCACCTAACAACTCACAAACGATAGTCAGTTAAGTTTTTTATTATATGAAATCTAATATTTAGGTGATCATAACATAATGTAGAATATAAATTTTTCGCCAGTAGAAAAACATTTCAATTTTGTAATAAAATAAACTGCAGAAAATATTTAATCGGTTATCCTAAAAAAATTCTGTTTATATTCGATAATATTTCCGAAGTGTAATAATTTGGTACCATGCTAAACTTTTATATATAAAAACGTACTAAACGTAAATATATATAATAGATTGACACAAACAGCTCATGAATCTCTGGCTCCAGAGGCAAACCTTTAATTTTAATCACTAAATCTGAGGATGGAAAATTTATAAGAATCATCAATACAACTTTCGCTTTTTTATTAAAGCATTTTATGCTAAAGCTGGGTCAGGTACTCAGATAGTGTTATAGCGTGAACCTTAAAGCTGAATTATGAAAGGCTAGTAGTATAGCATGGGGTCTACCACTGCATTTTTCATTGCAAATAGATATCGTTTATTTCAATAAAATCAATTTAGCGATAAACACTCCATGGACTGCACGTTGATAGACGACATATGGCAGTAGACGCTATTCAAAATAGTAGCACCATTTCGACCCAATATGTAAAACACGCTTTTCAAATACACTCGGTGTTAATTTTATTACTCAAGAGAAATATTTCAATGTCCGTATTTCATTGTATTATATACCCATAATCGGGTCAACAAAATCTGAGTAACAAGAACTGTCTGTTTAGAAAGTATTCACTCGCGGTGTATTTGTTTTTCGTAGTTTCACGTTTCGGGCTTTTCCACGCGAATTCAAATTTCAATAGAATGCGGCAAGTCTAATGTACACAGTACGAAGAAGTTAACTTTGTATTCTTTTGTTCGTAAAAGTTGAATACTCTTTCAAAAGCCACTTGTGAAAATATAATGTTATCAAAGAAAAGGATCGGCTAGAATGCGTATGCTTCCGGATTAATAAAAAAATGACGTTTCAAAATGGCCCGATCAATAGAATGTATTTAGACAGTACATGATTCTGAGACGTTATCGCATTATTTTCTAGTAAAATAATTTAGTATTTTTGAAATAAATGAAAGCAATAGCCTTCTAGAAAAAAATACAATCTTCAATTACTGAAAATTTTGGCAATTGGTTCAGTAGTTGATGAGAAATTCTATTTTTGCATGACAATAAAAAGAAAAATATTTACAAAAACAACAACAGCAACATAATATCAAAACAACCCATATGTAAACTTTGTGTTAAAAAAGGTAATACGCAGTAACCAACCCTCAGAATATGCATACCTGCACGGGTGTAAATGACGTTTATTTCTGTCCTGATTTTGAAACATTAGAGTTTTAGGAAAAATTTCATGATATTGTTACATCGAGAATTAAAAAATAACAAATATTTTCAAAAAACACATTCACATGACAGGTATTATATATGACAGGTAACTATATACTATGGTTGAAAAATAATAGTTATGAAGTAAATAATAAGTAAACTGTAATCGATATCATGAAAGGCAACAAGAACGACAAACATTCTCACTATGTATTATTTATCAGATTACACAGCTTAAGAGGTGAATTCAAACGACCAGTGTTATTATTTTGTATGTTACAGCCCTATTATGCTACCTTGGACACTGCTAATTAAACGGTTCCTGAATTATTTTTATGATTTTTGTTTATTTAATATTTGTATATTTATATTTTGGATTTTTTAATTCTCTGTAAGTTACATGAAATACAGTTGTTTTTATTCCAAAAATTTCAAAAAACTCACCATCTTTCCGTAGCACGTTGGAGTTGGGTATGGATAGCATGTGGATGTTGATTTTTTTGTCATAATTGTCTAACCTTATATTAAGTTTGAATATATTGAGAGATTTTCTTGCACAAATGAGGTAAATTTCTCATATTTGGGAGATTTATTCATGGGAAAATCAGTTGAAATATTTTTAAAGTAGGAATGATTTCAAATATTTAGATTTCGAATTTTAATATTTGATTAGTTCATTTTCACCCAGCCCAGGTAACAATCATACTACAAATAGAATGTTTCTGGCAATTGATATTAGTCGCCTAAGCGTCATAATTAATACGGCGTAAGTTTAAAAGACAAATTATCCATAAACTCAATTCATTTCAATATATTTCTGGAATAAATACTGTACTTTCACACTGTAGAAAATAAAAGAATCTGACTATCATTCTATCGTTTTCTTATGACTCTTCTTAACAACTGTATGAATAATTTGGAGGATATCGCACGCCAAAGAAATCGGTTTTGAGAATTCAGCATACCTAAAACATCGTTAAACTAGAAAAATGTTACCAAATTTGGGCGTTGCTGTGGGGCAAATATATTTGATGAATATAAAAGTCAAAAATAATAAGTTTCAAGTTCAAACAAAAATCAAAACCCCGTTCTACATAAAGCCAAAAACAAATATTTTTGATAATGGATTCCTTACCACGAACATAATGAAACATGAAGAGGCACGAATATCATATTTTATTACGAATTGTGGAATGCTTACAAGTTTGCCACGCCCAAGTTATAATAAGATTCCAAGAAACGGCTTGAATACATATTTACAGGGTATTGTATAACGACAATACACTTTACAACACTTTATTTGCTTTTTACAACACAATTATGATGGCCTCATTTTATAAGATAGTTTATGGTAAAATATCTCTTTAGTTGCAGTTTTACTTTGGGGTTGTTTGCGCAACGTCTGGGGCGTATGGCTATGTTTCATCGGTATACGGTTTTGTGAGGTGTCCACTAAAATTTCAAATATTCGCTCCAAATATACTTGTCGTAAAAGTTCTTACTTACAATTAGGACTGGGTCACATTCCTGGTGAATCGAATCTCGAATACTTGGAATATATACTTCAATTGTATGTGATTTTTTTTTATTGTGGTGGCAGTCCAGACACATAAATTACTGAAAACTTCATCTGAGTTCATCACCTAGTCCTAGATAGTTTGCTGAAATATACACACAGTAAAAAACTCAGATGACCGTAAATGGTCGTATCGTTACCTCCCAGTCATACCGAAAACTTTTGTTCCACTTATTTTGTTGCAATGATATACTATATTATGTGTTTCCTGGTTGACGAAACAATAAATTCTCTCTCTCTCTTCCACCAATAACTCACTAATAAGCAAAGAGTCATATGTCAGAATTGCATTGTTAAAAATGACTCCAATAAAAAATTTAAAGAATTCACCTCGACCCTTGGCAGTCAAATAAATAACAATATGGCGGCAATTTGAAACTTTCGTCAGAACCGATTTGAATATGTTACTATTTTACTATGTACTATTTTACAAAATAAAGATTTGGATACGGAAAATTCAACTTTCGAAAATTCGTCGCGTTAAAATATTGCTTCGACTAACGTAAGGCCGAAAAACGAAAACGAAAAAACGCGTGTAGTGATATATATTTGTTTATTTTATTTAATGCAGTTCTTGAAGAAGGGATGTTCAATTTGAATTTACTATTCGAATATCGCAATCATCGAATATCGTTTTTGTGTTTATAAGGATACCGAATATAACGCACATATTATGGCGCCGCCGTCCACGTTTTGATTTAGAATATTTTACAATTATTTCATTTTTCATCGTAATCGAAGCAGCCGTCTGCAGATTGGCAATAAATTATTTGCCAAACCATTGGCCCATTTGTTTCCCATGGGCACGTATAATGTGTGGCTAGCGAATGTGTGGCCAGTGAGAAGACGTTGATACGATGAAAAAATGAACATGAAATTTTGAGCTTCATGTGTGTGTGTGCTCATTTTCGTATATTACGTTTTCTCTCAGCTGTCAACTTTTGCCGCCTCCTCCAACCCACTTTCCGCGGTCTTCGTTTAGTCTAGCCTAGTTGGCTGACGACAAAGGTAAACAAACATCCTAGTTTTAATTCAGTATTTCTCTATTCATTCTTTTTTACATGTGTACATTTTCTATTTATTATGCAGTAATTTAATTCTAACATGTATTTGTTACGGGTCTTCATCATTATTACAATTTACACCAATATTATGTCCTAGTTTTGTGGATTAGGGCCTTTACAGGTAAAATATGTTCCTACTTACGGAATTTTCTACCTGCGAAAAGGCTTCCGAAACGAATAATTTTGTATGTACAGTTTTGTAACTGTAGTTGCAAGCACGAATAATTGTTTGCAACGCAATTGACTTTGCAACGCAAAAAGATTGGAATTGCTCGCACGTACCAGACTAACTGAACTAAAAACTCGTTTCGCGGCACACTATTGAAAATTGGCACTTCTCCTCGGGCCGTACAATTTTTCCTTCCGGGAAAAATCACATTTTTTATTCCGTTTAAATTAGATAAGACTTGGTGAAAACAAATTCATTGTTAGTTTTCGAGTTTCGTAAATATATTTATTCCGGTTTATATAAGTTTAGAGTCTGTTAATGAATCATATAGTATTTTTATAGATCTGCAATACCAAATGATGACACAGCTAATGACAGAGAACAGAATTGAAAAGATCTCGCGACTGGTCTCCACATAATCAAGCATGTACGTTCATTTATCCATGACAAGAGTGTCAATTGAAATCAATATTTCAAAATGACGCATTCCATAAATTTAATTTTGATTTTTTTTATACGGATATGTTTTGAAAATGCCAGAAAGCCCATATCGTTTCAAATTTTGAAGCCAGCATTTTTTTTTATCCAATTTTGGTTAAATTTGAGAATATTTCGGGAAATGAAGAATGCTCCTTCAGATGTCGAACGATTGCGATACGAATGGACGTCACCACAATCAGTGGAGTATGTATCGAAAGCCTCTGACAACATGTCCTATGCCTGAATTTAAACATCAATTTGGCAACTTCATAAATATACACATCATATAATTTTAAAATATTTATACGCTTATAAACGCCTATTCCATAGCCTACTGCAATTTGACCTAAAAATGAGAAAAATACACAGTTTGCATGACGTTTTTAGGAATAAATTTATTTAGCATTGCCGTGATTCCTACAGCCCTTGACAACTGCAATTTATTTGATCTGATGATCCCACCTTTATATTATATTATCGATAAATAGACCACCCCCAATATATTTAAAAAAAAATCATGAATCTTTAATTTGGTGCCACTGAATGTGAAATTGAGGATGGGTGAAGAATTGTTTATCTTATCAGTGAGATAATTATTTAACATTACTTGAGTTTATTAGATTTCACCCAAACTGTGAGACTCTCCTAATTTGTACAACTAGGCTGGATATTTGAGTTACATTCGAAGTTATGGAGGTTGTGCTAGTATTATCAGCGAAGAGTTTTATAAAAGCTGAGGTGGAATTTGCTACATTGTTGATATAGACTAGAAACAGTGTTGGGCCAAGCACTGAACAGGGCGGGACGCCTACAGATGAAGGTTGACGACAATTTATTCATTAGGCATATGTCACAAACTCCCCAACGTTTTAGTTTGCTCATATACATATATATATATATATTATGATCAACCGTATCGAACGCTCTTTTAGATCTAAGAATATAATACAGCCTACCAATCCCTTATCTGCGATTTCATAATATTTACTAATAATATGATTGCATGTTTGTAGAATGATGACAATTTATAATAAAGTCTTTATCAAGAAACGCAGCCTTGTGCACCGGAACAACCCTTGCCACTTTAGGATGATCTGGGAACCCCTCAAAGAACATAGGATAAATAAATAGTTCGCAGGGAACATGACTTATTGTACTACTGAAAAGTTTGAGAAGATAAGTATTATGGTCATACCTCGGAGCTTCAATCGTTTTTGAGAATTTACGATGATCTTTATTTCGGTCACTAAGCACTCTTCGATGAACATAGATGATATATTTGGAGTACCCATGTTTCCAAGATGTTCGTTATCATTAACATTTGGAATGCCGTGGACAAATTTTGCCCAATCTGTGAGAAGTAACTATTGAATAGTGAGGACATTTCCCTGCTATCACGCTCAATCATCCCTGAATGAGGATTGTTTTTAGTCTTTAGGGGATCTGTTTGTCAGATTCCGAATTTATTAGCGAATTAACAGTATTCCAGGTCTTTTAGGAGTTATTTATACTTTTTTATAACATTCAGCAAAAACGTTTCCTTGGATCTTTCAAATGACATAATTTGTTAGCGTATCACTTACAAAAATGATTTTGTTGTTCAGTACCATTACTAAAGTGAATTTTGTTCAATTTATCTCTTAGACTGGTTGATCGTAGAATACCAGGAGGGATTCAAGGTTTTTTCTAAGTTGGCGCTTTTTTCGAGCCATCTAGAACTTCAGAGCCAAAATAATCAGAATATGAATTTAAATTTCCAGCACAAATACTACTGGGTATCTCATATGAATAGAAAAATTCTTGGGCTTTCCTAACAAATTTGTCCACATCAGAGTATCTCATATCCTTTTTATTTTTATTTTATCGATATAATGAGGTAATGCAAGATTGAGTTGGAATTGACAAAATACAGGGTGATGGTCGATCATTCAATTCTGCCACACAATTGGCAAAATTATCGTTTCGGATATAATAGAACATATATGATCCAATAACGTAGCACAAGAACTAATTATTCTTGTTGGTTGTGTTCTAGGAGAAACTATAGCATTAGACCCCAGCATATCAATAAAACGGAGGGGGAGCTCAATAAATTAATGTTAGCGTCACCTAATATTCTATATTTTTGTTGTTAAATGCCAAATTGTACAAAGTATTGCTGAGGCATTATAAAATTTCAATTGATCAAAACCAGGATGGCGATATACTACACCCATAATAATTAAAGTTGACTTTTCAATACGAATAGGTACTTCAACCCATAACTCTTCACATTTGGTGATGAGAGAAAGATGGGTAGCATATGCTACTATTTATTGATCAAAGACATTTCAACACCACCGGCAATGTTTTTTTGTTTGCCTCTTCGTTTTGGCTTTTGTGTCTATGAATTTGAGCATAACTCTCTTGTTTTACTGGTAAAATCAGAAAATACACTTAAAACTGATTTTATGGATGAGGATATCCTGGAAAAATTGAAAAATTTATTAAAAACTGATTTTAAACGGGTTATGATTAACAAATATTGATGGCGTTCTGAATTGGGGGTTCTGTCGTGCACAAACCCTACAAGTACAAAAGTTAGGATGTCGTCTCTTGAGATCTCTACGTACGGTATCCCAGCGGAGAATGATGATGTATATGTGACAAGAGTGTGTATGATGACATACGTACCTTGAGAGACGAGCCACATAGGATATGATTTGTTCTTCTGCCAATTCGTTGTAACACTAGTTTCCACAGTGAATTACAAATTTTCTGAAGTATTGACTAGTAACAACATATGTCGCTACTATATTAAACCTAATTTTGTTGGGATTTTTACTGGCCTTCGCAAAATTCAAGTAAAAGTATGCTAAATGAAAAACAGAAATTTAGGTGATGAACACACGAGCAAAATTAACTTTCTTTTTCCATTGTATATGACAAATAACACGCGTCTGATATTTGCTGCGACTGAAGCCCTTTTAGTATCGGAACAATTTCAAGAAAAACAATCTGGATTCATATTATTTAGATACAGAAATAATATGGTACAAGGGTAATTTAGCAATCAAAATTCTGACTCTGGGTCAATAATATTTCATACTATAGAAACTTTACTGTAAGCCTACCAGTGGAAAAAAATTATCTGTTTCATTGCTCCACTCGATCATACTCATGATAGACGTTGGGACATGATAGGATTTTTATATTTATATTTATTAAATCTTATCTGGCGCATCAGCCCTGCAGTTCAGTATGCTAGAATTGTCGACAGACTTGATACGTTTGAAACTTAAAGTATCGACACTTCTGTAGGCCCCGAGTAGAAGTAAATTTTTATTATTGAACTATAATGTTGGAGACTTAGAATACCCACCCTCTAACTGCAATCACCATGCTAATGCTTCCTAGTGCGGGCACAGATATGACGCCATATCCTAAAATAATTCCATGAGTTTGGTCAAGATTGACAAAATGACTATGCGGGTGCTTAGAGCATCTTTCTAGTCGTTTCTGCTCATAAAATCAATCAAAAATGACACATAAATATCAGACAGAGACCGCTCCTCTGCGTTCCAAGATATAGGAAAACGATGACGTAGTGCAGTCGCACTCAGGCGTAGCGGAACAGCATTGAGCTAACTATATTTCAAGTACAACCATGATCTGACATTAGCCCGCTTCTGTGATATTACTGTCAGTGCTGTAGTAGAAACCGACGTTTTATGTCGGGGATATAATACTGTAATACGGTACATTGGATCAATAACATGAGCAGGAGAAAACCTGCGTTACGAATTGGAGGAGGTGTTCTGAACAGGAGCACACTTTATCAAAAAAGTAAGTAATTTCCGAATTAATTAATGTATGGTAATGTTCGGTGTTACCGTACCTACAGACCTACCGGTACGGTACCGTACCGTGCAAATTTTGAAATTACTTTAACATAGCTTCATGAATCCTGGAATAGGATAGAATTCACATATTTCTGTATTCAGATAATCGTATTTGTAGTTTTGTGTTAGATTTTATTCATGCAGTTGTGTATTCTGAGATTGAATGTACAAGCATTGCTTGCGGGTGCCTCAAGCAAAAACAGAAAGAGGAATGCGCAAGCACAGAAATACTCACCCAAGATCAAAACAACCCTTGATTTTGTGCTGCAGAAAAATAGTGACATGCATGTTCTGCAAGAGACAGCGTTAGTTGTCAATCAATGAACTGTCAGACTGTATACAGGAAATATCAAAATGGACCTGATGCGATCAGTGTTTAATTTTTTGCATTGTTTATATAAGTTATATACGGTATCTGTAAATACCCATAAGTACGGTACTGGTATAAACTTATGCTGCTCAGAAATACTGAAATATCTGAGTGCCAATTCTGCAATTACTGAATTACGATACCAGGATACAGAATTAATGGATTTAGGATAGGATTTTACATATTTATCCCGGGGGAGAGGAAAGCCGATAAGACAGCTTATCCATATGGCGAACCACGGCCTCTCGTCCGGTTACCATTCCAAGTCTGGTATGGGATTAGTTTTTTTTTTTTTTTTTTCGGAAGCATGGACTTGGTCTGTTGGTAGTGGAAGAAGTCGTAACCGACAAGCGGTTACGTGAACCACCCAACGACGGCGAGGAGTCCAGCAATCCTCTCGCACATAACCATCCCTGCATGGGATTCGAACCTGCGAACCCATGCAGAGTAATTAGAGGTGCGGTGACGAGCGTATTCCTAACGCTTAGCACATTGGCCACACCACCGCGCCTATCGTGTGGTACCGTACCGTAATGCTACCGTACCCTTATATCAGTATTTTCCTCTGTCCCTGGTCTTAAAATAGAAAACAAAGCACAAACATTTAAATTATATTATGATACAGATAGAACATGATAGATGATTTTAATTTCTTCTTTAGATGTACCTGAAAATGAAGGACTCGGTTTGCGTGGTTCTCATGGTGACAATGATGAAAAGAAGATTGACTCACCATCTCTTGTACAAAATAATTTAACACAGGCAATCCATAATCTTGATTCTAAAGTTGCGGATTTTTTGAAGGAAATTGATGAGCTTGAAGCAGGTGACACAAAAGAACAAGATACACAAGCAGTGCAGTCGCAGCAAAGTAAATATAATTTTAGTGTTTTCAAAAATTGTTGCCTCTTCAAATTGAATTGATTATCTAATTAATTTGTTCATTAGGTAGTATGGATTTATAGAATAAGATAGGATTTACATATTTATCACAGAGAGAGAAAAGAGGATAAGACAGCTTATTAATCATATGTTGAATCACAGTCTGTTGTCCACCCTTAGTTCTCAGATGCTTGGACTTGATGGTGGAGGAAGTCGTAACCGATCAGTAGTTATAGTTATGTGACCTCTCGCAAGTGGTGGGGAGTCCAGCAATCCTCTTGCACATTGTTATTCCCCACAGGATTCGAACCTGCGAACCCAAGCAGGGTAATCAGAGGTGCAATGGCAAGCGTATTCCTAGTGCTTGGCACAATGCGCTACATCGTGCGCCACATGAGTGGGTGAAACGATCGAATACAAATGAGATTTATATTAAATATTACAATAGTTAGTTTTCATCCAAATTTGTAATTTTTTTTCAGTTGTGTCTTAATTTTGATAAATTCATGTCACAGTTCATAAGGATGAGGGCTTGAATACAATATTTATCTGTAACAACAATTGCCTTTAATTGGGCATATCAACATCAATAACATTGACGTACAACTGAGTCATACCTTTATCATAGGGGTCACTTTTACTATTCATCGCCTATTCTTGGCGGTACCTTAGTTGCTAATTTTGTATTTAGTTTCCTATGGAAGCTGGCAACAATGCATTGATGAGAACACTCAACACCCATACTACTGGAATACTGAAACAAATGAAGTTACATGGGTATTACCAGAAGAAATCTCAAAACAATTAGAAGCTGTTTCTCAGGTTGTTACTGAAGCTTCTTTGATAATTCTAGTTTGTTATGCTTGAGGGAAATTGATTCTACAATTCAACATTTAAATTTTGTTCTAATAAGATTGACTAACATTAACTTCAAAATTTGGACGAATTACCAATTGCTCTAAAATTAATAGATGATGATGCATACATTACACACCAATATTTCAAACCAAGAACTCCTAATATTTAAAGTTTTTCTATTTCCCTTTACTATTAATTAGGCCCAGAATTCTTAAGATTCGGCCTTACCTACAGGATTCAATAAATCCTGGGCATATGGTTGGGGCCTGACACTCTCAGTCACTCGGATGTTATGCTAGGCTTCAATATGTTTCTTTTATTATCAAATTACTGTTGCTCTTTAGAAAATGAAATGTTGAACTACAATTTTTATCAAAGTCATGTTATTGGTTTAGGTATTTTAATAAAACGCTTCCACATTTATTCTCATCTTTTATGTTTATGAGTGTATTTAATAAATATGAATTAAAAAATTTACAGGTATCTCAAGCACACGTTGAAACTGATACGACAGCAGTGAAAGACATCAATATAAATGAAGAATCTGAAGGTGGTTTCTATTTTTTTAAATTGTTTTAGAGTTTAAAAGTTGAATTTGAAATACCACCGATGTCTTATATTTTAGAGCATAACAAGAATGATCAAGAAACAACCGATGTGAAAAATCAAGCTAAACTTGAATCATCGACTGATGTACAGAAGTATGAGTTGAATTTTTTAGGAATTCTTTTGAAGTGTCTTATTAATTTGTATATTATGCTTGTTTTAAATATAATGATTCTAAAAATGTATTACATGAAGATTTGATTAATAGAATTCAATATTTTGAAATGCTAAATATTGACATATCAAAACATTTTTTTCTAGTCATAACAATTATAAAGAATACCATAATCTTTTTACTCTAAAATGTGTTAACATGTCTGAATGCTTATAGTGTGTTAAACAGAAATATGCTTTAAATGTGAGGAATACTTGATCTTTCTGCGCTGTAGATCAATTTTGATATTTCTTTCTCAACATTATACTTGAACCAAACTTTTTCAAATAAAAACCAGCAATATGGATCTATCTTTATTTATAGTTTCAACTGCTTATACTATTTATAAAAATTCGAGTACTGTAAAATAACAATTCTAACTTGTTTTCCATTCATATTCTTTCTTTGAGAAACAAGAGCTGTGTTTTTGCTTTTTTTAATTATTCCTTATTCTATTAACAACTCTGTTCTTTTAAATTAGTGAAACTCAAAATGAAGATTCATTTGATATTGATGTTGATGCAGAATTGGAACAAGCTCTTGAAAGTGTTTCAGGTTAAAATCAAATATCCTTACTTTACTCTTTTATACAAATATGCTTAATGCAGATGGGCTCAGCGGTGGGCGCTCCAGAGGTATGTGTATCAATATGGAGGTAACTAATTTTGTTCGCCTTCTTTACATCAAGTTCTGTAAAGGGACGGACACCCATGGGCATATGGTATATTCACTTGGCCAACACAAACAGTCTCCGATTCATAATAGAACTAAAACAAGGAAAATAGGAATGAATGTATGGCCGGACCCTAACCTTGTACACACAGGCTGTTCTAATCTGCGTAAAACCTCTTCGAAATTCCTGAAACTCAATATGATGCATTGTTCAACTGATCACAGATAAAAAAAAAACTACAATAGGAAACGTTAGAATCAAAATATTTTCTTCACAAATTTTAGATCCGATTGTGCAACCTACGGAGCTCGATATTGAGATAGAAATATTGAGAAGACGATTGCTCCCATTATCTGATCAAGAGGAACAAGATCTTATGACAAGGTTTGAAACTAAGAACTCCTGGATACCAAATTGAATTAAAGCATTATTTTGTTCATGGAAGCAATTTATTAATTCATGATTGCAATTAAGTCTGAGAATCATCAAATTACTTCACAACGTCATTTAGGAATTAACAGTTATTTGTTGGAACTCAATCATAGTATATTAATCTGTTTTTTATTATTTAGGTTTGAATCGGAAATTTTGAAATTAGAAGAAGCAGAAGAAGAAAAAAGGAAGAAGGGTATATGGAAGAATTATGACAAACAGGTTTTGGAAAGGTAAGTTTTAAATAGATAAAGTTTCAAATTTTATGGGTTTGTGTGGGTCATCACGATTTTTTTTTTACGACGAATTATGAATATAAATTTATTTTAAGAAACCTTTTCAATGAAAATCGATGACATTTCGAAATTGATCTGTAATGACGTAGTACTAGGAACTCTTGAGATTTCTCTTTTTTAGTATTTTCCTTTCATACTTATGGAGAGGTCAATTACGGTAGGTAGATAAAGCTCACTATTTGAACTCGTTTCATATTGGTGACAAAGGTATCATTATCATTTAATATTTCTATGTTTGTGTATTGTTTTGCTTTTTAGAAAAAATGAAATCAATCTTGATAAAACAAAATGGAGGACGGAAAGATTACCTGTATTACAAAAAATGGGGTAGGTTTATTTGGTAATAGTGAACTGGCACAGCATGATGCAGTGTGAGATGATGATTGTGTTTGCGCGCTCTCAATATGTCTTTTGTTTGCTAGTCGATAGTTTAATGAGAGAAAGTATTGTTTCACAACAGTAAATGTCCATGATTTCAATTTGATAAATTTCTAAGTTCATTTTTTTCATGTTATGAAAATTTATAGAATTTGTGAAATTACAGCAAAGTTTTCGATAAATTTTGCAATTTTAGTACTTGAAAAATTAGCAATAATAGTGTTTTTGCTGCGTAAAGTATAAATTTAGAATTTATCAGCCTGAATAATTTACATGAAAAATTCTACAACATCAAACTTTCCTATCTTGGATAAGATATATGATCATTATGAGCTCTCTCATTTCAAGAAAATTTTGTTTTTCAAAGAAAACATCTCATAAATTGTACTAAAATTCTTTTGAACAGTGGTAAATGCACTAAAATTGTTTGTATTTTTCCAAAGTTTAACACCCGAAAAAGAAGAGCAAAGTGAAATTTTCAGTGATGAAGAGGAAGATTTTGAGCAAAATCATGTTGATGACGATACAATCACACATATCAAAGACATTGATCCTTCTCATAATAAGTAAGAAATAGTCCATGGTGAATAAATTTTGACTCTATGTAAAACTGTATATCACCCCAAATGCAAATTTCATGAAAGCAGAACTTAGAAACTATAATATAAGGGATTCAAAATTAAACTTTCAACTTTCAAATTGAATTCAAACTGAAAAATTGAATCCCAAAAAATAATAGGCTGAGCAGGATAGTTTTTTTTATTATGTGTATGAAGTATTAAAAAATTATAAACGTGAATAAATAATTAGATGATTATGAGCTGAAGACACTAACCTTTCTGGTAGCTTCAGCTCCATCTAATATGGTAAGCTAGGCTCAAGCTACAACAAAAAGTTAAGACTCTGACTTCCAATCCCTGAGTATACCATTACTAAGATGATAGCAAAGTCTGAATCGTTGAGTCTCTTTGTGTTTTCTGCAGAGCTGGGAATTTTAAATTGAATAGTAAATTATTTGAATCGATGCAGACGAAAATTTCGAATCTTTGCCATTTCGTTTTTTCATTCCGCCAAAGGTCTACGTCATTTCCCCATTTTTTTCAATGCAATTCTGACATGATATGTCTCTTTTTTTTCCTATGAGTTACTGAAAAAACATGTTTTTATTGTGTGTGAACACTCAGCCAACAGTCTAAGTGATGGATTCTATGTTTTTAGTAATTTATGTGTTAAAGCGAACCAATTACAATAAAAATGTCACATGCAAATATATATCTCCTGAGTATTCAAGACTCGATTTTTCTGAAAACAATATATTGATTTAATTTTAAAATCATCAGGTATTCGAAAATGCGCATTGCGCAGCCTTAATTTCAAGATGTAGTGTCTCTTTGTCTTGTGTACTAGATGGATTTTCATTATTTGTACTAGTTTGCAATCCTGGGTGCCAAATTTTGCTAAAATAGCAAATCTCATGATTTGAATCTTTGAAATACATTATCTTATTTTCACCATAGGTTGAATGAATCAAAATTATCCAAAATATTGGACGTAGAACCACAAGAAACAACAAATACTGATTCTTCAACACTAAACAATGCTATTCCTGAAGATGCCAGTAAAACTGAGGTAACTATATTTATTTGTCCAGGTATTGTAGAGTGGTGTGTAGGTGGAGATATGAAATCGAATATTCAACTAATTTCTGACATTCGAAGCAGTGAGTTCGATTGACATCGAACAAATGAACTTTATTTCAACAGCAAGCCCTGTTATACGCTTTCTGGCTGAAATATTCCAGATTCACAATGTGAGAGTGCCGATTCAGTAAAAACTGTCAGGCAAAGAACATTATTGTCCAATACCCAATTTCATATTGGTCTAATGATAATAATAAGCAGATGCCAGAAAAAAGAAAATAAGCCAGGCGCCGAGTACAGACCCCAGAGAATCAGGCCAAAACAATTGTGTCTAGAAAATTAGCATATTACCCCTAAATACTGTATGTAATTCGATATGATACCATCTACTGTGGAAAAGATGATGGAACTGAAGGTTTTTTTACACTACACCATTCCAGGTCTGTGAGTTAGTGTGAAAAGTTGACTGGAACCTAGATGCCTGATGAAGCTTCTTACTACTTCTATTGTAGATATGTTAGGTTTGCTCTTCGATTATTATTCAATTTTTAGAATGTCTTCAACAAGATGTGATTATAGCATCCTCATAAATTTGAAATAATAGTTTGAAAGTATTGAGCGTTTGAATTGGGTTTATTCAGGGTATTTATATTACAGTTGCATCATGATATATACTGGTTGTTGTTTTATACACCTACAAAATTTCAAGTTCTCTTCATGAGTTATTATGCAGCTTCAGCACATTATTTAATATTGTTTTATCTTTTAGGATGATATTTCAACATTATCTAGAACCATATTCGACAAACTCAATTTTCTTGGAATTTCAGCAAAAGCTTTCACTAACTTTCATCGTCTTCTGATTGAATTAGAGGTAACTATTAAAGTAGGATAGGATTTTCATATTTATCCCGGAGGAGAAGAAAGTCGATAAAAGGCTCAATCATGTTTCGAACCACGTCCTCTCGTCCGGTTACCAGTCCATGTCGCCGTCGGGTATGGGATTTGTCAGCCATTTATTTGTTTTCAAAAGTATGGACTTGATGGTGGAGAAAGCCGGTTACGAGAACCACCCTACGGCGACGAGGAGTCCAGCAATCCTCTCGCATATAACTATCCCCACATGGGATTATGCATAAATATGCATAAATGTTCTTAGTAATAGGACTCCAACTCTCGAATATAATCTTAAATACAAATAACTCAATGGTCTTATTTTTTATAAAATCTTTTAACGAAAAAAAAACAAGATAACAAGTTTTTGATAGTTTCATATATATATTGTTCCGACTTGATACAATTTTCTCATTCTTGTTTATAGACATCTAATTTAACTGAATGTGGTAAAAAATCTGTTTTAAGTAACTAAATTCTGAAAATGAAATTTTTGATTTTCCATTTTTTTATTTATTTTTGAAGCTTTATAAATTTTTGCATGAATGCGACGAGTTCATCATTCCCTAAATTCTCAATTTCAGACAAGAATTACAGATTGGAAAGAAGATGTTCTGCCAGCATCATATTTGTTAAAAAAGCTACAAATCGCAACACAACAATTGAAAACATATGAAGAAACAGCAACGCCTGATGGGTGGTCTTGTCAATGGGACAGGTAGATTGAATAATAATTGGAATTCTTTCACCTTAATTTTGACAAACCACAGAAAAGGAGAAAATATTCGATGGAATCCGATTTCGAAAGAAATTCTTTTAAATGGATCTCGAAGTTTATTTGCTAACTCTCTGTGGAAAATCATTTCTATAAATTTTTGATCGAATTTTCAAAATTGAATGCAATGCGGGGTGGGGTATAGGTTATAGAATGCAGTCAAGAAGAGGACGTCTACACAAGCAGTGGTGCCGAAAACGTCAAAGAAATTTGTCGATATCAACAACATTTGGTATGATCTCATGAGGTGCTGGTGAGTTGAAATGCGATTTATGTTTTAATGAATTATATATTTCTATTTTTCATGTATTTGAATGTTTTTTCAACTTTGATTTCAGATGTGGTGAACATTTATACAGTATTTTCATGTTGTTGTAAGGTTTTTCTTCTTCTTTTTTTTTCATATAAACCTGTTCGTGATTTCAATGGAAAAAGATCTGCAAAAAGATATTTTTATGTGAATAACAAGACCAAAGAAGCTCAATGGCATTATCCAGAAAGCAAAAAAGAAGATGAATCAATAGAAAGTAGTGATATTGCTTCGAAAAAAGAAGGTCCTGTTGCATTATTCTTAATACCGTCTATCTATTAGATCTGGATAATTTGTGGTGATTTGTTAATATTAATATTTGTTAACACTAAAATTTTGAATTTTTCAATTTGATTCACACTATGGAAATTTGTAAATCTGATTTGCTTTTTTTAATATACTGTCAAAAAATTATTTGCAAAATTAAATTTCCACTAATGAAATATCAAATTTAATCATATACCTAATTGGGTTCTCTCTTAATATTATCAATTTTTTTCTACACCAAAGGCAGGATAGTTGGTATGATAATAACCTGGTTTAAGATATCACAAATTGTATTAGTTTATCTGACCGGAAGACTAACTGCTTGTTGGTGGATGCTATTCTGAGCAAAAGTGACACTTAAAAAAGTTCTGTACCAAAAAAAATTTTCTCATAGATGTGCATTTTCTATACAGATTCAAACAAGAACAAGCGTAGTGCTACGCCTGTGACATCTGAAATTAGCATCCGGACAAAGAAAAGTAAAACTGAAAAAGAAGATGATATTTCTGCGAAAAATACATCAGATGTTCCCAAACGAATGCCTACTTCATCTACTCAATCCCTATACCAGGGATATACACAGAACTATAGTTCATACCCCTCACCATTTTCAATGGAAGGTCCTCAACCTCCACCCCCTCCAGGAGAGGAGTCTGTTCCTTTTGAAATTCCTCCTCCGTTGCCGAGTGCCCCTGCAGAAAAGCCTCCTCTCCCGCCTCCACCTCCTGATGAAGATGTCGAGGGAGATGTTGAAGATTTTGAAAATGATGACGGAATTATGATGGAAATGAGTGATGAAGAAGGTCAGTTGTTCAATAACTTGTACATATATATCTTATCAGGGATGGCCAAAATTGAACAATTGTTTTGAATACATTCTGAGATGATATTTCTCAATAAATAATAAAGAATACAGGGATGTCCAAATCGGATAGTCAAATATATTTTATTGTTCATAATTTATTGTTTCAATCTTCAGTTTTGATCGTGACCATAACAGGATCAATTGTTAATATTTGCATTTCTTGCTTAAAATAGTGTTTACATATTATTTTGTATCTATCGGGTATATTATCGATATCCTGTTATCGTTGATGATAATATTGTTCAATTTAAGTAGGCAGCTTAATTTATGAGCAAAGTTAAAAGCATTACATCCTACAAGAATTTAGCGAATGTAACTTGAAACACAATTTTTTTAATTATTATTTTTACCGTCTCGTTGACTATGATTATTTTCTGAATGAAAGTACATTTTTGCATGCAAACTAAAGATTAATCAGCTTTTCTATGATAGCATAAGACTTAACACTCGTATAGAGGAATACTTTTGAGATAGGGAGAAGTTACGGAAATCAGCTTAACGATGTCGGCTAGCCTAATGAGATAAGGAAAAACATTTTACTTCAGTTTTTAAACATTTCGCTATTCTTACCCAGAAGTAAAAAAATCTCAAATTTCAATCATGCACACATTCCACTTGTAACTGTGATAAAATTATTAAGCTTAATTCCAATTTTCCTCAGATTTTTTAAAAGTCCATAAATTTTAGGTTTGTGGGATTTTGGCATTTTTATAATGTATTTGGTAAAGTCCAGTATTCGATTATGGTCATCACCGAATGAAAATATTTTGAATTTGTTCATGTTCAGTTGAGAAATTGATAGAAATTTATAAAACTTGAATTTAATAATGCATTATATATATCTCCTTAAATCAATTTGTATCGGAAATATATTTAATGTAACTAACTTCGGTTGTATTCAATGGTCCATTGTTTCGGGGCATCCCTATTTTGTATAATTTCTGGTTATATTCTGAACGTTTGGTGATTGATTTATATATTATAATATATATTCTGTTTGAAACTCTTCAGTTTCCTAATATTATGATATCAGAATTGTTTGACTATTTCAGATAATGTTAAAAAAGCGGCGGAAGCAGATACAACATCGGCAATCATGTCACAACCTGTTTTATACAAGGTAGGATTTTTATTTCATAAGTAAAGCTATTTCATAGCTCACATTATGGGACTAGTATTGGAATCCTATACTTTATTGGGTACTGCCGTAGTGTTTGTACCAGGTTAGGGTTAGGCCATGATTTTATTAGATTTTCCTTATTTTAGTTCTATTACGAGTTCGGGGACTGTGTTAGCCAAGTGAATATACCCTCTGCCAATAGGTTTTAGTCCCTTTACACAACTCGATGAAAAGTAGGCGAACATGCACTTCTAAAGCGCCCAATTTTCATTACAGCAATGTGTTGTGAATTTTACGCATTTGTCTTTTATGTTAATAGTATACAAACTAGAGGGATTTTTTTATTTTCAGCCTCAAGTTCAATCTCATTTTCAAGCTCCCAGTATAACTGGGTATGCTATGTATATGACACAGAATTCTGATCTATCGTATGTACAACGATCATCTTCACCTTTATCTCAAGTAGAAGGATCATCGTCGCCTCAAGCTGTTCCTCAATCTTCTAGTCTGATGAAGGCCTCTGTAAGCAATACCAAATCCAAAAAAGTTAAAAAGGTATGCTTGTCATTCATTGCAAGAGAATATTTACACTTGATTACAAATTGTTAGCACACTAAAAATGAAATTAGCTCCAAACTTAACAGTGATTCCTAAACGCTGTGCCAAAACTTTGTGGAGCATGTTACTGAAATACATGTTACTAATTTCTGTTTCATTATTAGATTTTTTTGCCAGTTTGCGAGACTGGTCCGCCGAAGTCAAAATGTTGGGAATTACTGTTTTATATAACTGAATTTTGTTAACAAAAACTTGGAAAATTTGGAAAATTTTTGAGACTAAGAATGCTCAGTCATGTTTTTGAGTTTTGTCATCATTGAAAGTCTGACACTCCCAACTAAAGAGAATTCAAAATTTTCATTCTAGAGATCTCAAATATAGGACTACGGCTCTGATAATGATATCAATCAAAACTTGCCAAACTCCGTTTGCGACTCCATAGGTTCGGTTTATAGTCTCAAGAACTATCAAATGATATAAATGTCTTTTCCTTTTTTAGGTGAAAAAATCAGCAGTAGTGAAAAAACCTGCAAAAGGTATTAGTTCTCTCGTTGCTCAGTGGCAAAAAGCAAAACATCAAATTGAAGAAGAAGATAGAATGCTAGAAAAAGATGATGAGGATGAAATTGATCATAAGGAATTGAGCAAAAAGCAAATTGAAAAATGGAAACAGGAACAGATATTGAGGTATGTAGTACGAATTTGATGTGAACATTCGCTATTCATAGAACACTAGCTCACTGGAATCGATTATGAAAATGGAAAATCTGTGAGGTAGCTCGATTTTTCCCACACCCAGCTGAATTTTCCTCAACTTAGTTGATTTTCGGGTGAAACAATGGCCCCCTCAGTACATTGAGGAAATGGTTGTTCGATTACGGCTTCCTCCACCATCAAGTCCATACTCCCAAAAACAAATAACTGGCTGACTGATCCTATAACCAACATGGACTGATAATCGGACAAGAGTCCATGGTTTGCCATATGATTAAGCAGTTTTATCGACTCTCCTCTCCCCCTGGAATGAAAATGTCAATCCTAATCCTTCTCAAACCGCTTTTTTCGTCGTTTGAAAGTTACCACTAACCATTGAATTTACTTCACAGTGGAAAAGCTTCAAGCAATGCCAATTTCGAGCCTGTGCCTGAAGATTGGAGAAACAGGATTTTAAAGAAAAAGGGAAAGGGTTAAGACTAACTCTTCAACAGCAACATTCCGAGGGCAGTTATCGTGCTGCGCATCGTTGATGATATGTGGAGAGACGAATATTTTTCTACCATGCTAAGCAGATTAAATTTTTTCTAAAACTTGCAATTTTTGTCACGCAACAACTTTTTGAAATGCTTTGAAATATCCAATACAATCGTATTCTTCTGGATTTGCTTTATTGGTTATTTTGGTTAATCACTGTCATATTTTTCAAATGGTTCCACCTCATATTTTTTTTTACAAACTTCCAACACATGAAGGCTCATGACAACAACTGCGACTGTTTAGGGCAATGTTTCCCAAACATTTCTGCCAGCGCCCCCTTGGACGACCTTTTAGCTAACAAACGCCCCCCTGACTGAAAAGTAGAAATAAATTTATTCTCCATTTATCATTAGTCTAATTAGATAAATGGGCCTAGCGAAAGGTGCGAGCACATCAATAGACTGCATCAATATAGTCAAAAACAATCCTATGTTTCTTAAATATGTCAAATACGGTTTCTCTTGCCATATAGAATCACGGTACGGCAATCGAGTATTAGCTGCGGGAAAAAAAATATTTCCTAATTAATCCCTCATGTGAGGATATTTCATTTAATTCAGGAGGGATAATATGAAACACTGGACTTCGTTTTGGGTTCAAGATCGCTTTGCGATGCAATCTTAATAAGAATTCATTAAGAATAAGTAAATATGCCGAATGGGTCAATTTCCCACTCCGGATTAAAATATATCATGGAAACAGATTTCTATGTCAGTGTGTTATTCTTGAATATGCTGCTTTACGCGACGAAAACGTAAAACTCCCATTCCAGGGTGAAAGGAGCCGCGAAAAACCATTGCTATCCTAACCAATTGTCTATGGAGCAACGACACCCGTTGGGCTGGTGTAAGAAAACTTATTGTTTGCAAATCAGAATTTTGGACTGAAATAGGTTCATATAATAGGCAACTTCTACCATATTGCCTAAATTTTTGGCTTTGGACAACGAGACATGCCAGACAATATAGAAGGGCTGTGGCGAATGAAGTGTCAATAAACGTAAGCCATGCGCTAGACCTGTATTATAACGAAACAATACAATAGATTAACATAAATCATAATAGTTAACGTAAAACGAGCAATTCCAAACACCGAAATAGATGAGTAAACTAGAAAAAACAAAAAGGTGGAACTGGAATAAATAAAAATGTCAAAAACAGTTACATCTCTTGTAAGTTCCCGATTTGTTGTCAGCGGCCCCCAATTGCCCAATCTGATAGTCAGCGCCCCCCAATTGCCCAATTCGCAGTCAGCGCTTCCTGAGTTATCGCATGGGGCGTTTTCGCCCACTTTGGGAACCGCTGGTTTAGGGCGATGGATATTTCGAGACCCCTAATCCTTATTTGTAATTAAGAGTTTTCGTGAGCTCCTAATTTGGTAGTCGGTATTGCCTATATTTTGATCCAAAATATTTAACCATTTGCCATACAAAAATTCTGATAGCCAATTTAAGCTTGTAGTCCAGTGGTTCTTAAAGTATGGGTCGCGACCCAAACATGGGTCGCGGAAGGTTCAGAAGTGGGTCGCGACAAGGTCGTCAATGCAAGGGCAACCTAAGAGGAGAAGGACGAATTTTCAGCTTTCCCAATGTTTCAATTTAGCTTCTAAACTCTGGTATTTAAAAATATTGGAATATAAAGTTTCATTCACGGAAAGAACTGTCTTGAGCTCATTGTTACATCACAATTCAGATATGCCAGTCACGTGTATTATTTTATGGCATCGGTAACCATGCACGTCGCTTGTCGTTGTGTTGACCTCGCGGAATGTCGTCTTATTGGATTAAAATAACTAAAAACGGGTGTCTTTTTAGTAATGTAAATTGTAATAGACGACGCAATGAAAAAGCTCGCATCTCAACATTAAATTATTCAATATCAAGAGAAAATGTGACTTCACCTCGAGGCACCATTTACCGCGAACGAAGCAGTGTGTGCACATTGATGAGTAAAAGGCTGTATATTGCGAGAGATACCAAAAGCCAGCTACGATGTCGTGTTTGCGACGGACAGCGGACGAGGTTTCTGCTACAATTCGCGACAAGGCACTTCGAGCGAGGATTTTTGGCACTGACGGTTATTAAAACTAAGCTCGCAATCGCCTCGATTCCCGTGACAACTTGCGTATTGCGCTCAGTAAAATAGAGCTGTGTATTGAAGATATAATGAAAAGGAAATTTCAGTTTCATCAATCTCACTTAGTCAATGGACTGTTTCTAATAAATAGTTGTCTGTATTTGAGTCAAACTCCACTAACATTAAAAACACATTTTGCGTTATTTAGGATTGGGTCGCGAGTATTCATAAAACTCAGATTTGGGTCGCGCTCAAAAAAGTTTAAGAACCACTGTTGTAGTCTATCACAAGGCTCTCCCGATATCCGTCACTAAACTAAAACTCTTAGGAAGACCGAATTAACCTTTGAGAATGAAAGTGTCTGGTTTTAAAACTGTTCTAAAATTAGTATGCAACCCTTGATACTTCGATGATCAAGCCGTTGTTACAGAAGAAAAACTAAGAAGTAGATGAACGAAACATCCATAGATTCCATTAAGCACCAAACGAAATTAGGCTTGCACGTAATTGACAAAAATCAATTCCGTAATTACGGCCAAATCGATTACGTAATGACCCCGTAATTTCGATATTTTTTTCACGCATTTAAACCTATCATAACAACCAATTGAATCCACTTCTATTCCGAATGGGACATCGAAGTTTGGTTTTCATATTCCCGACAGTACTACACGCCGGCGACAGGTGTTAAAGACAAATATCAAGGAGTGAATTCAAATTAATTTTATTCTGATTTTTATCTTTTGTGTTAGCTTTGATTTTCCTTTATCACATTTATCACCCAATTTTATGCGATCAATTTTATCATTACCGACACTGGTATACGGATATTTATGAAACGATAGTTGACTTTTTTAAAATCGTATTAGCGTATTAATAGGACTTTCGTATTAAATAAAAATTTCGGGTTTCTAATTTATTAATCAGACTTGTTATTTCACCGTTTTTATACAATATCCGACTTTACTACTTAGTTAGCATTTTATAATAATTATTGATGCCGAGTTATTGACGATATTCCGATTACCATGCTTCATTTTACATTAAATCATTTCGCGGCCTAAATATTATAACATTATTTGCGATAATTCAGATCAAATACTAATTATTTGCGCATAATTTAAATACCGTACTTATATGACATGCCTTCTCCGGAAATACAAAGTTATATCGCAAAACAATGCATTTTGTGACAATTATTTTGCACTCACGAAAATATTAATTTATTTTTCTAACTCAAGTCGACAATCCTATCGGCCAAGATTGACACAAGTTTGGTCGAATGCTGGCGGTATTCGAGACGATGATGAATCAAAATAAGTTGCCGCATTTGGTAAAGACATTTAATCATATTTGGCCGAAATGTTGCGAGGCATTGTGAAAAACATATTGAGCAAGGCCATGTCTGGAGAGATATTTAACGATAAAACCGGTAACAGAACATCAAGATTCTGTAATAGAAAATGGTTCTCGCGCAGAATAAACACGGGAAATCCCGTCGTCTCTCTGCCGGCTCAATCGCTTTACCGATGCCGAAAAGACTAAGTTGCGTTGGTTCATTACGCAATTTCTCTTCCGTCGTCATATTGCTGTTTGATAAGCGCGACATTAATTATCACGGCATTATCTACGGTTAATATGTACATTGGCCATGCTAGATAAGTTGATAATAGATTAGTAAATGGCAACGCGTTATGCCTTCCCCACCTGCGTGACAAGAGAGAGAGAAACGGCTGCGAATACCGGAACTCTAACTTCTTCTACTTATTAAACTTTAATTTTTTACAATCGACGGAATTGACTGCTCTGAAAAGAGCTCGTTTCAATTGCCAAAGCGCTCGACCAATAATTACGACTTTACGTAATTCGTAACTTCGCTTCCGTAACTCGAAATAATTCCGTAATTCCGTAAATCCGTAAATTACGTGCAAGCCTAAACGAAATGCGTAATTCAATACCCAATTATTTGAGTCGCTGTTTGGAATGGTGTCCTATTATTGTCTCAAAGACAAAGGAAGTATGGCGACGAAATAGGGATGCAGTTTTCAGAGAAAAACTGTAGATCTGCGGTGTTTCCCTTTGAATATTTACGCAAACGGCACTAAAACACATCTAACTAGCGTTTAATCATTTATATAAACTTTAGGGTAAAGGTCAATTTAAAAAAAAATACAAACTTTAGGTATGTTATTGTTTGCAAACGAAAATTTGTGCAATAAAAATAGGTATACAGCAGAGTGAAAATATTTAACAAAACACATTCTTAGTATATTGGGTATCCGATGTATCATACATTGAATGTATTATATTCTACCAACGTTATTCAATCTTCCATATTATTTAATCACAGTATGGGTTATATGAGTGTCGACCATTGTTTATGGAAGGCATGTACTCCTGATTGTAAATTGTCAGGAATCCACAGGGCGTGATATCTTACTCCGTATATCAATCGGTCATATTGATCTGTTATCTTGCTGCACTCACCCGTGAGATGGTTTTCAAAAGCGAAATTGCTGTAAGAAGTCTTGATATTTAGTTGGAAAAAATACCCGCGATGTTTTCTGCAAGAAGTAAAAAAAAGTGTGCACAAAAATTCTCCGATGCGTGATTTGTGGTGTGCCTGTTTCTGATGTTCTACTCGCTAATCATAGCGGAATTCCCAACCATAATGGAAATGAGAGTTGCAGTGCCTCAAAGGCCAAACAGAATCCAGTATAGATGATCTTGTGGAAGCCAAACAATTGCACACATCCCATTGAACTGTCCTATTTAGAGATGTACCGATATCACCCCTTTTCATTGATACCAATCAGATACAAAAAAGTCTCGACACTTTTATATTATATTACATAATAGTTGTAGTTTTTGCTGACGTTTCCTTGTGACATTGGCCAATCAGCAAGATGCAAAATGTGACCTAACAATGCTCCCTTTTCGCATCCGCTCAGACAGTTTTTTCCCTCAGACAGATTTTCATGCGTAGTCGTAAACATTACCTCGTTTTCGCGTTTTTGAACTCTATTCGTTAGTATTTATTTGTGTTTCAGAAACTTAAATAAAAATCAGATAACTCAATGATCAATCTGTCTTCATAGGAGTTTTAATTCAATTGCAGAAAGGTAGGTTTTTTACTGTGTTGTGGTTTTAAATGGGATTCATGCTTGAAGGTTAATTTTATTACAAATGACATCTGTGTCTGAAAGAAACCTAGGGGCTTCGCGACCTATTGGTTTACCTATTGGCGCGGCGGTGTGGCTCAACGGGCTAAGCGTTATGAATACGCTCGCCACCGCACCTCTAATTACTCTGCGTGGGTTCACAGGTTCGAATCCCATGCAGGGATGGTTATGTGCGAGAGGATTGCTGGACTCCTCGCCGTCGTTGGGTGGTTCAAGTAACCGCTGGTCGGTTACGGCTTCCTCCACCACCAAGTCCATGCTCCCGAAAACGAACAATAAACTAATCCCATAACCGACTTGGAATGGTAACCGGACGAGAGGCCATGGTTCGCCATATGGATAAGCCGTCTTATCGACTTTCCTCTCCCCCGGGATAAATATGTAAATCCTATCCTATCCTAGAAATAAAATAAAAAATAGTGTAGAAATAGCTGTGATAACCCAGGCTAAAATTCTTTACCGGTACTTTCAAAAAACAGATTGTTGTATGCGATGATTCATAATGATGGTTTGAAACACATACCCCATTTCACAGGCGCCCACTCGCAAAAACACTTTTAAAATAGCCCTGAAAAATTTGCCATGGTAGAGTATAAGAATAATTTTTCGGGGGTCAAAGGTCGAGGAAAGGTCCATAATATGATAACAAAGGACGAAAAGTAAATGAACAAAATGTATTCATGCCAGTGCGACCGTGTCTAATCATACTTTGCACTAGAAAGGATTCGTTCCATCAGTTCTTTATTATTATAAACTATCTTACCATCTCACTTTTAAATTGTATTTTAATTACATGTGTAGCGTATCGGCAGTCTATTAAATAATAATTATCCAAGTTCAGAATATCTTCCAATATGGTCTGACGTCAAAATTCTTCTCAATATTCACTTCAAGTTATGCTATTTTATTCTATTTATTAATTATCAATTTTATTACAGCCAAAAACTCCAAAGCAACGGGAAGCATACAATAAGAATAACAGATACCAGGCAGTAAAACATAAGAAAGCAATAAAAAACACTGACGGCCACTTTCAATAGAAGTCACATGACCCCTAGAATCCGATACACTAAACTAGCTACTTACAATTTGCAATTCAGACCAAAAATGACTTATGACAGACATTTTAAAAGACGATAAACAATTCTATTTGTGCACAATATTTGAACAGTACTGATGGTAGCTAATTCCATGATAAAACTGAAAATTACAACACTAAATGAACTGCAATCGCACTCAAACCACCACATGATCCCAACATTAACCCACTGTCCAGCACAAAACATCCAACAATCACACAACCACAGACAACCATCCCCGATAACCCACCGAAGACCAGAGGCACTAAAAACCAAACATCCAACCGAAAACAACCACACTCAGACAACTGCACCCAACCAACCCACAGCACACGCCAACAGGCCACACAAAAAAAAAAAAAAACCTCCGACATTGTCACAGCGCCCCCAGTGTCCCAAATGCAAAAATACCAAATATGGAAACAATATCACATGACATCATTTAACAGATAAAACAAGGGTCGTCACACATGGACTGAGCTCTGCCGGCAGGCTATTGTTTTGTTTTTATGTCAATTAATTTGCTGTTTTTATGTCATGAATGTGCGTAGCAATCAATGTGGTTCTAACATATAATTTCTAGCAAATCGATCATTTGAATTGACCAATTTAAGTGCCTGGTATAAGAACCTCCACCCTTAAAAAAATAAGGACACCTATCAAAATAAGGTCGTTTCTTAGAAAAAAAGGACAAAAATATTTTCTGAGACAAAGACCTTCAAAATATGTTTCATGTCTATTAAATCTAGGTAAACTATAAAAAATTTTGAATATATTCCGGTGGGCTGGAAACATGCTCCCTCCAAAGCAAAAAATAATATTCTAGATTAGATCAAACAGCTGCGTAGGACTTGGGTCTTGGATTGACGAAGCCAGTGTTCCCAGATAAACATTATTTATCTCTGCGAGTGGGGACTAATTTTAATGTTGTCTAATATTTGTAAACACTGACACAGGAGCAGAAGATTGAGGCGCGTATGCCGTTTGAATGACGACTTCTCGGATGCTAACGTTAATTGTTTCTAAAACGTTCTTTGTCGTGATTTTCTGCTATTTTACGCGATATTCAAACGGTGAGTACTGTCAATTCAACTATACTAAATTTAAATTGAAGACATTGTGTATACTATATTGCATTATTCCATATATGTGCCAGTATCTATAACTCAGCCTAACGTTAACTCATATCGGTAACTTACTATAATCAGTCATATCGGTGATTGTTCTGAATTAAATGAGAGAATAGTTGTGCTATTTTAGCGTATAAAAGTAAGACATTACGGGTTTACAACTATGCTGGTTAGTGTATTGGCGACATCTTTTAGTTGAGCTTTGCTATTACCGTAAGTTAGGCTATAACTATCGCTTGAAAACTGTCGGTAAATATTGGATAAACGTGAATTTAAAAATAGAAAACTGCCGGCTTATGGATTTTAGGTACTTTAGTATGGGCCCCCTATTACGAGTCTGCTGACATATCATAGTAGCCTAGCATTGGTAAGTCTAGTTGCTTCTCGTACATTTAGTATCTCGCCATATGTTACCAGAATATATGAAATTTGATCTTTTTTTAAGTTAAAAATGGTATTTTAATAATACCAATTTGAAATCACAGCGTCAGACTGCACTGATTTAGCAGAAGAGTCAGAATGTAGTTCATTCAAAAGTGATGAATTATGTGAATCGATATTTGCAAGATGGAATTGTCAAAAGACCTGTGATTTTTGTGGTTAGTCTTTATTTTAGTTTCTTCTCTAATTGAATTAGCATCCATATTTGATATTTAACTTTTAAGTAGACGAGTATTTATGTAGTGTTAAAATGATAATGTTTCTATTTCCCAAAATAAAACTGAAATTGAAGACATATTTGGTTAGAAACTCTAGGATTGTTGCAATTTTAAATCTATTTGATTTCCTATACTGAAAACAGTTTAGCAAACCTAAATATATGCCAATTTTTATTTTATACTATGTTTACTCCTCCCCCTCTCACCCATATCTGGCGATCCATAATTTGCATACAATTTAGACTAGACATTAATGTTAGAGATGCCTTAACTACCTGATTGGGATCCTAAATACTCGAATTGTTTCAAGAATGTATAATGTATTTGCCTCACTTTGTACTATCATTTCAAAAATATTAGTGTTTTAAATTTCGGATCTTGTTAACTCCAGACAGTATTCAAAACAATTAAAAGTTCTAATACTGGTACATACTGATACACGAAGAATGAATTTCCTTTCAGAGAAACCTCTTTCTAATTTACAAAAAATTCTGCTTTTCAGGTGATGGGTGGTCCACTTGGTCGATTTGGGGAGATTGCAGTGCAACAGTTTGTGAGATTGTTGGTGAAAGAGTACGAGTACGAAGATGCAGAGAAATCCATGCAAATATATATTGTCCAGGATCTACCATTGATATTCAAAAATGTTCAAGAAGTGAATGTGAAAGCATTGATGATGTAAGTTTTTTTGGACACAAAATGGTTAACTTATTGTTGAACATGAAGTGGACTCATGGATCGTTTTGTTGTTATGGTGTTATTGTTGTTGTTAGTGTGAAAATCGCTTTTCTCTTCAATTACCTGACCAATGATTTAAATATTTTCAGTGGTTGAAGATGTTGTTTTCTTTAGACGGCTACCATTTTTCTTTATTTCAAAAATTCCTGTGGGGTCTATGGGATTTGTTTTTGGTGATGTCACAAAAATTAAAAATGGCAAACCTTGTGGAGGTTCCATCTTCGCTAGAAGGCTAACATATCATATTTTTCCTAGGGTCCGTTGGTTTGTTCCAAATTTTCCTGATTTTGGAAAATATGTACCATCTGCATTTATGTTGTATATAATTAGGACACACATATTATATAGAAACTCTCTGCATGTATCTTCCATTATTTCTATTTTTTACAGCAATGCGGATCTGGTAATTTTACTTGTGTGTCATCTGATCTCGATGTGTCAAATCGATGCTGGCCAAGAACATGGATTTGTGATGGATACATAGATTGCATGGGTGGGGATGATGAACTAGACTGTGATGTTTATGGTGGACCTACTGATTGTGAGTATTATTTGAGCCATATAAAATCCTCAATAACTGGAGAAAAACTATGATTTTACTTGTTTTTTATTTATTTTTAGCTTTTTATATAGCTGCTGATTCTGAGCCACAATATTGTTTGAAACACGAAGAAAATGAGGATGTGAGAGTAACATGGGATTGTCCAAATTCAAACCACCCATTAGTTTCAACTTTCTTATGGAAATGGAATGATTTACATAATTTAAGAAACATGGCAACTGGTCAATGTTTGTCTGCTAAATCTGTGAGCATTTTTTTATGTGTTAGCTATTTATCATGAAATCAGAAATATATATAATTTTTAAATAGCCTATACAGTAAGTGTTAGTAATGTCAAGTAATGTTAGTACAAGGTGCATTTTTCAGCTTATATTTACGAGAAGACTTATCCTTGAAGGCAGTGGTGAGGAAACTGCGGCCCATGGGCCATATGCAGCCTCGTACAAGCTTTTTGGTTCTTGAATGACCTCGCTTTTAATACATAAAAACAAAAATGGCTCATACATTTCTTATTATCTGTACATACATGTATGTTGTAACAATGGCCTTTGTTTTGTAGTAATTAGCATTAACGAAAGGACATGTCAGTGGTATGTTGTCGGAAATTGTGGTGTCAGTAACCGTCAATGTGCCTATTTGGCCCCGAAGATACAAATATGTTAGCGTACCTCCAAGTCACAGGTTCAAACCCCATGTTTAGAGCAGTTCTGAACCAGAAAGATCCCAACACTTCGAAAGTAGTCGCTGTTTATAAAGAGCTTAGTTGTAAAGCCCCTTATGAAACTATTTTTATGTAGTATCATATTTTCAAAATCACTTTTAAATTAATACATGCAGATTGCAGAGTGATGCACTTAACCTTTTGTTATGCTCATTCTATCCATCTTCATACATTGTTAAATACTTATTTATAATACTTTTTGCTAGGGATCTATGTCAGCAGTGCTCTGTGATGCCAAATCAGACTCACAATTATGGACATGTGTTAATGGTACACTGGAATTGATGGACAATTCTACAATGGACAGGTATACTTTATATTTTTGCCTTGGAAAAGTGAATTTTATCCAGGTTAAAAAAAATTTGGATCATCGGATTGTTCCAATTGTGAAATATTCCAGTTGCAAGTCATTCGTAAATTAAATAGCGTGTATTTTTTTTATTCAATTTGCCTACAGTTTCCATCAAATGGAAATCCTCTCAAATGTATGTTACAATTACATTTGAATACCTGTCTTTAAAAAGCCTTCTTAGAATACATTTCATGATTTTTCAGATATCTCAATGTTGATGAAGACAATTTAAAAGCTGTTGCATCTTCAAATTCATCTTTCTACTGGAAAGTGTTTTCAACCAGTGACACAATATGTGATAGAAAAGTAGAATGGAGTACTTGGGGTAACAAGCTTTAAAATTCAAGATTTAACAACAATGATTTTTTAGCGGTTAAAGCTTTAGATTTAAACTGTCTCAGCATTGCAGATTACACATTTTGGGTTCATATCCCATGCCCCCCTTACCCAGGGTGTTATAAATTGGGTAGGCAATGCTGAACCAGAAAAATTCCTGTTCCTTCAAACAATAGTTGTTCGTTACATTTCAATAGATATCAATAGCTGCTTGTATAGAGCTTTGTTCAGAGCAAAGGGTATCAATGAGCATCATATAACAAAGCCTATCTCGACCAGAGATTGCTTCATACACAATAAAGTTTATTAGCTGCTCAGATAGGATAAGATTTACATATTTATTCCCGGGGGAGAGAAAAACCGATAAGACGGCCTAATCATATGCCGAACTACAGCCTCTCGTCCTGTTACCAGTCAATGTCTGGTATGGGATTAGTTCGAGAGCATGGACTTTATGGTGGAGGAAGCCGTAACCGACCAGCGGTTACATAAACCACCTTACGGGCGGCAAGGAATTCATCAATCCTTTCGCACATAATCATTCCACATGAGATTTGAACCTGCGAACCTACGCAAGGTAATCAGAAGTGCGGTAGCGAGCGTATTCCTAACGCTTAGCACGATGCGCCACACGCTCGAGCCTAAAAGACATTTGGAGTATGAATTACGATATCTATCTTAACCAGATGGTTTATGCCAAGATAGATTAATCACTCCAACATATTTAAACGTATTTAAATCATTAATTCTAGGTAATTGGTCTGATTGTTTCCCCAGCTGTGTAAGTATGGGAAATGGACAGAGATCGAGAAATAGAACTTGTTTGAATGGTGTGGATGGTCATGGTGCTTGTTCTGGTAATAATACAGACTATCAACCCTGCCCACATGATCTTTGCAGACCTCAGTGTCCAGAAGGATTTGTCACAACTAATTTTCGTAAGTTAATGTGTGATATTGTTCATCAACTCTTGACTAGATTAGGTGTGTAAGTTGGAAAATTTTATTTTTGATCAATTATGAATATACAATATAGGCTATCACTCAATTATTCCAGTTTTCCACTTTTTAAAATCTGTATAAAATTTGGTGATGTAGTTCTAAATTGTGAAGTTACAGTTGCATAAATTACAACTTAGTTCTTGTTTTAACAATAATTTTTAATAAAATTAAAATTACTGTGGAGTATAGTATATTGTATGATTATTTAGAAGAAAAGTTCAAATATTGGATGAAGTATTGAAATTTTTTACGAATCATTACTTATCGATCTTAAGATCGGTAAGTATATTGATAGGTATTTGTATGTATGTCTGTGTGTGTGTGTGTGTGTCTGTTAGATGAACGCGATATCTCACGAACGCGTAATTGAATCTGCTCCAAATTTTGCATGTGCATGTACCTTACCTCGGACCAGACGCCTATCGATTTTGGGTTAATTATGTCGTATAATTAGCGAGTTATTAACTAATTACCGATCTAAGATCGATAAGTCTTCGGTCTCCGACCGATATTCTCGTTTTCATGTTGATGAATTTTTTTTCGTAATTGTGATCAAATTAGGTTTATCTGTGAATGGATTTATTTATAATTCAGCGTAATTTCAACAGTTATTAATAAAGACTAAGATTACTGTTTCACATTTATTATTTCAGATCTAATAAATTATTTTTTCAGCTTGGACTTGTTATAAACTCGAATTCAATGGAGAAGCTACTTTAGCGGAGGCCAGACATATATGTGAAAATATGGAAGTACAGAATATTCCTATCCATGCAAAACTTGCTGCTGATAAAACTAATGCAACACACGAAGCCTTCCTTACTGTAATGAAGAATAATAGTGTGTCTGATGCTTATATCGGAGTTGATATTAAAGTAAATAAATTTCTTTTCTATTGTGGAAATGTTGAAATTTAAACAACGAACATTTTGGCTTAATTTGATTGAAATTTATAATGTTCCATTTTTTATTCGAGATGTTGTTTTGTAAAATGCAATGTTAAATTTCAATGTAGATTTTAATCATTAAATCTTTGTTAAAACTTCTTCAAATATCTCAAATAAATTTAAGTCATTGCAATTTTTGATTTGAGCAATTTTATTTGACACCCAACTTCAATACCTCCTTCAGGTAATAACAAAAGTACCGGTGACTTCCGGATTTTGAAATTATATCTTTTAATCCATACATAAACTGCTACGTTGTGAATCAACATAATTGAAACTCAAAATACTTCATCGCATTGTTATTTTGATTTTTTTCAACTCTTAGTATGCTCAGAAATATAAGCCCTATCAAATTTTTAAAGTGGCAATCAGGATAGAATAGGATTCACATATAATCATACAGTGAACCGCGGCCACTCGTCCGGATACCAGTCCATATCAAGTATGGGATTAGCCAGTTATTTTGTTTTCAGATGCATGGACATGATAGCAGAGGAACCCGTAACTGACTCACGATTATGTGAATCATCCTAGATTGGCGAGATGTCCAGCAATCCCCTGGCACATGATTATCCCGCACAGGATTCCAACCAGCCAGCCCACTCGAATTAATCAGAGGTGCTGTGGCAAGCTTATTCCTAACGCTAAGCTCGATGTGCCACATCGCCGAGCCATTACTGACAATGCAACTTTGATTTTTCGTTACCTGTTTATAACATGAAGAAGCCTCACTTTTTTCAATATTCATTGTTAAACTAATTTTTTTCTAGTAATACTATAATAACGTGATTAAATTTTTAGATTGAAAATGGACAAATAACAGAATACAATTATAGCCTTGATGGTCACAATCTTGGAGATTTGAACCAACACCAAATCGGACATGATGTTACTTTATCAGAGTTAGGAGAAGGTTATATTTCAAGCTTTATCATTACATGGTCTTGATGTTGTTATAATATTGTCAGACAAGTGTTGATAAACCTTGTTATTTTCAATGTTTAGGTTGGGACGAAGATAATACTAAATACAGGATACAAGTATCTGAAGATAATTGTCTAGATTTAGCAAAAGACAATTTCCAAGTAACCATTTTTTTTATAATAGTATTATTTATAGCAATGTTTCTCAAATCTTTTCCATAATGACCTGCTTGGCACAGCCATATTTTTTTGTGACCCCAATGGACTGAAACAAAAATAAAGCAAAATCCAATAATTCTGAATATATTAAAAAAATAATAAAATTGACAATACCTACAAACAATGAGACCGATGTGCTCGCATGTTCTCGGAGAAAAGATCGAATCTTGGCTCTATTTTGATGATGACAGCATTCTTTTTCATTATATCTGATAAAGTTTCATTACTAAATTATTAACAGGGCATATTGTCCTCATGTGAAAACGATGACGTATATTGGAGAGTCGTAAATGGATTTCTAATACACGTCGAAGCAAAACTGTGTTTGAGTTGGAAGTATCATTACATCCCATCAGAGAATAAAACTTGCTTGTTAAACACAACTGATATTTCGGTGAATACAACATCAAATACAACATCAAATTCAACAGTCGATTGTATGTATAACTCCACGGTATATAACGCGACAGAAGAAGCGACGTTGAATTTGACATCAATGGATATTAATGCAACAAATACTACATATCCACTAAATGAGGTAAATTCAATAGTCCTATTATTATTACTTATCGATCTTAAGATCGTTAAATATGTTGATAGGTATTTGTCTGTTTGTTTGTCTGTTTGATGCACGCGATATCTCACGAAAGCGGGGTTCAATCTGCCCCAAATTTTGCATGTGCATTCACCATAGCTCGGACCAAAAACCTATTGATTTTTGATAAATTATGTCGTATAATTAGCGAGTTATTAATTAATTAGTGATGGAACACATGGTGTCACTATAGGGTCAGAGTGAATGGGGGATCCCCTAACTTTCGATCGATAAGTCTTCGATCTCCGATCGATATTCTCGTTATCAAGTTTTGATCTTTTTGGGCTTTCATAGTCAACTCCATTATAATTGCATTGTTTACATTCAATCGAGTGCATCAAACCTTACTTTGAAAAAACATTTTCCAAAAGTCAAAAAAAAGTATACCGAGTAGAATTAAAAAAATTGACAAATTCAGAAAGACAAACAACTTTCTTATTTTCTAGATCGGTGGCATGCCATGTTTTATTGGGGATGAAACCTTAAAATGGAGATTTGAAGATCACAATATAAAACCAGGTTTGTTTTTATGGTTCAAGTTTATTTCCAAGATAGCAACGAATGATTAATGGATATACTGTATGTTGTTGCAGCAATAAATTTTAGCTTATCTCTGTGTCTTTTCCACTTGTGGTTGTACCTTTTCTAGCTGATAGATATTTACCCTATTTGAGGCAAATCTGCATACATAAATGCAATCGCAGAAAATTTCAAAAAGTATAATAATTCAGTTAGTGTTAAGTCATTAAGCAATTAAAATAAAAATTGGATAAAATATTCATTGTAGCATAACTTAGTTTCTGTATTTTAAAGCTTTAAAAAGACAAAATATATAAAAAGGAATCAATTTGATGGAATTTTTTTCTTAATCATGTTTATCTGTGTTGATTGTACTTTTCAAATGTGAGCTACTAATGGAATACATGGCCCTCAAAAGATACAAAGATGACCTAAATAAAATAGAACCCATAAATTTATTAATTACTTTCACAAAAATGAAGAAAATTTATCTATCTATTGAACTTCTGTTTTTGTATGTTTGCACCCAAAATATTAAGTGTGCTTGGACGCTTTGCGCAAAAGTAATGTTTACTCGAGAATATGTTCGGGAAAACCTGGATGCATAAACAAAAAACCTGGCTGGATGCATAAACTTGATGGTGGAGAAAGCCATACCCGACCAGCAGTTATGTGAACCCTCCTACGGCGGCGAGGAGTCCAGCAATCCTCTCGTACATTACTATCCCCGCATGGGATTGATTCAATCCTGCGAACCCTAACGCCCATCACAATGCGCCACACGCTGAGCCTTTGGGTAACCATGTAGCATGTTCAATCTATGTGTAAAGCTTCATAAACAAGTGAATTTACAATTCAACAGTCGATTATATGTATAACTCAACAATATATAATGTAACAACATTTTTAGTCGGAAGTGAAATGCAACTAGCTACAAGCAACAAATCTTTGACATATCACAAACCATATGGTGACGAATGGATTGCAGAATTTGCTTTCGCTGGCTATAAGGATCTATTCATGTCAAGAGATAGCACTGGCAATTGGCAACGATTTAGTTTCAAAGGAGATTGCTTAACAGTGAATGAATTTTATGAGGTAGATAAGTGAAATCCATTATTTTATCGAACATCAGATATTAAATGCTCAATTAAAAGAAAAATTTTCGAATAAAATATTCTAAAATATTCCAAAATAAAAAATTTACTTCGACTTCTGATTTGTTCGAGTATCGAAACTTTTTGCCACAGGACTTTTTGGTAATTATTTCAAATTTCAATATGTTCTTACGCATTCCAAAATACTAAAAATAATGATAAAACATGTACCTAAACATCAATTTATAATAAAAAGAAAGCAGCAACATTTCCTCTGATGCTTGCTGGATGGTCGAAAGGCAGCCAGTTTGGTTACTTTGTGTGGTGTCATTTCACTCGGCCACACACTCATCTCGGTGTTTCAGCTGCGTATTTCATCTCGAGTTCTGCAGCATTTTTGATTCAAATTCCACCGTGTTCACTTCACAGGTCACTATAAAACCATGTAATTTCCTCGACACCAGCCAGAGGTGGAGTACAGTATCACAAAATCACTTGCTACATAGAAATACTGGAAAATGTCTTTATCCTAGAAACGGAGCTCTTATAAATAACACGATGCTGATCGTAGAAACATGTCTAGCTAATGAAGGAAGCCAAATATGGAATGTCAAACTTGACGGTAAATGATTTTCGTTGTTGTTTGAATTATTTACAGCTGGCGTAGCAATATATTTCAAATTAGCAGTCCTTAATTAAAGATAGAAGAAGTCGCTAGAAGGGAATTACTTTTATTTTCTCTATTTCCCCCTAATTGCTACAGGACCCGATATTTCACCCCATATTTTTGCTGTCTTCATTTATTTCATTGGAACTCTTTGATAACAAATGGAAACACTTTTTTGATCTTTCACCTTTGTGTTTATTCATAATTATTATTTTTCAGATAGTAACAGGGGATCTATTTCACCATATCAAGCGTTTCATTTAACAATACTGCCAAACTGTGGATTGTTAGATAATGGTAATATAAGTTTTGTATTCCATAAGATATTCAAGGTCAGGGGTGTTGAATATTTGAATACTTGTCATTTTGACATTTGCTGGTAAAGAACACTTTATTCAACTTTTATCAATATGAAATGTAATGTGGCCCAGTCATTTCCAGATGCAATCGTCGTAATTAAACTTGCAAATTGTTAAAAAAGTTTTTATGTATTTTATTTTCATTTTCAATCAATGACTTTAAAAATTGATTTTCAGGGGATGTAAAAATTTGCATCGCTGAATCAACATTGCTTCTTGATGAAGAATGGGAAATATATGCTGATGAAGCTTCTCGTGTTTCGGAAAAAATGAAACTAATAAGTGTATCATCAGAAGATAGAGATCTTTGTGTGGTTCCCCTAGGTACAAATTTTATTAAACTTCGTAAACTATTTTTACCCTATTCAAAGAACAGTAAAACGGTCTTTTCTTTTTCTTGTATTTTTACCAATGATATTTTGATGAGTGGTATTTTTATATCATCAAGGCTTTGAATAGCACTCGCTACTGCCCTTGTTTCTCGATTTTGTGTAGCACTTCCAATTTGTTCTGGTCAAGAATACATAATTTCAAAAACTGCTACTAACAGAAATTCACTAGCTGCCAAGGTTAATTAGAAAGTGGTATCTTGATAGTAAATCTCATTCTGAACAACACAAAGCGTTGATTAAAAAGACGTATTTTGCATTGATTTTGATGAATCTATTTCTTCCATCTCTAGATTCAGAAATATGCCTATTGTCATTACTAGGGATGTCCAACCCGCGGGCAGAATGCGGCCCATGTGAAGTTTTTTTATAAATACCGACATATAAACATATTTAACATAAAATTTTCTGATACCGGTATGACTGGAACAAAATAGATGAAACTTGAGGATTTAAATCGGGAATATCAAAAGGATTTGGAAGAGGTGTAAGACAAGATGTGTGCCCAATATGCCGTAAATCTGTTTTGAGTTTGAAGTTTTAAAGTTTAAAAATTATGAAATCGAAGCCTAGGAGTACGCTGACAAACAAAAATTTAACAAGCCAGTTAGTTTTACATTGTGCGGTATCAAAACCACCCGTTTATATTAAACAGTTGTGCAATGACAAACAGAAGCAAGTTTCGAACTAGTTGAAGAGAAAAAATGTTGACTTTATTTATTTTATTCTTTTGAGTATTTACGCCAATGTATGTGCATTTTTCATAAAAGGTGAGTTGCATGGTCCATGACCTTAGTGTGCATCTCGTGTTCAGAAATCCGCAATCCAGGCGTTTGATTTAGCGACGCTTAAATTCTAACGTAAATCGAAGTTGTGTTTAGTTTGCGGCCCGCAATAAATTTCCCCACATGAAAGTGGCCTGCGACACTAAAAAGGTTGGACATGTCTGGCCATTACTATTATTGATGTCCATTGTGTTTGTGTGTGATTACATAGCAAAAGCAAGCAATAAAATTAGAGACATCTTGAATGCATGTGTTGTGTTAGAAAACACTAGCACTGTAGTCCAATTTCATTTGCAGTTATCAGATCACTTTGAATTCAATAATATGAATTACATATAGCCTACCTAGTTCTTGGTGAGGTGTTAACTGCTGTCCCCAAGGAGGCGTTAAAAATTTCGAACCTGTGACATGAACACGGTCTAGTCATTGCACCAACTTCATTATGCTTTTGAAAAATGAAATACCAATTGTGAGAATATGCTAGCGAGTTGTATATTAGAACATACTAATCCATGTAATAACTTATATGTGGAGCATCATACGCTAAGTTATTTTGTTAATATTCAAACTTTTTTAGGTCCTGGGTGCACTGGACAACTAGCCTATGGTAATTGCAGTTCAGATCACGAGGGTTGGTGGTTGTGGGCTGATGAAGGACGAATGCTCATTAACATTCCTACAAGTGATTTTTCTTCATTCAATTGTTGCATTACTGCAAATCAAGAAGATGAATCAACTACTTTACTACTAGAGTACTGTAATCCAAGTGATCCAAGGTAGGTAGAAACGGAAGTTAAATTCGCAAATTAGCTTCTGAAATTAAAATTGTATTCCAATGAGATATTATTTACTTTCTCTTTTAATAATTGTCAATCGAGCTTTACTTTTTTAACGAAGTTACTGTGAGCTCTCCTCACTTTACTGTCAATAAACTCTTTAGACCTGGGGTATGCAACCTTTATTTCAGGAGGGCCAGATACAAGTAACTGGGTGAAGCTGCGGGCCAGACCTTAAGATAGCCCTTCTAATAGTTGCACGCACAACTTTTTTTGTCATTGATCTTACGGTATTATTAAAAGTCCTTGCAGTAATGGTGAATAAAAACTCTGAATAAATTTCTGAAGAAAACTGCTATTCAAATCTATTGTCACACAGACTTTAAGCAAATTTAGTGAGAAACACGTTTTTATAACATCGTGTTTTTTGCAACATGATTTTGCTGGCGAGTCTTGCTAATATTACAGTGGCACTCAGGTATAGGCTTTGCGACGCAAAAATATTGGTATTGCTCGCACGTACCAGATTACCTAAGCTAAAAACTTGTTCAGCAGGCACACCATTCAAAATTGGCACTTCGCCGCAGGCCGCTAATTTTGCTCTGAGATGATTTTATTTTATTTCGAGGTGGTTGCGCATGATCTTGCTTTGGGTAAATACTATTTAAAAAAAGTACATATTTGTAATGATTTTACTATGAACCAATACTATTTTGTTGAGCTCTAATTAATGGTTAAGGTATCCAAAAGATTCATACATAGTTTATTCTTTTTTTCTGAATTATCTTATCTGGTTATCTAATCTTTCAGTTTTGGCATTGCGTACTCATTTTATTACACCCTGTGTAGGGTGTGAGGCACAGGATTCGAAACCTGCTAACATAGTTGGATTCGGAGGGTAACCACTAAGCAATCATTCATTGCCTTTATAATCTGTTACAGTGAACAATTATGGATTCTAAAGAATGGAGATAAAGGAAGTAAAATAGGTTTGGCAAGTGATCCCTCACTTATACTAAATAAGGAATCTGAGAGAAATAACGAAACTGAGAATGAGGAAGATAAAGTTGTTAAAATTGTTGTGAAAAGCGAAACAAGAGGCAAATGGATAGCAATTGATGAAAACGGTGTGTATCTTACTATTTTATTGTATTATTGAAGTGAATATTAACGTCAACTCTGACCAAGCCTATAGATATGTTTCTAGATGGAACTTAAGCTAGTAGATTCTTGGAAGGGATAGGATAAAATTTACATATTTATACCAGAGGAGAACAAAAATGATAAGACAGCCTAATTATATGACGAACCGTGGCCTCTCGTCCGGTTACCAGTTCATGTCGGGTATGGGATTAGTTAGCCAGTCTCTTTCAGATGCATGGACTTGATGGTGGAAGAAGCTGTACCAGACTAGGGGTTATGTAAACCACACTGCTGTGGAGAGGAGTCCAGCAACCCTCTTTGCACATAATTACAGGGTTCAAAACTATTAACCCACGCAAGATAATCAGAGATGCGGTGGCGAGCGTATTTCTAACAATTTCGCGCGATGTCCCAGGCTGCCGAGCCAAATGGATTCCGGAGAAAAGCCTACACTCTACACCAGAGGTTTCATAATTTTCAAGCTCACAAACACTTTTACTTTCCACAAATACAATACAAAATATGGCATATTGAAAAAGATTCCACTTAGATATATTTCCAAGAAAAGATTTATAATATATATGCAGATAAATGATCATAATGTGACTGGATGTCCGAAATAGCCAGTCATACATTTCTCTCAACATCAAGTTTATTGGATTTAATTTTTTTATGTCAAGTTCTAAGTTTGGAAACCGCTACTGTACATAAATAAATGGCATTCTAGATGGACTGGTAGTCTATTAGTAGACATTACAAGATTTTAGAATGAAGTTACTCTTACACTTGTTTATGGTTTGTGCTTCATTTTTCAGTAACACTTACATTATGTTTCACATCTATATTACTTACAGAAAACGAAGTCAAATTGCCAGTAATATATAATTGCCAGAGTGACTATGCTAAAACAGATGATATTGTACATCAACATACAGAGGATGGCATTTTATGTCAGAGATGGGATTCTCAATACCCACATAAACATACTTACATAGCCGAACCACATAACTTTTGTAGGTAAGTGTTGGTTGAGCTTGGAAATGCCTATCAAGCATGTAACAAAGATGACCCATGCTTAATTTAGTATAATTAGATAATATCTGATTGGATTGTATTTTTTATTTGGAATTTAAGCCCGATAGGCCCAGGTAGGTAATAAACCTAAATAATTGCTTGTGGTGTTTTAATTTTTAATATAGAAATACTTTTTCAATTTATTGCGGTAATTTTTTATTTGTCATACATTATTATCTAAACATTCTAAAATTAAAATTTATTTCTAAAAACAAGCTTAAAAATGTAGAAAGAATAGTAATTCTACAAATTTAAATATTGTCAATAAATACAGGAATCCACCAAGCTATCGCTCGTCAAAACATCCACCTTGGTGTCTGACTACGGTACCAAAACCACGATGGCAAAAATGTAAGGTACCATTTTGTCCTCGTACTCTCGGAGTTGCTCTGTCTGCTCCTTCAGGCACATGGAATGTCACTGGTGGGCTTGAAAAACGACCCTTTATTTGTGAAGCACCAGTCGAATGTATAGTAGGTATTGGGGAAGATTATCACGGTACAATCAGAAGGACAGATTCAGGGAAATTATGTCTAAATTGGAAAGAGTTACAGATCAAATTAAATCAAGAAAGGTGTGTAGAGATATTAGATTTCATACACCTGAATGCAATTTTCAACTATTTAATTATAAAATGTACTTATTTAGTTCAGGAATAAGAGCTCCAGATCATTCATTTTGCCGAAATCCTAACTCTGATCGACTTGGACCTTGGTGTTGGGTAGATAGTCATGTTAGAGAATACTGCAGTTTTATTCAAAAGTGTGAATTGAGATGTTCAACGCCTCCAACACCATACAGGTGAGAGGGTTTTAGGTGAGTGTGAGTGAGTAGATGTACAGAAGTGTGATTTGAGATGTTCAACACTTCCGACACCATACAGGTGAGAGGATTTGGGTGAGGGATAATGAAGAGTGTGAGTGAGTAGATGTTATTCAAAAGTGTGATTTGAGTTGATCAACGACTCCAACATCATACAGGAGAGAGGCTTTCTGAGTGAGTCAAATAGGAGAGTGTGAGCAATCAGACATTCTATAACTCCTCTATACAAGTGAGTTGTTTGCAAGTAGATTGTGAGTGTGTATGTAAAAATCTAATTTTGAAAAAATTCCTTTGTTTTTCTCTAAAAGTAAATAGGTTGTACAAAATATTGAATTACTTTTGTAAAGAATAAGTTAATTTCATTGTGCGATGGAAAATTTTAGTCTTCCTCTCTCGTGCAGATTTGAATATTTAAAAAAGCCCTTTTTTTCCATATAATATAGTTCATCATATTCATAACTTATGATGAGAGATGAGAATAATGTGTCGTGCTACACAGTTTTGAGGAAACGAATTTTCAACTTATAGAACCAATGGTCTCTTGCATTTTTCCGGCAATTTATGTACTCATAAGCCTGTCGAGGTCTCTTTCAACTCTTCTATTCTATTAGTACTCTTTCCAATTTTAAATTGAGAACGTCGCTTTCAGTGTTTGAGGCATAAAAATTTATATATTAGGAGCAGTATAGTTATACGTACCATTTGTAACATTTGCGGTTCTTTATATTTCAGGGGGAAAATTGAATCAATACTTTACTCGCATCCTGGATCAGGATACGCTAATGCTACAAAAGTTGTTTTAGGATGTGAAAAAGGTTTTACTAGAAATATGCAGGAAGAATCTAATCAGAAAGACTATGATTTACTTTGTGAAAATGTGAGTGAGTAGATTCAAGTACTGAGTGAGTAGAATTGGATAGATGGGGATCGATTTCGACGGGTGTTTTTTTCATACTAAAGCATTTTTGACTTTGTAACATATTAATGCCAAGTGTAATTTAAGCCTGCCAATGAATGAGATTAAGCTATTTGTAGGAAAAAAGTTACTTCTGTATTTAATGTAGACTGTTTAAATGAGGTCATGCTCACTCACTCAAAACTCACTCACTCTGTTTTTTTTAGGGAAGATGGAAAGGAAGTGTGCCGACTTGTGATCCGAAGACATGTGAAATTCCAGAAAATGGAATATTCAATGCTGAAAAAGACACCAAAGAAACAACAGTAGGAATCCGTTCTACATTAAGTTACAAGTATGGTATTCCACTTTTAATTCCACATTTAAAAGAACGCTAATGCAAATATATTACTGTAACTTTTTTGGAAATAAAGTCAAATTTTTTCAGACAAGAATAATTTTACTATTAGGAGATGTAAAAACCAGTATCGTTATTTCGTTAAAAAATTTCACTTTATTTCAGATGTCTTCAAGGATATCTCTTCACCAACATAGAGACAACGATTGAATTAACATGTAATGGAGATGATGATTGGGAAGCAAACTTTCTTCCAATTGAAAATTACATGCTTGATATTAAACATTTAACTGCAGATGACATTGAAAAAATTGCTTGCTATCCACCTTGCGATAAGGATTATGAAAGTGTTGCGACTTGGTGTGTGAAGGTATGTTTTCATAAATTGTTATTTCTATTGCACCAGATATGAAAATTCTATAAAATTTTCATCAGATATGACATACCGGAATACTGTTCGTATACTGCCACAGGTTTTGTGACATCATTCTAACCTATCTCAATTATAAATAATTTAAAAAATCAGAAATTACCTTAACTCAGAAGCAGTATTAGTATGTCTGTCTAGGCCTAGGGCAATAGAAATTACTTTTTTGTCAAGTATGAAGACAGCTTTTTATGGAGCAAATATTGTCAGATTTATCTGGTTTTCTGTCCTATGATTTTTCTCTCAAAATTTTGCTGTTCTATTTCAATTTATGGGAGTACTATATATTGTCACATTCGCCCACTGATCTTTTCTGCAAATTTTGTGCTCCCTACGCGTAAAGCCTCAATGTGTGACCTGCTTGGCCATATAATTTAGCAATTTTCTTTTGTTTTATGTCTAAGGTGAGAAGGTGAACACTAAATATTTTCGATTATGGAACTGATTGCATTTCCGAAATATTTCTTTTTGTTTTTTTTCATATATTTAGATTGTGAAGCCTGATAAAGATTTCCCATTTAGTTCAAGTGTTCAACCTTGCCCAAAAGGAACATTTCATGCACCTGCTGAATTTGGTCTCATTCCAAGTCTTCGGGAATATATTACGGAAAATATAAGACAACAAGTACAACTTGATGGTGGTTTTGTTACAGCAATGGAAAGATCTATGTTTGATAAGAAATTTAGGTAAATTTTTAAGTTTAATATGCTTAATTATGGCGAAAAAGTGATGAAATTCTCTGTATAATTTGTACCATGTACCTGGATTTTAAAGTAATGTCTCATGCTATTAACACATCAAATTCTTTCAAGTATCATTAGTTTGAAAGTTTTTAAATAAATTATTTAGGGCAGGGATGCTGAACCATTAACCTGCGTATCACAAGGTGACCATCATGCTTGTTTTGGTCATAAATTATTGCACAAAACGTGCTAATGATAAATAAATTATAATTAGGTAGACCGCAATTCAATCTGATAATAAATGAACTAATATAGTAAGAAGATATAGAAGAAGGATAAGTAATTGGTCCCACAGAAACCATATCGATAGCACAAGTCGTTTAAATATATTTTCAAATTTCATGATATGAGTTTTACATAGATCTGCCACTGATGGTAAAAAATTGGATTCTTCAAAGTTTCTATCTGCATCTTTCTATCTTCAAACGTTGGAGGAACATTCTGTCAAAGATGATAACGGAACCGATATCACCACAGTATTATGTGGAAAATCCACTCTCATTGAATCAAGAATTGAGATACTGGTTAGATATTCAAAATTCATTTGAAATTTCTCAACTATTTCTTGTCGTTATCTCTTATTTCGTTACTTCATAGCTCGTACCATGCCCGACCAATGATACCGATGATGCTAGCTTTTTTTTTCGATGGATAACACAGCGCCATATTTTTCATGTATCATCAAAAAGATGTGTGTCTTTCCGGTCATCAGGTAACTAACTTAGCTTGTTGTAAAATAATTTCAGTCATCGGTTAATATAAATGTTTTATTATACAAAATTGAAATTGGTCGTATATTTTGTTTTACCCAAGCATTTGAAAAACTCTTGCCACCACATCTCCAATTTTTTTTCTTGGATAAGTATATATGTGAGGATTGCTGGACTTGGCGTCGTTGGTTGTTTCACATATCTTCTGACGAATAGCGTGAAATTTGATAATCTGAAATGAAATGAAACTATTTCCATACTCACTATGGACTGATGACCAGACAATAGATCTTGGTAACCATGTGCTTATTAAGCTAGCTTTTGTTGCTCTGGGATAAATATAAAAATATCCTATATCAATCAACTGCACCGTAAAACACAGAATAAAGAGATTATTAAAGTGCTTTCAGTTGTTAATCATAGGTTTATATATAATTATGGATTGTTAATAATAATTTTCTCAATCTGAATAATAATACAAAATATATCTCAATAAGGTGATCAAGACAGGGTATCTTTGGAACCTTGTAGTTTTGAAGACCAAGATCAAATGTGGGCATGTGATGGATACCTTATTCTAAATCCAAGTCGGAAAGCCTATTTCGCAAAGAGTAAAAGTGCAAAACCAACTGTGAGATTATCAAAAGATAAAAATGTAAGTGATCTTCCCATATATACGGAAATGTATGACATCATTGAATTTTGTTTAGTATTGTATGAACATATCTTAATACATTAAATTTCATCCTAATGTTGATTAATTTAATCTTAATTCCAAGCAAATGGGGCTTTTTACAGATGGAACCCCAGGTCATCTGGAACATATTCTAGAGTGAACATCTCTTTTTTGCAAAGCGTCAAATATTACAAAAACTCTTGGGTACAATTATACACAAACAGAACATCTAGTGTTAAATGAATGTTCTTCATATTCGCAGAAGCGATATAGGAATAACTGTTTTCTGTTTTTGTTGGACCACGCTGTGTGTATCAAACTGACTTAGTTGAATGAGTGGTTTAAATACTATGCACATTTATTTTCTAAATTTATGAGTAAATTAGGTGATAGATATCAATTTTTTCATTAATCTCCTTTTTTTCATTGAAATACTGTTTAGTTTTTTCATACGAAATCCCGTATCTGGCCTTAGTTTTTATTTCCTATATTTTTGTGTTTTCACAATTTTATTATTTATTTTTATATATTTTTACGTTACAGACCTGGAAAGAAGAATTCGTTTACGGTCAAAATTCTTCGGTAATGGAAGGTAAGTGCAATTTTTCAGAAAATCAGAATATTTTCCTAAATGTAACGAATGAAAGCACGGAACTGATATTAGAACTTGACTGTCAAAATCTCCTTGAACTATCAAATTACTTTGAATAGACTTTATCTTAATTTTTATTATAGCATGTCAAGTTGGAAATATGATTATATTCTTTCCAAAAATTTCTTTTTAGACTAATTATTTATGTTTAACACTTTTGATGCCACGATCGTTTTTTTTAATTTTACCATTCCGTGCCAAGGTGAAAACGAGAGAGTTCTCTCCTATTTATTCTCTTTCATATTTAGTTTTTAATTGATCGGGAAAGGGGACGCATGCGTATCTTGTCGGAATTGCTCTCTCATGCTAAATTTTCTTGGAGCCCTATCAATATTCAATAATACAACAAATATTTCGAATATATTTATCTACATTGCGTGACATTCAAAATAAAATAGAATGTTATCGTGCATTCAGATATAGTTTACATTACATAGCCACATATTCAATCGATAATATAACTGGATGATTTGAATGTCTTTCTATGGACACTTTCGCAACGATTGTATGTAAGCCATTCAAATTTTATAGCCTAATATATTTGATTTTTTGTAGCTTTGACTACGTCGCTACGTCAACCTGACATTCTCGTCGGCGAAATGCTTCGTCACGTCACGCACGATATTACGTTTATCACGCAGGCACAACAGAGCGTATCGATATTTGCAAACACGTATCGCAGAGATGTTATCATTCAAATTGTCCGTGCAAGATCATTTTTTAACCCGATGTTACGTATTATATGTGTGTAGCGAGCGTTAAATTTGACTGTCAGCTCAAGCCCCATAAACTTGTGTCAGCACCAAAAGGACATAAACCAAATACTGGTTTATCAGTACATAACAGAACAATAAAGAATATGAGACCATAATGGACGTCCTATCATGTTGTACAACTTAACATAATTCACAAGGCGGTAGGAGTTGCAGGCTGCTTGCATGAAAATCTGCCTTCTCGATTAGGGATAGCTGAAGTCACTTACTTTCTTTAATCCAAAAAATAAAGATTGCCAAGTCCTAGTGAATCTTACAAGAAAAATTCTATAATTTTTATATACAGATTTGTATAGTAAGCGATAACGAGATTGCTACATACTGATACAACGAGAATCGAATAACACCGAAACATGTGTAATACATTTCAGGTGCGTTTGTATCACAGTATTACTCTTGAGTTTTCGTCAGGCGCTTCCAGATTTGATTTTTCAGTCAGTAAACGATGAAATTCGAAGTCTATACTTGCTTAGGCTAACATTTCATACAATCTGATATTTTTTGCAAGTTGATCTTTGAACAAATATTGGCGTGCAAACGAACCATTCCCAAGTGTAATTCCTACATTCATTTTACGCATCCGGTGTTTCAAAGATAGGGTTAAAGTTTTATCGAATCTCGTCAGTTGATTTCCTGTTGTGCACGTAAACACACGATTTTCCGTAATTGTTATCTTACGCAATTTGCGACGCAACTCGTCTCGACTGCACGTAGTCCCGTCTTCGTGACGTCAGTCACGTAATCGCTATTGCGAAGCTACGTAATCGGTACGTCATGGCCGCTTATTGAACTTGTTTATCCGACACAAAAATGCAGGATTGCATATTTTGCTATAATTATGGTTATACAATAGCTACGGAAGTAATTCAAGTATCAGCTGAAAGCATACGAGAAGTTCTGTGTTATTGGTAATATATTTCCCACAAAAAAAATATATGTCGGATCATATCTCACTGACAAGTAGAAAAAAATATGTTCCGACTAAAATCAATTTCTCATTTTTTGGCAAACTTTATTCCAAACCGTAACATTTTACCTCGCAAGACGACAAAATTTGCTTTCGTTTTAGATGTCCGTCAATTCGTTACCCAAAATTGTTAAAAAGTTATAAACGTTCAAAAATACCAAAATTTCGAATTATTTTATCGTCCTGCCGATAGAGAGAGCAAATTCGCTCAAAGACGTCAGGGATCAAAAAGTAAAACATTTTATGAAACATTTACTTATGATATGCGCAACTTGTACTCTGTTTTTTAAACATTTTGAATAGATTATCATGCATGAATTACAATAATGCTAAACATGCATATACCGTATATGCTCGCGAATAGGCCGAGTTTAAAACTCAAAAAAAAAGTTGCCAAACTAAGGGACCGTATTATTCACGCATAACTCAGATTGCACCAAAAAATCGGCTCATTCGCGCATGAGAATTTGATCACGCAAGGAGATGATATTATGCTGACTTGCCGGTAATTCCAAAAGCTTCAAACCATACCAAGTTCTCACGATAAAAAACGTGCACGCACACATACAATCGCATGTGAAGGTGGATTGTCTTATCATACAGCTGATGGCTTGTACAGTCTGTGATTGGTTGTTTAGCACGTGACGCTTGCACAGTCTGTGATTGGTTTGTTTTCGCTTGCTTGTGCAACAGTGTCGATTCACGGCCAGTTGTTTCGTGGTGAAAACGTTATTATTTGGTGCGCTATCGCCATAGAGGCAATTAACAGCGCGCGACTTTTGATCACCTTTACGATATGTTATCCGTTAAGGGGCGGTGATAAGGACTCTTATCGAAATTAACCGTGTTGTGGACGATCAAAGGAAAAGTTTTATGCTGACTCAGGGACTCTCTTAAACTTTCGACAACAATCCCTTCTATTAATACAAATCACGACGCAAGCAATATAGACTTTATTTAACAAGTAAGAGTTACGGGTAATAATCCATTTATGGCCCTCGCTAACATGCAGAAACGATAAACGTGAGAAATGTTTGCGATACAGTAATTTTGTTCTTTTTCTACGTTTTTCTTGAGGCGTCTGGCGTGTAACGATTCGTAGGACCGGCTTATGTGCGTTTTTTTATAAATTGTCGCTTTAGGGTCGTTTTTAGGGAGTCGGCCTATTCGCGAGATAGGCGTAATTTCGAGAAAATACGGTACAAGTATTCGAATTCTTTCCCGGTTTAGCACTGTTGGACTGCGTCATGTTCTTCTACATTTTCGTAACATGCTTGATAATATGATCTCTCACACCTTTCAATCAATTCACCGAAAAAAGTTGAAACCAGGTGTGTTGGCGTCAATCGGACTCATACAAATTTTTGATCATTATTTGCAGTTAATATGTACATCGGCCATGCTAACCAAGTTGAAAATTTACTTAATGGCAGACGCTCCTTTCATCGTGGTATTTTTTGAATAACGCGATTACCTGACGACGTCATTCTTTCCCCTCAACTTGGCAACAAGAGAGAGAGAGAGAAGACAAAAAGATGGCTAATACATGAACTCGAACTTATTCTATTTATTAAACTTTTTCTTTTTTGAATGACGTATAGATACGTCAATGGCACGGAGCGGTTAGTGCCAAATGACATATATATACGTCCTTGGCATCGAAAGTGTTAAAATGATCAAAAATTTAGTTTACTAGAAACATATTTTAAAATCATAATTATTTTTTCTGCTTTAAATTTATACTATTTTTAGTATAGCATGCTAAGTTGGAAAATGTTTTTGCATTACCAGCTTTAGGTAGTGATATGAACATCTGTAGTGATTTACTTCGTCCACGAGATGATGTTTTTATCGCTTCATGTCAAAATACTGTCGATCTTCAAGAGACGTCAGAATTTTTATGCGACGAATCGAATCCTATACCTGACTATGACTTAGTGTGCCTTTACCAAGCAGCTAAAATGATTAACGAGTCAGCATTTCGAGAACATGACGTGAGTAATGGGTTAATATTATCACTTCAATGAGCTACTGGAGTTGTGAATATTGGAACTTTCCCATATCAGCATACTTTTCTGAATTTGAACCCAAGATCTATAATCTGTGACGCTGACACAGTTAAGTTTAACGCTTTACCGAATTGGCTATTGTACCGCTCTGAGAGTCAATAGATGAAGTCTTAATCAAAATTCCTTCAAATCAGAATTGAAATGTTATTACTTCTTATTGGGGAGATGTCATTAAATGGTTCATGTTTATTTGAAGCCACAGCACTACTGCAAAGATTTGAAAAATTGTTATGTTTGACTATGTGAAAGTATCTGATAAAAATGTGTAATATATTTCCAATTCATTGTAAATATTTGCTTGTTATACCCTTCTCTTCAAGATATCTACTTGTAATTGTGGACTTGTAAAACAAGGACCTGAAGATGAAGAATTAAAAATGGAAAAACCTTGCCCAGAAGCTACTTGTGAGGAATCAACTGTTCAAGATAAACAAATATTCTGTGAAAAATACGGCGCAAAATATCAGGAGTTTAAATATACATACATGTTCAGTCACTTTTGTCTTGGAATTCGAAAATCTGGCGAATCTGGTATAGGTAGTCTCTTTTTTTTCTTATATTGAAAATTGTTTATTATACTTACTTTGACATGACTGCTGGTGAGCGTTAATAAGAACACACATGCCATCTCACATGTTCTCAGGTTCAAATCTTGTGATATGTTAATATGCGAGAAAGGATTGCTGGGCTTCTCACTATTTCAGGGGTGGGCACCGCGTGGGCACACCGCGACTTTTTGTGCGGCTCTTCTCGCTAACATAAATAATTTACAAAATTTTTAACTAAGAGAAAAACTTTAATGTAAACTTTTTTAATTTATTTAAAAGTTGTAAAGAAGTTTTCGTCAATGATTAAGACAAATTATGTTTTAGTATGAAAATCGCTGTAGCGTTGAATTTTGAATTTAAGTCGGTCAAGTCAGCAACTCTTCCGTCACAATAGTCAATGTTTATTGATGCGTCGGCGGTATTGCAGCTTGATTGCGGTTAGTTAGTCTAAGTTACTGTGCGATATGTCATCAATTAGGAAACTAAAGTACGAAGATAAAAACAGTTGTCAAGTCATAAGAAGAATACAAATTTACCAGTCAGAAGAATAAACCTTTGTGTTTAATCTGCCATAAGCTACTAAGTCAGAAAAAAAGTCAGCAATGTTAAACGGCACCATGAAACGAATCATGAAAACTTCTTACGAGACTACCCTCGTAAATCAGCTATAAGGAAACACAAATTACATGAGCTCAAATTGTGCATATATTTGAGCATAGCTGTCTTGTTTATCTATTTATTGCGGCTCTTTTAAAGTTCTGACTTGCATAATGCGGCTCTTATACTAAAAAATTGTGCCCACCCCTGCACTATTTCATAGTGTTTCCCATACATGCTACTGCTTTCAGCTTTCTCTACCATCAGCCATGCATTTTAAATAAATAACTGGGTGACTATTCCCATACCCGATATGAACTGTTGACAGGATAAGAAACTGAGGTCCATCATATACGCCCGATAGGTGTGGCGCTCCTGCTTCCTTAGCAATACGCTCGCCAATGCAATTCTGATTACCTTGTGTGGGTTCGCAGGTTCAAATCACATGTGGTGTTAATAGTGTACAAGAGGATTGCTGCACTCCTCGCTGCCATATTGGTGGTCCACGTAATCACTGGTCGGTTACGGCTTCCTCCACCATCAAGTCCATGCAAAACAAGTAATTGGCCAACTAATTTCATACCCAACATGGACTGGTAACCGAACGAGAGGACACGGTTTGCCTTATGGTTAAGCTGTCTTATTGGCTTTCTTCTCTTCCAGAATAAATATATAAATCCTATCTTATGATTACCATAAGTCGTCTTCCCCAGGATCTCATGCTATCATATATTTGGTCGTTTATTTTTTTGATATTTGTTAATTTTACATCTCCATTTACCATTTCTAAGGTGAATATGATAATGGTTTGGGTACCGTAGTGTGTGTATTAGGTTGGGTTCAGTCCATAATTTTATTCCAATTTTCCTTATTTTAGTTCTATTATGAGTTCGGGGACTGCCTTTGTTATCCAAGTGAATATCCCCCTGCCCATAGGTTACAGTTTCTTTACACAACTTGATGCAAAGTAGGCGAACAAAATTAGTTACCTCCATATCAGTCCAATATGTATTTAATTCTTGAAATCACATCTTGTTTTCAGTTATGGAAATGTCATGTGATGCACCAGTCACTGAAAAAATCTGTGTAAAAAGAGCAAGATTCACTTGCTCTTATCCTGTTGATAAAATTAATAAAGGATATAGAAAACTACCGGATGGGATCGAGTCTGGCAATGATACGGTCAGAATGATTGAATTTTATTTTAGATTTTTGTTTTAACCAATGTTATCCATGTTTACCCAGCAACTGAAAGAAAGGGTCTTCGCCAAAAGTAGGCAGTCAATAATTTGTCAATTTTCAAAGATGCAATTACATGGTAACTTGTTAAGTGAAAAATATAAAACTACCATCGAAAGTAATATCACTCGGTAAAACACTCAATATTATGCAGCAAACTTAGATCAACAAGTTGGACTCATTTTTCATTTTGGTGGTAAAAGCTAAACAAAAGTAATATTGATAAAAAATTTGTCTTGACTTGGATAGCAACCATTGCACTCACTTTAGTACTAACTATAGTCAAGTAACCATGGAAACAATTTTTCATCTTCCACTGGCATGTTTTGTATGTCACTTTTATTTTTATTTTAGATTGAACCTTTTCTCTATGGTAGCTCAGTATCATATGTATGTGAGCAAGGTTATCGATTTCAAAGTGGTGGAGCAAGTAAATTAATAACTTGTAGAAATGATGGTTCATGGAGCAGTTCTCCAAGGTATTCATAAAAGCTTTTTTCCCTGCGTTATCTTCATCACATATTGTGTGGGGGAATTAGCTTTTTTGTCCTATTTTTAAAAATTTTAATACATATTATGTGGAGTGTAATGCTGAAGTTTCATATTATCGTATTTATAGATATCTTGTTTGGCAGTATTTCGTTGTACTCACTCAAAAATAAATATTTTTGAAAGCCCTTTGCTATGTATATACATGACAACTCCAGTAAATGCCATTTTAGCGGAGGTTCATATAAAACAGTGAACTGTTACTATTACTAGCCATTTAGCGAAATCGTTATCGGATTGATATTTTGAATATAAATTTTAACAAGGTTTCGTTAAATTCTTAAAGGTGAATGAGAATAAAATCATGATTCGTAAGGGAAAAAAAACAAAAATACTTTCTGGATCTTTCTCGGATTCTTTTGGGAATTGAATTTCCCGCGTCAGCAAAAATTATTTTTATCATAATATCTCATCTTCTATTTGTATTCAATGTACATAGAGAAAACTCGATCATGACAACATTGGCGATTTATTCTTGAATATTTTTCACAAAAATTGTACATTTTCCAGTTCTTTATTAAAATTCATTCAGGTTACTATCATGTGAGCCACTAACTTGCTCTCGGCCTGTTGATCCAGCCCATGCATTGCCATTATCTTTACCTAAGGTGAGTGAGCTCTAATTTTATTTAAAAAATGGAAAAATCAATAATGCAAATCTATCTCAAAAGCTATAAGCTTTTCATTGGAAATGTAATTACACTTTGCACACAGTGTGTGCCAATGTATGAATTGAATAACTGAGTTGTTGTTAGTAGGACGGAAAATGATTTTCTTTTTTGATAAACAACCTTATTCAGACAATGCTTCTTTTTCTTAAATCTTAACCCTTTACACACAGGATTTACTGGAAGTTATTATCAAGACTAAAATTAAAGTGACATGTGAACTTGGTTATGTCGTGGCACCCGGTATTAGTTCAAGGGTTAGTATCTGCGATAATGATGGCACATGGCACCCTCCTGTGGCTCAATGTAATCCAACAAATTGTGGAATGCCTCCTTATATAAGAGATACTATGGTTGTTGGAGTTACCTTTGCGATCCATAACACTATATCATACAAGTGAGCAAAGTTTTTTCTAATGTTAGAATAAATGTAGCTCTGTGAAATAGTTTGTGTCAATTTAGAAGGATAGGATTTACATATTTATCCCGGGGGAGAGGAAAGCCGATGAGGCGGCTTATCCATATGGCGAACCACGGCCTCTCGTCCGGTTACCATTCCAAGTCGGGTATGGGATTAGTTTTACTGTATTGTTTGTTTTCGGAAGCATGGACTTGGTGGTGGCGGAAGCCGTAACCGACCAGCGGTTACGTGAACCACCCAACGACGACGAGGAGTCCAGCAATCCTCTCGCACATAACCATCCCTGCATGGGATTCGAACCTGCGAACCCACGCAGAGTAATTAGAGGTGCGGTTGCGAGCGTATTCCTAACGCTTAGCCCGTTGAGCCACACCGCCACCGCTGGTATTTTTACTCTACTTATGTTTTATTGGGTGTAGTTCAAAGGTCAAATGAATCGACCGCTCAGATTTTTGAGGTTGTTGATTCAAGTCAATAAAATTTAGTTTTTCAAACAGCATTGTATGCGTGAAAGAGTAAACTGAAAGGTAGTGTCTAATTTTCGCATACCTCAAAAATTATTTTGCGAGACTTACCTTGGTTCATGCACCTTCGCAAGGGAGAAAAAGGGCAGCTTGAAGGATCAGGAGCTTGCATTATTATGTCATAAATGTTGTAACAGCATTGTTGCCAGCTACCAATACTGTAGTACTTCAGATATTGTCAGATCGAATTAAAGTCGGTTTTATTATCAATTTTGATCTCTGACATGTTATTGTTTTTTCTTATTTAATCATGCCCTGACAGGTCACTGGAAAAAAAGGGTGGGTCATTGGTTTGCTATCCCTCATCTGTACCATAGACTCTTTCGACCAGATTTCTTAAAATTCCATTTCTTGATACAGATGTGTTTTTGGAATGCATTTTGAAGACAGTGATGGTAAGAGATATAATGAAAGCATCCATACATGCAGTTCATCGGGACAATGGTTTCCAACACCATATAATCTGGAATGTATATCTACCATTTGTCCATCTGTTGAAAACGTTATTTCAACTCGAGGAAAAGGGTTCGTTCAACTTGTTTATATTGATTGTTAGAATCTACAATGTATATTTGTAAGTCTTGCGATCTTCGACATTTTTTATTCATTCTTCTCAAACTTGTTTATATAACTTATAAAAACTTCTTTGCAATCACTTGAGTCGAATTACAATAGAAATAAGAATAACATTCTGCTTTTTTTTTTAAAGCAAGATCTACTTGTCTTCTAGATATCAGTATTCCTATATCAAATATTTATCAAATATTGTCCACATATGAATAAACATTGCAAAATCATTTTTTCATACTGTAGCGTTGGTCAAACCATAACCATAGGTTGTAAAAAAGGAGATTCATTGTATTATAATGGACATGCTCTCAAAGAAAAAAAGGTTTTTACTGTTTGCGGTCCTGATGGAAAGTAAGAGACTTTTTTCAAGTATAATAAGTAACTAGTTTACTCCATATTAATGATTTGTGTAATGTACGCCTGAGAGTTGTATACTGACTGAATGCCTGCTTGTCTCTCATTAAAGAAAACTTTTTTTACCTAATTTGCTTATTTATTTTGTATGAACATTTTTTTTACCCCAATCCACAGTTATACGAAAACCATGTAACTTGTTTTTATATGTCATATATTTTGATAAATCATTTATGAGCTACCATTACCAACAAAGTTGATGAATTTGTTTCTAGGTGGGTTCCATCAGTTGAAGGCCTTAAATGTTACTTTACTGAATGTCCATTGCCAGATGAAATAGCAAATGCAAGATATATATCATGGAATTCCCCAGATGATACTGAATATGAGAAACCTTATCTTGGTGCTGTGGCAACTTATCAATGTGCAGACGGATATTGGAATTATCCACATTTCATGTTGGTTTTATACATGGCAAAGTTTTTTTCTTCGTTCCATTTTGCCATCACAATCTTGGAATAAACTTTTTTTTGTGTTCCGTGTCAAACATGGCCCAATTTAGACAATATTCGGTATTCCATGTTCGAAGGCTACTCTACAATGTATTCGAAATAGTAGATTATTTAGTTGTTGCCATCTTGGTTGGTTTAATGGATGACCTAATGCTCCCTTCTCCCTGCCATTGTGTTTGGTGTTCTGGCTGTAAGAATACTGTAGCAATAATGAAAATGAATATATTGGGTGATTCAAACGTTTTGCCTCGAGTTGAGGAAACGTCACAGAACAAAATTTGTGAACATATGATGCAATATCCATGACCTATTCACCTAATAAAACACTTTATCCCTCACTAGTTTGCATTACACTTTATTAAGTGAATTGTCACAATTTTATTGTACAATTCTCTTTGATGCAAATTTTGATGAAATCGAAATTTTGTTCCAGAATCTACAATCTTGCCTACGAAGACCAGATCTGCATTGGAGTTAATATAACAGACCATCGTTATACATTATACACGTTTGATTTTGAATATTGTTCTGGTAACGTAACTAATACAATACTATGGAGATGGTGGCCTGAAAACGACATGCATTTACAACATATATCTTCTGGATTGTGTTTGACTTCTCTTGTACCAAAGGAAGAAATTCAAAGAAAAGGATCAGCGAATGTTGTCTTGCAACCTTGTTCCGCTGAAGATGAAAGACAGGTGAAGTTTTTAAAAGGATCATGGTCATTTATGTGAGTTAATGATGAAGCACAGGCTTTTTCTGCCAACACACAGGTGTTCTGTAAGTTTTCATTTTAATCCAAGAATCTATATATTGTTTAAATATAATCAAATGACTATTAGGGTTGCCACTATTATTAAACTTGCTGAACTTTGAAGATCATTTTGTTACTCCAGTAATAGGTTTTCTGCTCTATAAATTCATAGCTTGTACGAGTCAGGCCATGAACAAAATTAAGCTATTACATTTCTTGAGCCTCTGCAATGTTTATGGGGGGGAGGGGGGGTTCGATACACCCTGAAGGTTGAAAACTATTACTCCACCTATTAAACCAGCGGTGGGCAAGGTTTTCGGACCAGGGGCCGAAAATTTTTTCCACCTGCACTGGCGGGCCATGTAAGTGTGACATGAAAAGTTACATTTTATGAACAATATTTACAGTGTTACCTAAGAAAAAATGGAAAACAATAAGTCTTGTGCCAAAACTAAATTCAATTGCAATCTCAAAAATATCTTGAGATATTTTTATCGAAAACATCAAAATTTGGTTTTAGTTTGGTTGTGGCAGAAACCGGAAGACCAGATTTACTTACCTAACAGGCCGGATTTGGCCCGTGGGCCGTAGTTTGCCGACGTCAGCATTGGACCATCACTTTCATTTAATTCATATCGATAGGTCTGGGACTGCTACACGAGACAGGATCATCCATATTTCTTTGCATTGTATGATGAAGGAAGTGAAAAATGGCAAAACGAATCTCCTTTGACTGTTTTACGACTTGATATTCATAAGAAAACAGTTGTTGTATCCAACATTCAAGACTTAGTGTATGCTCAATGGTCAACTATATTTGGTTATGGTAATTATACACTTTTCTACTTTTATTTGAATTGAGTTAGTTTAGTTTATTTCGTAAATAGAAAAATTAATTGCATGGAAATATGGAGATTTGTATATTTTTAGACTGTTAATCATTGATTGCAATATATGATTGAATTGATTTTCATTCTATCCCAAATTTTCAACTTAGTGTAAAGCAGGGGTCACCAACCTTTCCGAAGCAGAGGGCTACTTTCCGGGTATCGACTAAGCTGAGGGCTACCAGTTCAATGCAAGCTTCTAAAAAAGTCAATTTGCTCGTTTAAGCTTGAACTATTGGTAATTACTGGTATTTAGTAAGTAGAGACACTGATGAGATTTAAGAATATTTATGAAATTATCAAGGATTATTAAAACATAATAAATAAATTACTATCAATGACACTTACATTTTTAAACTGAGTGTTTATCAAATTGATTTTAATATGATCGCTACTCTAATATTCTAGGAAACCGCAATGCATCTGTATTTTTTACAAACACCCTGCACAAGCTTAAAATAAAATACACCTAACAGTTGTACTATCTTTACAAACACATTTAAAAAATTATGAATATCTTATTTTCAACCAAGAGCAAATCAAAATCAAACAAATCTGGTCTATTACCTCGTCAGTTAGCAGGGAACGTGGCATTGCATGCTCTCCACCAGTGTGTTGTACTCTGGCGTGTAACTTGACACTGCAACTCTGAGCGAGTCTTGCAGATTTTTATCAGTGAGGCGTGTTCTTTATTTGTGCTTGGTGAGGTTCATGCCAGAAAATGTTGATTCACAAAGATAGGCTGAACCAAACACTGGTTTCGTAAAATAATATTGCTGTTTGCTTTGAATCGCGGGCTTTTACTGCTCGTAGTGCGCTGACCAGTCTCTCCACATTGTGCCGCTTTGCCAAATTTTTTTTGAAAATGCAACAACATCATAAACATTATGAAACAACAATCGCACCGCAAATGAGACACGCAGGCTGTTTTCATGATGATAAAAAACTACACCTCCCATTCATCGTGAAAATGGTAAGTTTTTTTACGTTTTTCTGCCATCTTTCTTTGCGGTCAATATTTGTTATTATTGCTGCTTCACAAATCAATTGACAAGAAAAAACGCGAGTTTGTGGAAGGTGACATCTGTGTTATGTCATAATTAAAACCGTGTTAAATGACCCTTCACATTACCAAAGTTAAATACAAATCGGGTTGATCGTTGCAATATTTAATATAGTTTCATTTCCAGTTCCCATGTAAGAGTAATTTATACAAGAATAGCAGGACTAAAGTTATTTGATGTAGCTTACTTGTAAGCGCCGTTATTGACCTTAATTTGGAACAGACCTGCTGGTGACTCATGGGGTCTTTACGGGCGACTTGGTGCCCGGGGGCAACGCGTTGGTGACCCCTGGTGTAAAGCAAGGTTCTGATGTCACCACTCATCAGACTTATATTATTTGTTCATTACACTAGGCATTACCAATTTTTTTTTCTAATCCCAATCTTTGTATAATTTGAAACTCTTCATTCCTCCTCTCTCTTTTGCGAGTATTATGCGCAAGTCTCCGTCACTATGCAAAAAATGTGATTTATTTCTTCCATCTTAAATAGATCCGTAGCTAGTGTTATGCCCAAGTCACACTACTTTTTTTGGATAGTTTATGTAATTTGTTATTTGTTCAAGAATAAGTATTATAAACAGTAATGGTAAATATTAAAGAATATTAGTAATACTACAGCGAATACAAAGCAAAATTCCTCCTCAAATCGGCAAATTTCCCAAGTAGAGAGAATTTCTCCTTGGTGCACTGCATCACACTGTTGATTAGAAAATCTGCTGACTCATACTCAACTTGTAACTCAAAACAGCAGCTGCTATATTTGACTTGACATTCGTTCTTTGGTACTCCTGTAGTGTGTGTACCCGGTTAAGGTTAAGCCATAATTTTTTTTCTTATTTTCCCTATTATAGTTCTATTACGAGTTTGGGGACTGTCTGTGTTAGTCTTGTGAATATAGCCCCTGCCCATAGGTTTCAGTCCGTTTACACAATTTGATGTAAAATAGGCGAACAAAATTAGTTACCTCCATATTGGTATACATGCTTCTGGAGCGCCCTTTCTTTTAAGTATTGAATGATAATGATTCAGAACGAATAAAATTTAATATAACAATTCAAGATATATGCAGTAGAAGGGAAACAAGACGAAATTTAGAAGTCATATGTTCACAAAGTGGAAAGTGGATTCCATCACCAAGTCAGACTGAATGTGTTCCATCAAGTTGCGTTGTTCCCATGCATAGAAAAAAGTTGGTTTTCGATGTAGAACCTACTTCGACCAACAAAGGTACCTGATACATACTCATATGCTTTTGAAAAAGGTTATTAAAGTGAAAATTTGGGTTTTTAAATGATAACTTTTTGTCGTTTCTGATATTAGACGTTTTCTTATTTGTAATCGACTCAAACTCCTGACTGACAGAATTTTTTGAGTCTGACTAGAAAAATTTTGGTCAACTCCAAAAAAAAAATATTGCAAAAGCTTCAGCACACTCTTGTTGAATTGTCTGTTAAAAATGCTTGGTCGAATTAATACATGTTTATTCCTGTTGAAGATTTCACTTCGATTGTCAATATTAGAAGTCTGACTTTTTTACTTTTTCATGTAGTACCTTCAGTTGGTTACAAAGAAACAGTCTCTGTTACTTGTATTCACGGACACAAATTTATTGGAGTTGTAGAAAAAACATCAACTGTTGTGATTACATGTGAAAATCTTGGAGAGTGGTCACCTGATATTGAAAATATAGAATGCGTTCCGACCACATGTAAACCATTCAAGGGAGTGTTGCATGCTGTAGCTTCTAAAGGTATATTGTATTGTGACTCACGATTTTTAGTAATTGAAGCAGTGCTATACAGGGTGATGCAAAATATAGAACTTCAGAATTATAGAATTTCAGTAATATCATGAGTTTTTCTTTATGTCACCCTTATTGAAGTTTGATTATACCCAACTGTATCTTGGACAAAAAACTTTTCCAGGAAAAGAAAAATTATTCTGTTCAATGCACATGTTAATATTTGCTTGAACTGTCTAGTAATTCCTATTTAAAGATAATAGATACCAACTAACACAACAGGAGCAAAATATATAGCTTCCATGAAGGCTTCTGTCTGATTGTGTTCACCTCACAAGTTACAGAGATCGCTTTTGGTCGTTCCATTTGGGAAAAATAGAATTTTAAATTTGTCTCGGTCAAAAAAAGCCAAGAATGCAGTATTATGGTGAAGCCTGGTTTATGCTTGTTGCTCGTATTTGTTATTCTCAGAGTCGACCCATCCATGATCTCTCTTTGGGTAAAACATCAACTAATTTTGCTATGAATCCAACTTTCAAGGCTCATCCTAGCCATTTGTCTACAAATTTTTTTTTACTAATCTAAACCCATAACATATCAATTCTAGTCCAGCTGCCAGAACTATGCTTCAAATTAGTTCATTGCTTTAAATTAGCTCATAGTGTTCTGTAATAAATTGGGAAAGTTTAGTTGAACTGAATAAATTGCGGCCATTCCAATTAGACTTATATCGATATGCACTTCTTACAAGTTACCGTCTAGTGCTCATTACAGCAAAAATATTTCCAGGCACAAAAGGTTGGTCATTCATGTCTGAAGTTCGAATCACTTGCCAAAAAGGAATGTGGTTCACAACATCAATGAAACGATATCAAATGATCGCATGTGGAAGAGATGGTTCATGGTCGAGGCCTCCTGAAAGTTTGACCTGTGTACCCGTTGAATGTCCGAGGGAATTTGATATACCAAAAAATGCTGCTATAAAAGCCTATCCCAAAAAATATAATTTTGGAAGTGCAGTAAGTTTGTTATCTCAAATATGATTACAAGGTGACCCCAATTAATTAAATGGGAAAAAAAATATTTAACACTTGAACTTCTGTTCGTGTTCCAGTAGTCTAGGATGCTAGGCCAAAAAGTTATGTTTCCGGAAATACTTATATGACAAATGCGAACATTTGCACTTTGTGATCATATTTTGAAAATTGCTTTCTCTTTTCATATATCTTTTTTTTACCAGTTCAAATTGGCCTGTGCTACTGGTTGGTGGTTTGGTAAAGACCAATTTTCGAAGACAGTAAGATGTAGTTATACTGGGACATGGATGCCTGATGATGCAACTTGTTCAAGAGTATTCTGCAAACAACCACCCAGTGTGCCTTTTGCTACAACTGAAGATGATTCTATAGGGAATTCACCTGTTGGGAAAAAGGTTTGTTAATGACTTTTTAGGTCTAATTTATTCTGACTTATGTTCATACACGAAATTGTAGTATTGGTACTTTTTTATTATGGACTAAATATCACTACATAGGTGCAATTTGTGACAAGTTTGTATACTATAATTTTTTGCTCTAAACTCATTTTTCTGACATACAGGTTTAAAATTTTAGATTTTTTGGTATTATATTGATTGGTTTAAAGGTATAGCGTCACATTTCGCGCTTTACGAATTTTGTTTTGTAAGTTTTTATCTAATAAAATTTAGACTTTCTCAGATGGTCAGTTCATAACAATGGTCAGAAAAAAACGATACAGTCACGTCTCCCAACCAGGGAAGGAATTGCCCCCCCATTCAGAAGTTTTGTCGTTCTTTGGCAGGAATTTTGCTTTGCGTTTTTATTTTTCCTAAATTTCCAATTTCCCATAATATTTATTTATGCACACCTATAAACTATCTAATTCTAAACTGTATGGATACGAGAGTGCAACTTGCACATAACGCCAGGGAAGAATCCATTAAATATTGAACAATTAAAGTACGGTACCCGTAGTTTATATGCATAACTAGGGAGGAATAAAGTTTGTATATTCCACTAAAATAGGTAGTTATTTTTTTTTATTCAACTCTGCCCAAAGCAAAGTCACACATACTTAAATACACTTAGAGGAACTTGAGCGGATGAATATTTTTACTGTTTTATTCTATTGGTGTTTTTTTCCAATTACGTTTTAACTATATACAGGTATTATACCAATGTGAAGATGGTCGAACATATGACGATACATCAGATTCGTTTACAATAACTTGTGGTATTGATGGCAAGTGGAAACCTGATCCTGATATTGCCGCCTGTTATTTTTCTGGATGTGATACTTCACAAGACTTAAAAACAAGAATAAAAAATGCAACTATTATCGGTATGTTGACATTCTTTACATACATACACATATACATGACAAACTCATTTTTGAAGATTTTTTGTTGTAGTTAGTAGGGCTGTCTAGAGTGCGACCCAACATGTGCTTTATTAAAAGTAGATTATACATCTAGACAGCAGCACAAATATGCTTCGTCGTGTCTATGGCAGTTTTCTTCAAACTTTTTTTATCATGACCCACTTGGCATGGCCAAATATGTTTGCGTACTCTTCGAACTAAAATAAAAATAAAGTAGAATCTATCAATACAGAGAATATTTAGAAAAAAATAAAACCAAGGTCCTTGCATATTCTTGCACAAAAGACTGAACTTTAACTCTATTTCAGCGGTGTTAGGTCTCAGTAGTGGTTCCAAATCTTTCAAATTTAATCGCTATTTTATTTTAACATAAGTCAGTGTCAAAAAAGATTTTACCACGACCTTCATTGGCTCTTTCGCAAGTGATCGCAACCCACCTTTGCGGTTTGAAGAGGCATGCGCAGTAAATTTCATTGCAGGCAAACATTAGTAATTCATCAATAAAAGGTCAAGAAAGTGTGGTGCGGTCGTTTAACAAAAATTCTAAGCACTCTTGAGTTATAGTCTGATAAAATTGTCGGTTTACTATATTGTTATTTTGTTATATTAGGCAATGGAAACGAGATAGGATCAAAAGTTTCAGTAACATGTGATGTCGGATATTTAATGCATGGTGGTTTGAAATCCAGAATTTCCATTTGTGGATATGATGCAAAATGGTTTCCACCTGTGAACGCATTACTATGTCATCCAATCAACTGTGGAATTCCTAGAACAAATAGCCAGGGAGTGGTTAAGACATTAGCAGGGTAAGCAGGGCTTCTCATTTCCAATTGAACTGTAATTTGAAGTTTGAGTAAGGTAAGACTAGTTTTTTGCGTTTGTGGCACATCGTTGATGACCTACATGCTTACAAACCTTAAAAGGCATGAAGTACACATTAACGATCACAAAATTGAGTTTTGTTTGAAAGCAGCATCTTTTTCGTGTAAGTGCGCCATGAGTTTTTTTCCTTAGTAAAATGGATGCACCACGTCACCCACATGTCTAATAAAGATCATGGACGTTCTCACATTGTACTACGTTAATCTAATCAAATAATATTATTTTGTTCATTCTTTCCATTCACACAGAACTACTTACGGTAGTGCAGCACGACTCATATGCAACAAAAATCATTTTGTTTCATATCGTGGTACTCAGTCCCTACTTTTGCAATGTAATAGCATGGGTGACTGGGTACCTGATCCTATGGCTACTGATTGTGTTCCGACATATTGTAAGAAACCTGAGACGTCAGTGCAACAGAATTTACTTAATTATGATGACAGGAAGGCAAAGGGTAATGAAAGATCGTGATTCATTGGAATTTTTTAAAGAAGGAGAATTGTTCTTTATTCTGCACAGCCTTTGAGACACGGCCATGCAACTGAAATGTTATACCAGTTAGCTATACTCATATATTCTGCTCAAATTTTTTTTCCCGTATTTCGAATACTTCTTCAAAACTTATACTTTTTTTTTTTAAAACTTGTACATCTCTGGTTTGAATACCATGAACACACCCAGGATGTAATAAATCATTTGTGATTGTAATTGAAAAATCACTTGTGATTGTATGAAAAAGTTTCATTGATTGAAGACACTTTGCACGAAAGTTTTCAAATAACATGGCTCTGTTTTCTGGTTCACCCTGCAGTACTTAATGATTGAATTGAAATTAACTTTTTTAAAATTTTCTACATTTCGTAATAATTTTTTATTTCCAGTCCCTATTGGAGCGACTGCATTTTTGACTTGTGTTGAGGGACATCAATTTTTGTTGGACGATGATCAAATCAGTATGAAATGTAATGCAACTGGGGTCTGGGACCCCCCTCCTGCTTCAAACCCATGTTTTCTATCTTCGTGTATCGATATTGCCAAATTGAGTCACGCTTATCATAAAATAATTCTTGATCCCAAACCTAAACCAGAAATCGAAGTTGAAATCTCAAATATTTCTATGTTGTCAAATGAAACTATAAATACGGTTAATTATACAACTGCTATTCCTGAAATAGTAACTACTATGAAACCTAATGATAATGATACAGCTGTTAAATATGGGACAAATGTAGAATACGAATGCAAACCTGGATTCTGGATTTCTCCTGCTCTTGTAAAGGTATGAAGTATTTTATATAAAGTTTTTGACACTTGTCATTTGATTATGATTTGTATGTACAAGTAATAAAAAAAAAAAAAAAACTTCGAATGCAAAAATGTATTCACAAAATTGCCTACTTCCAGACCTGATCTTATGCCATTATAGGTTTTACTATATTGAATTATATAATATTTCTTTTTCAATTACATTTCAGCAAAGAAGAACGTGTCTTGGTGATATTGATTATGATGTACCTAGTTGGTTAATGAAAACTTGTGTTCCAATAACTTGCACAAATCTTCCTATGTTTCCTCATGTTGATATCGTAAAAACAAAAGCTGGACAACTGGGTGTAAATACAAAGGATTCCAAGGTTGGTGTTTCAATAGTCTTGCTATACAATAACACAAATATATTTCTGTAACGTTTCATCTGAAGTTTAATTTAGTTATCCCTGAGTACAATGTAAGCTTTATTCTAGGCATTACTAAATATGACACATCTATATTTTTTCATATCTCCACAGGTTACATACAAATGTCGTTTAGGCTGGTATTTTGAAGAATTGGAGTCGGTATATGCTGATGTGACTTGTAGAGACAATGGAACATGGCATCCAGATCCTTGGAAGGTATTGATATAAGATTATAAGTTCTATTTGTGCTGTTAAACTTTGTGTATATTGAATTGTTGCTTATAGTAATTTTTCTCTAATTTTTTGTAAAACCAGAAAGAATTTTGTTTTTCTAAACTCAGTAGCTTTCTGTCTCAAAGTTGCTTGAACAGAGCCTTGTTTCGAGCCAACATGTTGAATATAACATTATTCTCAAACAATTTTCAATAAAATATAACATTTTGTATGGAATAGAGCAGTGGTTCCCAAACTGAGGGTAATTACTCCAAAAGGATGATTTGACATTTTTAGGGGGTAATTCAAACGTTCAACTGTCCTGGACAATTTGCTGCTACATCCTAATGTAGTTGGTCACACACTCATTTTTAGTTCAATTTATTGCTGTGAAGTTAGATTCTCACTGGAGACATTGAAATAAGCTCACGATTGGTGATGAACGATGATACAGAAACAGTATCACCTTCCCCACTGAGAGTAAATCAGGACGTTGTTCTTGTGTTCAAAGATTCTTATGTTCTAGTTGTATAGTTATTAAAATTTGATAAATCACACGCTAAAATTTTTACTTTATGGAAGGGAGGGATAATTTGGTAACTTGATTTAGGGTAACGATATTAAAATGTTTGGGAACCACTGGAATAGAGCAATCTAACGAAAACAGAGCTTTTAATTTATCAATAGAACCACTGGGCTTGCACGTAATTGCCAAAAATCAATTTCGTAGTTACGGTGATATCGATTATGTAATGACCCCGTGGTCGCGATATTTTTTCATACATTTAAACCTATCATAACAACCACTTGAATCCACTTGACAGATGTTAAAGACAAATTTCAAGGAGTAAATTCAAATTAATTTTATTCTGGTTTTCATCTTTTGTGTTAGCTTTGATTTTCCTTTATCACCTTCCCAAATTAACGGTCCCAATTTTATGCGATCAATTTTATCAAGCCTGCGGTGTTAATTGCAATACGGTGATAACGCACAATATAATATCGTTTTCACCCGGGAAACCAAGTTGCGCAATCGTAATTCTTTTTTGTAGATGAAATTTCACATCAAAAATTTTTCTTAAACAGGGGTGGCAACGTGTCATGCCTTCTCCCTCCTGCGAAACAAGAGAAAGAAAAACGGCTGCGACTACCGGAACTCTGACTTCTTCTTTTTATTAAACTTTCATTTTTTACAATTGAGGGAATTGACTGCTTTTAAGAGCGCTCGTTTGTCGTTTCAATCGCGAAAACGCTCGACCAATAATTATGACTTTACATAATTCGTAACATCCCCTCCGTAACTCGAAATAATTCGGTAAATCCATAAATTACGCGCAAGCCTAAGAACCACTGAATCTTTTAATAAGTAGTATTCTGAATAGAATTTTTTTTTCAGTTTTACTGCTCCAGAGTAAAATGCCCACATTTGGGACCAAGACATCTTAATGATTCTAATGCAAGAGGACGGGGTGCAATTATTGAAGTTTCTTGTATATTTGGATACAAACTTTTTAAACCTGATGTAGGAAAAACAATGGATTTGACTTGCTCACCTGAAGCAAAATGGCTGCCTGAATTTCCAGGTTAATATTTTGGTGCTACTATGTCTTGTAACCTGCTAATGTCTTGTAACCTGCTAATCGTACCAGGCTTTGCAGAATAATTTTTCAACGGATTCGAATCACTTTATTCCAGGCTATTCGCACAATTTATATACTGTATTTTACAGACCATAAGGCGCACTTATTCTCTTGTCGAATCATTGTCTAAACCTCAAACCAGTATGGTATTGCTATAAAAATTGTTGCGTCTGATAGTCCAATGCGCCTTATAAATGAATAAAATCCAATCTAAGCAATCTATTGACATTGAGCCTTATAATATGGTCTGTAAAATATGTTCTGTACAATTATTGTGGGTAACATTTCATGCTTATATGCCCTGCATTAAAATTATGGCATACTCATCCCACATTATTCTCTCATGGCGATGTCTATCGAGTGTTTTAGAAAAGTTGGCATTTTGGTCTCTTTTTTGTATCATTCAGGTGATGTATGTATTCCTGTATCTTGTGGCAATCCTAATCTTGTTCGACATGCCAGATATGAAATCTTATCCGGTACTGACTTTCAGGATGAAGCAGAATATACTTGTAAAACTGTAAGATTTTTTAGTTTGTTGATATTGTTGCGCCAACCTAGCAGTTTTAAATATTTTACAAGAAAAAAGTATCAAGTGGTGGTCCCTGTATGAAAGTGATACATTAGTACTCTAATTTAAGGATATCTCTCAAATTATATTTGTAAATCTTAGGGATGGAGTGTTAACAAAGGCAAGCAGAAATGGAAAGTGACATGTTCAGGGGAAGGAATATGGGAACCTAGTGAAGAGCAATGTGTCGCTGATGATGATTTTGATTGTTTAGCACCACCGGTAGTTCCACATGCAAAACGACTTTTACCCCCAGCCTACTTACAGTCAGAACCTGTGTATTATGAATGCCATGAAAGTGAGTTTGCCTTGTGTTTTTAGATTCTAGTTTGTCAAAATTTTAAAGTTTTTGATGAAGTCGGCAGTTGAAATCTTAGACTTATAATGGTGAATCGTATTGAAGTCAATTAAAAATTTCAACACAACCCTGCTAATCACAATAGGTTTAATTAAATGTGTATGGATGTAAGTTCATCTTTGACTAAACCTTGCCACATTTTACCTAGCATCAACTAGTAGAGATCAGATTATGGTTCAAATTGATTGTCCACCGAGAGCGTAATAAATTACATTTTTGGCAAAATTTTGGCAAAACATGTTATCATATTATATATCAGCATATACTTTTCCAGATCCTTGTTCTGTCCAATGTGTCAAACAAATGACAATTTTAAAAAACACTGTTGGTATCACAAATTTGAAGATCTTGTGAGGGTTCAAATCGATTGCCAACTAGTGGCATCATAAGTTACAATGGTACACAGGCAGTATATCGAGAGAGAAAGATTTTTTCAAATCATTTCATCTCCATAATATGCATAAGTGTATGCTTTTCCAGCGCCATTCATAATGTGTCAAAGGCCTCATTAAAAAGAACTTAAAATCCTAATGTCAAAATTATGATATGTTATGTTTGTTTGCTTCAATGTGCTGGTAAATAAGTAATATTTATGAAATATCAACAATCATATTATTCACAAAATCGTAGTATTGTGTCACTTTTACCTGCCATAGTTCTACGAGAATCCAATCTTTTGTGTTCAGATTATTGGATGGAAGGAAATATAACAACTTTTACTGCCAGATGTAAAGGACCTAGCTTTGATCCTGATCCATCAGCAGTAGTGAATTGCTTTCCTGTTACCTGCAATTATCCAATAAATTTAGATTTATCTTCAAAGCATTTGAAGGCATTAGGAAAATATGATGAACCATATTACAAAGCCGGGTAAAGAAATGAACACATACCTAAGATATATATAGTCTAAGTAGCTTGTAGCATTTTAATCGTCATCCATAACTTTGCTCAGAGATGAGTTTTGTCCACTTCTGAGTGAATGCATGTAACCGTACTTTGAGCAATTTCGCCTTAAAAGTGTAGTCACTGTATAGTTGCTTTTGGCTGATAAGTGTACCATTTCTCGTGAATTTGTCATTTTGGAATTGTCCGTATACATGTATCTCCAGTGTTATTTTTTGGATATTAGCTTAATCAAATACCAAAGTTGAAATCAAAAAGATTTATCAAATTTCTTGTTTCAGACCATGCATCATACTTCAAAAAAAAACTCAGCCCATCGTATCATTCTAATGTATTAATAATAAAAAGTGCATAATGGCTTGTCATTTGTTTTTGAATATTATCGAAATGCCTCGTTTTTGTCCTGATCTATGTTTCGATTTTAAATTCCAATATACTATAGTTCGAAACTTTAAAAACTGGCTACCTGAATGACTGTCGGATTAGAGAAAAGTTCTGCTTGTATATTTTGTTTTAAAACATTCATTAAAATTTGTGTATTTGTAATCTGCACATATCGTTTTCTTTGAACTGTTTTTTTATCCTATTCATATACTAACCTGTTTTCATTACAGTACGCAACTTAATTTCATCTGTGATGAGCACTATTGGATTGAGAACAGAACTATCCAAATCAATTCTGAATGTTTATCGAATGGAAATTGGTTTCCTGACCCAAGATATGTGGATTGTGTTCTATGTGGATGTCCACTTTTGCCAGATGTTAGTTTGTGAATATTTAGAATAGTAATTGTAGAATGGATAGTTGGTTTATGTTGCCAAGCAATGGTACCATTAGCAAGTATTTGGCTCAGCGATATGGTGTATCATGCTGAGCGCTAGGAATACCTTTGCCGCACTTTTGATTACTCTGCGAATCATGTGGGGGATAATTATGTGTGAGATGATTGCTAGACTCCTCGCTGGTTCACGTAACCACAATCGGTTGCGGCTTCCTCCGTTGCCACGTGGATGCATCTGATACAAATAGCTGGCCAACTACGGTAATCTCAAAACCTGACATGGACTCAAAAACAGTTGAGATGCCTTGGTATGCCATATGTTTTAAGTTTTATAAGTTTTCCTCTCCACAAAGTGATTACCTTCATTTCATTAAACTTCATTTTATTCTAATATGCTAAATTTTTAGATAAAAGGTGCAACATACACACGATTCGTGAATTCTATGGAGGTTGTTGTTGCGAAATTCACATGCAATGATGGTCTGATGTTTTCACCTTCTTTGTTGTCAAGAACAAAGTTCTTTACAACTATGTGCTATAACAATGTGTAAGTTTATGTCTGTGATTTATGTCATCATGGTAATTTTACTAAGGAATTCTTTGCTCTGGTAATGCCCAATGAAAAGATTGTTTTAAATCATTTGGACTCAATGGGCTCATGGTAATACCAGTGAGAAACCATGCTTTTGTCTCATTTGAGCTTATTGTGGTAATGCCAGACACCATGGTTTTCAACTCATTTAGATTTTCAATGGAATATATTGTTTAAACTCATTTGGGCTCATGGTAATACCAGTCAGAAACCATGCTTTTAATTCATTTGAGCTTATTGTGGTAGTGCCAGACACCATGGTTTTCAACTCATTTGGATTTATAATGGAAAATTTTGTTCAAAAATCATTTGGGCCTATGGTAATACCTGTCAGAAACCATGCTTTTAACTCATTTGAGCTTATTATGGTGATACCAGACACTATGGTTTTCAACTCACATATTTATAGTGGTAATACTATAGTCTTTGGTTAAATTAGCCTCATATATTGTATTACCAGATAAAGAGCATGTATGGTCTTTGATTCATTTGTCCCTTATATGAAATTACTATCAAAAATCTTGTTTCATTTCATCTAATCTTTGTAGCTATGGTAATACCAGACCATGGCAGGTAATACCAATACAACTATGGTCTTTGACTCACTTCACAATATAATGGTACTTTATTTAGAAACAATGAAACCACGTTTTTCTTTCACCTGCCAGACACTTTTATTTTATTGTAATTTCATTTGGCCTTTACTTTCCTTTCATTTTTCAAAGATGGAGCCCAAGACCTGATGATCGTACTTGTGAGCCTGTAAAATGTTCTATTCCACCAGAAATTCCATATTCATATCGTGCTGGCAAATCAATCAAATACAACGCAACGATTCATTATTATTGTTTGGATGGATACAGCTGGTCGCATGGCGAAGACGCACTTGAAATTACATGTAACGAATATTCAAATTGGAGTCCCGATCCAAAAGAATATCATTGTCAATGTAAGTTCGCCACATTATTGCTGTATTCTTGTCGGCATACTTTTTTTTAAGATCAATTTGGCATTCGACTATTTTATTTAAATTTTTTTCACCGCGACCCACTTGGCACGGCCCAATTTTTTGACCCCCAGAAACTAAAATAAAATCAAAGTAAAATTTGATAATACAGAAAAATTGAATAAAAAACTAAAACTGGTAATACTTTTAATCTCACGAAAGATCGAATCTGGCTCTTTGCGGCCCACTGGGGGCTCAAGACCCTATGGGGTTACCAATATTATTGCTTTCCTGGCATATTTTATCATGGCATGTTAATATCATTCTTATCTAGATACATAGTTCTTTATTTTTTATGGTATCACAAAATATATATTATTTTAAAAAGTGTTTGATCCTGATTTTGCAGTTATTGACTGCGGAATTCCTCTTCATATCGAAGGCAGTTACGTGCAATACGATCGAACTACTTATACTGAAGAAGCAACGTATTACTGTGCCATGGGTAAAGTGTTTGATATAAAACAACAATCAGTAAAAGTACGTTGTGAGGTAATTTTCATTACTCTCATGAAGTTTGCTCTCTTTATGGTCGAAATGAAATTTTATTTTATGTTCCTTACTAGCATAAACCTAACCTTCTTAATTTTAGAATGATGGAAGATGGACTCCATTACCAATAAATCTTGTCCGCTGTGTCAATGTCTCATGTACTTCACTTCCTATATTAAAACATGCTGTTGCAATATCTGGGGATAATTATTTTGGTTCTTATTGGACTTACAGGTGTAAAAAAGGTTAGATTGGTTTTCATTTTTTCAAAATATGCATTAGTGCAAAGTTACCTTTATCGAATTAGAACAATTAACCTAATGGCTATTGCTAATAAAACTTTGAAACTTCTTGCCAATTTTGTTTTGTTTGTTGAAGCGATGTAAGAAAAACAATATTTTCAAAATAATCTCACCTATATGCTGTGCGAGGATCATTAATAAAAAAGCATAGCTCGAAATGAGAAAATTTGATTGATTTTCATTTTTACAATAAATTAGTGTATGACTGATATGGACTAGAAATATAGTTGCCTGTACACAACCGCCCACAAACCCCCAGCATCCATATAACCTCGCATATAAGCCTCCATAAGAGTTATGTGTGTATAAGCCAAATTTTTAGTGCGACTATAGTTATATATAAGTTTATCAGCGGAAAATTCATGTAAAAAAGAAATTTTCTAAATCCAGCAAAATTTGTAAATGAAAACTGAACGGTCATGCCTGGAGAAAATGAAAATATATAAGAGTAAGAGTGAATCCAATCATAAGAATCATTTCATCATTGAAATTGAGCTGTCCAGTGGCTTGACACAAACCACACAAAAAATTATTTTTCAGTATATATATCCTTTTTCATCCAATAAATGTTTATTACCTGTAATATTTTTCAGATTTTCACATTGGAAATAGAGTAAAAAATTTCACTGTATCGTGTTCAATATCGAGGGAATGGGTTGTGGACAAAATATGTATTCCTATTGAATGTTATCGTCCACCTCCCGTTAAGAATTCTAAACTTATAAAATACAACAGAACGGTAGATGAATTTGGTGGTGTTCATGAAACTGCACAATATAAATGTAAAAATGGAACTTGGATAAGTCGAGGCTTTTATAAGGTTAGTGTAATAAGGACAATATTGAAATGATATTTCTTTGTTATCGTTTACTAGTTACTATTAACTCTTCTCATAGGTTATTTTATTACTGAATGTATGTTACTTATGGATGCCTAAAGGAATCCAATATTAAAGTAAATTTGGAATTATTTATTTTCGATATTTCTCGATTTTAGAAATTAGTTAGTATAATTTTATTAGAAAAGTTTTGCTGAAATCTTACGATGTGGGTAGAAACACCATGACACCTCGTTTGAGACTCATAAAAACCCAGGATTTCCCCCTAGCTGTTTCAGTGTAACGTGGCAATGAGAAATTTCAGAACTCCCACTTTGAAAATTCCTGGCTATACCCCTGATGTTCAGAATGTATTTGGGATGGCAAACTCATTGACTTTAGAAAGTGAAGTCTCGATTGTGATAATCAAATATTTCTTATTTTCAGTCGTTCACGCTTGATGTCACATGTTCTGATGGTTTATGGACTCCTGACCCACTACAGGCCGTGAGATGTGTCATAGTTACATGCGAGAAGTTACCAATAACAGAACCAAACGAAAATCATATTTATAAAATTAATCGTACTTTTCCTGAACGTGTTTCTAAATATAAAGCAGCTGTGGTATATGAATGTCCTCCTGGCCTGTTTTTTCGTACTTTCAAACGAAGAATTCATAAGACAATGTAAGTATTGCTGGAAATGCTACTATACATTCATGCTTTGCTTTTAAAATATATATTTAAACCACACTTTTAGCATGTTTGTTCACTCTGAACAAGTTTATGTACAAGCAGGCTGCTATATTAAAAACTATCTATTATTTTGAAGAATCGAAATTTTTCATTTTAACTGAAACTTTTTTTTAATCTCATATCAAATAAATAAATATCATTATTTTTCAAATCTTCGATAATTAATTAATTTAATTGTACCTAATTTAGGATGTAAGGCTATTTTTAAAGTATGTTATCTGGGACCAAACTGCTCAACTGAAATTTTCAATATATCTTAATTAACTTCAAATATATCCATTTTTGAAGTATGCTATTTGGGGCCGAAATTAGTCTTTTCAGTTTTTCATTAAATTAATTAAATTAATTGATTTGATTGCACCTAATTCAGGATGTAGGGTCATTTTTTAAATTTGTTATTTGAGGGCCAGAAATTTTAACTGATGTTTTGTTATTGAATATTTTCTAATTATTCTGTAATTAATTACTTTAATTGGACCTAATTTAAGATGTAAATCGAATGGTGAATGGAGCCATGGAGTACCAAAACATGACTGTGAACCTATATTTTGTCCTGACGAGATTGATGATCCTAATGCAGCTTGGATCAAACCACCTGATGCTTCTCTGGGGGCTAAGTTACAGGTCATTTATATTTAAATTCAACACTGGTTGTTTTTGTTGTTAGATCGCAGTTATTGAATCAATTTCACTTTTTCAGTACTTGAAGGAAAAAGTCGCCAGAAGACGAATATTTTTTTAAGTCTAATTCCAAATTTTGCACTGGTTTACATAATCATGGGCCATTGGAGACAAATTCTTTTATACTCTTTTAACATTTCAACTTGCTGATGTTAGTCATTGACCTTAGTGTACATATATGTTAGTATTGTTATCTATGGTTTTATTATGGGAATTTTTCATTCATTCAAAGCAGTGGTTGGCAAAATTATGTGCTAGCAGGCCAAATATGAACATTTCCGATAGCATACGGTTGATTGAATTGCCTATAAAAATCGGCACAATAAACTTTACGATGCACCAGCAAATTCCATTCCTGTGTGAGGGCCACATATCATTTGTTTGCGGGCCGCAATTTGCCGACTCATGATCAGACCCTCAATTGTAATTATAAAGTCTACTTGTCTATTGCCTTTTATGAACTAAGATTTTGAATTGCAGTATTCAAATTTTTCTCTGTTACAAACCGTTGTATTTTTCTCAGTTACAAACCGTTGTTCGTTGATCAGACCATTTTACCAATTTTTTTTATTATTTATCAGGTCAGTTGCATGTCAACTCATTGGTTCGTACCAGGTGTGAGATCAGCTACATTATCTTGTGGTGAAGATGGGAGATGGATCCCAGAGGGAAAATGTGTCCCAGTATCATGCCAGGAACCAATTATTCTTAATTCTGAATACAGATTTATTCAAGGCGGAACTAATCAAACTGATTTTTTTCCTGTTACTAGCGTCATTGAGATTATATGTGACGAAGGTATGAGTCTTTTGACGCAAGGAATATCTTAATCAAAATAATTTTTTTTCCGAATATATTTGGATTTTAAATTTTTAGTAGTTTTTAGTAATTAGCAAAATCACGGTACTACCAGAAAGTGAATTTTTAGAAAAATTTCATAATATTTGTATTTCCGAAACTATCCCAAAGCAAGATTTATTTTTCCTATTGAATATGCTTTCATCTAAGATACATATGAAATGATATTCATATTCAGACAGCTTGATAAAAGCTTTAATGAAATTCAGAATTTTTGTAATATATCGGTAATTAAAATTCTTAATAATCCAACAGCTACACAAATCCATTTTTTTAATACTTCCAACGACCAAAGTTAGATTCACTTGGACAAACAAAATTCACTACTATATGACCAATCAGTTCTATTTAAAGTAATCACATCCGCATTTAGGTTACGAGCCTCAAAGTCAAATGATTTTACAATGCGAAGCAACAGGATTATGGACGCCTCATCCAAAAAGTATTTCCTGCACTCCTGTTATGTGCCCTATGCCTTTAGGACCCCCTAGATACGGAACGGTAAATATTTTATTATTGACAAGCCAGAAGCTTATAGGATAGGATTTACATATTTATCTTGGGGAAAAAGAAAGCCGCTAAGGCTGTCAAAGCATATGGTGAACCACAGCATTTCGTACGGTTGGCAGTCCATTTCGGGTGTCGAATTAGTTATTTGTTTTCTGATGCATAAACTTGATGGTGGAGGAAGCCATAACAACCCTACAGTGGAGAGGAGTCTAGCAATCCTCTCGCACATAATTATCCCCTCTAAGATTCGAACCTACGAACCCATGTAGGGTAATCAGAGGTGCGGTGGTGAGCGTATTCCTAACGCTTAGCGTGTTGCGCCACATCTGAATATATTCTGAATTTTTTGCAGTATCAAGGAGCAAATACCTTCAATTTAACCACAAGATTACAATGCAATAGAGGATATATGATTTCTCCTGGTAATACATTCGATACTGCTACGTGTCTGGCAACGAAAATGTGGAGCAAGGACTTGACGGTGTTGCAGGTGAATATTACTCCAAAGTGAATAATAGTAATTGACTTTCTAGATCAGATTCCAATATTTTTTGTGGTGAAATCGGTGTTGCGTAGACTCATCTTATATGAATGACAGGAATCGTCTCAAACTTCCATATTCTAGACAGACTTCTTGACTTGGGAATCGAAGATAATCACGGTTTGGTGAAAGCTTCGATGACTCGGTTTGTGACTCAAATTAGACTCGTCTCATTTTGAGATTATTTATTTGTTCATTACTCAAACTCGTTCATTCAATGATCAGTGACTCGGCTCCACTCTGGGTTTAGAGATGCGTACTCGACACTGGTGGTGTAACTACACATAAGTGTGTTTGTAATTATTAGATTATTTCAATTCAATGAAGCATACTTAGGTTAGAACTGACATCATGAACTAATGAAGGTTTGGATCATAAGTATCCAACTTGACTGACTAAGAGGACAGTTGCTGCTTGTTCAGAACCTCATTAAGAGCATAGGTGTGAAACCATCTTATTAAAAAGACAATTTATTCAAATCGAAAACGTCCCACATTTAGTATGTTCATTTTTTATTTCCAAAAAGTTTTTATTTGTTCATATTCGTGGAACTTCTTATTTTCAGTGTGTTCCTATCAAATGTGAACATGAAGGAAGAGTGGACAATGGTGACGTCAAAGCAATTTCTCCACCTCCTCTGTATAATTACAGAGAGACGATTATGATATCATGCTATAGGGTAAGAATAAGTACGAGGTGTGGCTAAAAAGAAACGAGACTGACGTCACAGATTGCGCAACACGATTAACCATTGGTAATCAACACTTTTACAGTGTGGTGTAATATGTGTTCTTTGTTCAACAGCTTTTTTGACACAATATCGCAATTATTTTTGCTCTTTAGGAGCCATAGGTGAATGTGATTAATTGCTTGTTGAAAAAAAAATTGCCGTGCGAGATCTGATTGAGTTTTTTGGCGATAGGGGGTTCAATTGCAGAATGACGATTGAGCAATGAATTAACATTAAATTTTGTGTCAAACTTGGAAAAATGCATGTCAACTGGGCAACATTTAATCGTTGAGCTTTCTGCTCCTCAGTCAACAGCCTTGGCACCATTTTGGCACTCACCTTTCACAAGCCAAAAGTGTCAACCAAACTGGTGCGAACCGTTTTTTTTTGTCTTTTCCAACTTCGCAATGACGCGAATTGTTGAGCGACGGTCGCTGCGAATCAACTGCCTTTCACAACTGAACTCACAACTGATACCTTTTCGATGTTGGTATCAGTTGTGGAAGTGCAAGGCCTTCCTGACTTCGAATCATCCTCCACATCCTCCCTGCATCCCACAAATCGCTTGTGCCATTCAAAAACTCTTGTTCTGGACATGGAAGAATCTCCATAAACATCACACAATTTCTTCAAAGTCGCAGTCGCCGTTTTTCCAAGTTTGACACAAAATTTAATGTTAATTCATTGCTCAATCGTCATTCTGCAATTGAACCCCCTATCGCCAAAAAACTCAATCAGATCTCGCACGGCAATTTTTTTTTCAACAAGCAATTAATCACATTCACCTATGGCTCCTAAAGAGCAAAAATAATTGCGATATTGTGTCAAAAAAGCTGTTGAACAAAGAACACATATTACACCACACTGTAAAAGTGTTGATTACCAATGGTTAATCGTGTTGCGCAATCTGTGACGTCAGTCTCGTTTCTTTTTAGCCACACCTCGTATATTAAATGTTTTGAATTATGAATTTTGTGGATTCGCAGGTTCAAATACCCAAGGGATAGTTATGTGCGAGAGAATTGCTGGACTCCTTGCACTACTGGTGTGATTCATATAACGCATACCTGCATATTCCTATACCTGCCATAAACTGGTATCTTGAGATTAATACGTATTATCGACTTTCCTCTCTCCTGAACAAATTTGGAAATCCCACCCTAGCCCACTATAACAGGCTGATTTCTATTTTTATATTTTCTCTCTCTTTAGGGATATAAAGCTAGTGATGGAAATCGGCAGTTTTCTTTATTTTGCGGTGATGATGCAAAGTGGATTCCACCGGTAGAAAAATTGTCTTGCGATAGAATTTTGTGTCCTCGTCCTAAATTAAAACCAAATTCTAGAATACTATTGGATTCATTGGCTACTGGTCACAAGTAAGTTAGCTGCGTATTCTTTGTTTTCGTTAGTAGTAAGTAAACTCTCTGTGCTTTGGAATATTCTTGAATGAGTTTAAAATGGAATTCCACGTTTATCCAATGGCAAATGGAAACTGTTGTTTGGGTATATTTTGGGAATAACATACTTGTTTAATGTTATAGAGATGAGGAAGGCACATGTTATGAATATTCCACAGCAAACTTAAGATTAAAAAAACAACCCTGTTTGTCTTGATGAAAATCCCAAAGTAGAAGAAAAAAAATACTGAGATGGCGAAATTTTAGTTTTAACCCCCCGAAACTGATTTCATCTCATAGCTTCCGTCGTTCTGCACAGCCACTGTCTGTTTGCGGGGATATCATAAGTCGCCGAAAAACAATTTCATACACAGAAACGCATACCATATTCTGGATATAGTATGAGTGTGAGAGCTGATTTTCCACTGTGGCTGCCTCTGGCCCACCTTTCCCGAGATGGCCATGATGACCAATTTTTTCATAATTTTGATCCCTTATGTGTGAAACACTCCGAAAAAGCTGTTCCACGAAACCAGTCTAGGTTAAGATAGGAGTTAATTGTTTCGTATTCGCAGGCTTAGTTAGATGCTGGACGAAGCCCAACTAACTGTTGGTTACCCTTTCCACTCACAGTTAGCCTACCACAGAATTCGAACCTCTGATCCCATACAGGGGAGCAAGTAATGCGCAGTGATATTGTTCAACTTCAATCTTTTTTTTGCTATACTTGAAGTTGAGTTACTTTTCAGCCTCACCATAAAATGTGATCCTGTTCACTGGATTTCAATTTTTCATGATGACAACGAAACAAAAAGTTGGATTTTAACGCAAGATATTCAAGTTAATATAACTTGTTCAGAAAGGGGAATATGGGAAAAAAATTTGGACGATTTCAAATGTCTGGACACTGCTAATTTTCTACCTACAAAATATGATGCATTGGAGGATGCTATACCTTTCCAGGTGAGAAAAGAAATTGTACAAAAATTCACATTTTACGAATTGAAGAATAAGTTTATTAGTTTATTCATGTTACGGTGAACAAAAAAAATCAGAATCTAAGTTATTTGGCACATATTCTAGGGCAGTGGTTCTCAACCTTTTTTTCTTTTGTCGCCCACTTTCGTTGCACAAAAAATTCTGTGGCCCATTAACTTTCTTATGCTAAGGAAAACCTATAAGAAAAACAAAAAATTCTTTTCGCAAAGATTGGCTCTTCCACTTTAATAATTAAAATGAAAATTACCATTTAGTAGAAAGAAACATCATTATTATTCATTTCTAATTCAATCAAATTTAACTAATTTATCAATAAGTCTAATAATTTTTATTAATTAATTTGTGGCCCACCTGAAAATGTTTCTGTGGCCCAGCAGTGGGCCATGGCCCAATGTTCAAATGGCCCAAAAGGTCATATTTCCTGAAAAATACAGTACCATGAATTCAATAATCATTATTAATTAAAATGCCAAAGTTCTTCCAGGCTGTGATAATCCTGACTTACAACCAGTTTAACAGATTTTCTTATGCTTTTATAATATGATATCGTTGTATTTCTTGTTTTTTCAGACGGAATACGTTCCTGATGAAGATATTCATTGGTTGAGTAGTCGAATTCCATATGCAATATCAGGTCCAGGGGATGGATCAGAAGTAATCGGATGGATAAACCAACTTCTTGATAATGTAGAAAATTCTCAGAATCTTAAGCTTTTACAAAGACTCGCAAAGTTGATGGAATCGCGCCACACCAGAGCAAGCGTCCTGGAACATATTATCGCACATGAATTGGGAAACCTCACTCTAAATGAGTACTGTAAACAAGACGCTAACAACAGCGGAGTGGAAATTATATTCACTCTAAACCAAACTGATGAAAATTCTATGAACACTTTCTTAGACACTCATATTGAGTGTTTTAATACCACTGTGAGTGATAATCATACTCTTATCGACAATAACTCGACCGAATCAAAAAATCTGTTCATGTTTTCATCTGGAGGTATTGTGGCTGAAATTGTTTTTGAAAACGGAACAGATGAAAGTAATAACACATCTGATAATTCAAGATTATCAACATTTCGTATTCGTATTGATAATGAAACATTATCTACAAACTCAAGCAGTGAGACTAAAATGGGAAGAGCAGGTATAAAAATGCTTTAACTTGTAATTGTTTATGTTATATCACTTGTTGTTACAACCCCAATATACTACGAATTTAAGATGGGAATAGTCTGCATGCTTTGTCAGGTAGGTATAATAGGGTTGATAATATTACATTTGTATTTTCTTTTGCCCTCAACACCACATCTGAAAATAGTATTTACTTGTACTGGGACGCACGCCACAGAACCTTCGGTTACCCTGCGTTGGCTCTCAATTACGAACTTCGTGGGGAATAATTGCGTGTGAGAGGATTGCTGGACTCTCCGCTGTCATAGGGAGGTTCATACAACCGCGGGTCAACTAGCTTACTAATTCCAAATCCGATATGAACTGATACTTGGATGAGATGAATAATCTGTCTTATCGGCTTTCCTCTCCCCGAGATAAATATGTAAATTCTATCTAATTTTTGACGATAGCTTTCACCTTCATTTCCCACTAACTAAATAAAAAGTACATAAATAAAATATACGTTGCATGGTAAATTCTAATACTTTTTGCAACCCATTTACCAATTCGTATATGCCATCTATAAAACAGGAAAAGTAAAACCGAAAACAAACATCTATCCAATCTTATCATCAACAAATGAATCATGGTTGTGGGATGGTGATCCACTAACAGCATGGAAACCTGATATACATTCTACATCATGGAAGGTGAAATATTTAATTTCAATTAATTAAATAATTTAGTTATTACTGATCATTCAAATTTAATTTTCAACCTTTTCCTCTTCTCAGATTGAAATTCATTTGGGTGATGCTTACATCATTGAAGATCTTATTGTGATGTCATCGAGTGATGCTTTAACTAATATATCATTCTCTACTGATGATGGTTCCGTAGAAAGAAAAACTTATGGACCTTTTAATCTTAATCAAAAAGTTAGAGAAAGTGGTCTTATTCAAAATTTATTGTTAAAATAGCTTTTATAAAACAACATGAAATTAGATATTTTTGAATAAAAAATGTTTTGGATTTATCAGATTGTTAATTTCTTTAATAATATCGGCAATGTTTTCAGAATAAGGCTCTGAAAGAACTGTAATATGTATACAAAGTTACCGGTATATATATTTTATTTTTCAAATTATATTTCATATTTCAATAAGTCAACTTAATTGAAATATGATACAATAATCGTAAGCATGGTATTGATTGTTAATCAGTAACACACAAACATTCAATCATTTACTCATATCTTAAAATGTGTCTGTTTTTATTTTATTTCTACTACTATTTCTGATAGGTACAGCCACAATATTTGGATTTATTTGCCACAGAAACGGCTTATGGACCCATTGTTACTTTATCTGGATTTCAACCATATCCTGTTGTATTAATTGAATTTTCTTTCGATCTTCCACCTGTTATAAGAGAAATTGGATTTCATGCTGCTCTGGCAAAAAGGGCTGTGGTATGCTCGGTTTTATTTTTCACAGAATAAATTTGAAAAAATAAAGTTGCTTTTTACATTGAAAAACAAGATGAATTTCGCAAAGTTATTCAATTTGTCCCTAGTTGTTTTTTTATGGTGTAGAATCTTGTTTTTAGGTGACAACGATGGAACCATATATCCACACAGTCATTGCTATTGTTGCTGTGTTTTTGTGTTTGTTACCTCTATTGTTATATATTGATCATCAGCATAACAAGGTAGGCCTGTTCTCATATATATTATAAAAACATATCTTCACAGTTACTATCTGAAGTTTTCTTTTTTCAAGCTTCGCTGCTAGTTACATTTACTGAGCACGATTACTAAAATACTGACTTGCTTAATTTTGTAACTGTCCAAAGAAGAAATAACTACTGTGTCATTAAATAAAGTAATTTCAATTTACTCAGTAACTTCAGTCAAATCCCTGGCTTTCCTTTGACCTGGTTTGGTGGATAAAAGGGTATTTTGATGTGGTAGTTTTTTTTCAAAAAACTCAATTTATTTAGCTTTATTTGAATAGAAATGTATAAAGATTTTTTGGCAAATTTTCAAGCGAGGGAAAATTGTCATACATATCAACCTAATTTGGTGCAAATCAATATTGTGGTAACAATACTCTAAAGTTGGCACTTTAATCACAGCTTTGATGATTGAAATATCTACAATTTTTGTGTGACAATTTCTTTATGCTATACTTACTCATGCCTTCTACTAGAACATGACTAAATAAACAGAACATTGGTGTAATACTAAATGCTCTTTGTTCAATGCTATTCATGCTCAACATTCAAATCATTTAATTCCTACATTCAGAGCACTGACATTACATGGATTGGAGAAAGTACAAATGGTTTACCTTGTATTATGCAATTTTGTACAACACAAAAACCAAGGTATCTTTCATAGAAATGAATCACTTTTGAAAAAAAGTTAACTGGCAATGATAAACAATAAAATATATTTTATAGTATACAAGCGGATGTGTACCTACAAATAGTTCCACTTTCGAAGAACAGCGAAGCAAGTGCTATCATATGTTTGAGATCGTATACAACTATATTACAAAACAAAAATATCTTGGGAATATTTCTTCCTGAGTTGAATGCAGATAGAATAGCAATCAGAATTGCTTCTCTTAAGCGCCATGAGGAACCTGAAGAAGAAAATATTGAAAAATCCTGGTAAATGTATTATATTGATGTCAACTACAATGGTAATCATAACACGAATCATAATTTTTCATTTCGTCATCAGTCTGAGTTAGGTTTAGAAATAACTTACAAGTTGAATACTGTAACAGTCACAAATATAACTGTGACTGAGAATACTGTAACAAAGCCAAGGAACATGTCGTTGCACTGTCACGATCAAAACAATTTTTGCTTACTGAATTATTTCTTAAAGATTTTAACCTGCCAGCTTCATTCATTATTATTAGCAGTGTGTGCTTTAGGGCTCTTAACATTTGTGCATGTAATAGAGCAAAAAAGTCTTGTGAAAAAATAAAAATTATTCATGATTATTAAACTTCAAAAAAGTTTTGAAAGCTCCAGTTACACGAAATCTTTTCATGTTGTACACACCCCTATATTTTTTACCCACATTTAAGGCATATACTATTTTGGTTTCAAAATTCCCAGGTTATAAGCATCAATGAATTCATGTTTCAAAATCAAAATTAAATTAAATTTTTTTTCTCAAAATCGAACTATCCCGATTTCAAAATATGCAATTGTTTGAATATCTTAAACAACAATATCTTAACTACCATATTTGGTGTCGGAATTAGTATATTCAGGTTTATTATACTGACAAATACACATTTGGCAGGATTTTCAGTCAAGTTGAAGTCACATGTAATAAACAAAAGTGGTGTTCTATGAAAAATCAATATTCATTATCCACAAACTCTAGTGTAACTGTGCCACTTGTACTGGAGAATGACACAAATGACGAACATGTAAGTATATTAGGTGTAATTTTGGAATAATCCTGGTGTATCATAAGATATTTTCAAGTGTGTCACGAAATATTAATCTATTTTCTAAAAAATATTTATCATTTTTCTATTACGCATATTGTTAAGATAAAGTTGTAAAGCAATAGTTGTGTTGTAAAACACTGTAAAACAAGCTCACGTACCATATTGATTTAATGTGCATGCATGTTAAACTTTCCCTCTTTCTAATTTTTATTAAAAAAACTAAAATTTCATCCGCAATGCACCATGACCTGTATTGCAGAAAGTAATACACCTTGCATTTACAAAGCTTGCAAACATCTATGTATTGTAACCATGTTTTATACTATATTCACGACAAATTTTGTCATTATTTTGTCCACCTGTATTTTTGCAAGATATTATTGCCTTAATTTATAGCTATGCATCAATAACTTCCTTTGTTTTTCCATTTTTTGTTGTTGTTTTAGTTTGGATCTCAAAACAAATTTACGAAGCGACACTCCTTAGCGTTTTTATGTCCTGTGGATTGTTTAAGTAAGTATTTATCTCAGTATTATTGGTAGTTGTCGAATGAATTTTCAAATTTTTATAACACAAAAACGTTCGCTTCCTAACTTAGTACTTAGAATACTAAAAAGTATCAAAAAAGGAAACTTCTTTGATAGTAAACACCACTGGTTACTCGTTTCATTTTTAAAAGTTTCTACAGCAGACAAGAATGGACAGAAGATTTCACTGCTCTTTTTTATTTTATTCGTTTAATAAGGCTCAATAAAATCAATTCTATTTGTTTGTTCGTGTTAATCGTATACAATAAAATGAATGCGAGATGATTTGGAAAGAGAAGAGTGAACGAACGGCATATGTCTAAGGTGTCTTAAAATAGTAAAATACACTACATCACTAACATATACTAAACAAAATATTCTTGGTGTCCTTCAGGATATCACATGTTTCGGATGACACCCCGTCTATTTTCCATCCTCACATCTTTATCAGCTTCTATACTTATTTCGGCCATGGTTTATGATTATATTAGACCTGATGTAGTATTGTCAAAAGATTTTGAAGCGGCTGTGTGGTAATTATTATTTTTTATTTTTAAATTTTGTTATAGTCTGTCTAAATATTTAGAGATTAGAATATATTCGTTTGACAGTGTTTTATGTAGGATAGGAGAAAATAAGATTTGCATATTTATCCCAAGGAAAGAAAGCTGTCTCATTAATATAGCGAACCACGGCCTCTCATCCGGTTACCAGTCCATGTCTGGTATGGGATTAGTTAGCCAGTCATTTGTTTTCGGAAGCATTGACTTGGTAGAGGACGAAGCTGTAACCCACCAGCAGTTATGTGGACCACCCTACGGCGCGAGGAAACCAGCAATCATCTTGCACATAATTAACTCTAGCATGGGATTTGAATCTGCGAACTCACGCAGGGTAATTAAAGGTACAGTGGTGAGCATATTCCTGGCGCTCGGCACGATGTGCCACATCGGCAAGCGAGTATTTCCTAATGCTCAACAAGATTATCGTCAGCACGGGTAGACAAATCAAGTTGCAACCTTGATAATACAGTAAAATATAGTAATCCTAAGTGATTCAAGAGTCTTGCTGCACACCAACACAAATATATTTCTGTAACGTTTCGTCTAACCAAGGTCAGACTTCTTCAGACATACATAGTTCAGACGAAACGTTACAGAAATATATTTGTGTTAGTGTGCAACAAGACTCTTGAATTACTTAGGATTGTTATCTCTACTCTTGCTACAGCATCCTTGCAACAATATGAATACGGATCCACCGGCACAAAAGCATAGAAGAATAATAAGTAGTTAGTCTCGCAGAAAACAAATAATCAGCGAAAAATATATTAATATTTCCATTTTTGTATATTTAGGTTGGAAAGCGTCACAAACAATTTAATTCTGTCGATATCAGGTGGTTTATGTGGCGGAATTTTATTACTGTTCATATTGAGAATAATATTTGTATTGAGTGCAAGAGGAAACAGGAAGTTTATGTATAGTGCAAAGGTATCTTTTTCATAAACAAAATCTAAAAATTAATAATTTGAACAAATGGTAATGTTAGTGTTTTATATTATAGGGAGTTGCTACTGTTCAAGCAATACCAGGAGTGTCTCAATCTAAGCTTGGCATCACTGATACTGAGATGAAACTATTTGATGATAGAGGTATATTGTAAAACTAATCTTTATATTTATTCAGGTATTAGAATAAAAGACAAGGAAGATAGCTAACAAAATTGAAGTTATTTAATTATGTGAGAATTAAAACTATAATTAGTTTGTCTTTTTCAGATGATAGAGGTCCTGGATATCCGTTTCCGACTTACTCAACTCAGGTGATTTACTTGTTTCGTTTTTTCCAGTTTGAGCCTAACATGACATATCTGACATGAATATTGAAAGGAAATCTGAACCTAATGATTTATCAATTATTGCTCATTTATATCGGTTCTTTCAATCAGACATACTGCACTTATTCCTTGAATCAATTTTCAGGTCATGTGGAGAAGACAGCGACAATTCAGCAAAAACAAATACAAGCAATTCCCTGAAGGATGTAAAAGTGCTCCGTTAACAACTCTACATGTTGCTTTTGCCCCACAACCTTCCGCAGGCGGGTCTTCTAGTAGAATCGACAATTCTTCTGCTTATATGCCAATGACAGATGATGACAATAGCTACAAAAAATCTTTGAATAATGTGTCAAATGCGGAGAAAAAATCCCAAAGCCAATCTATAAAAAGTGTAAATTTGAGCCAAAGAGCAGATGCAATATCAAAATCAACCAATAATACTCATACGCATGACAGCAATGCTTCACAATCTTCTTCATATGAGCAATATGCAGAACCAAACTTTTTTGTTAACTTGATTAAAATGCTGTTTGGAACAGGTAAATTTTATACAGTAAAGTACGTTCGTTTTGGTGTTATGTTGTTGTTAGAATTCTCCTGTTGTTATGGAATGACCTTTGTCTTCAATTACTAGACAAATTTCTTTGAAATTTTTAGTGGTCAAAGATTGTTGTCACTAGAAGGCTGACTATTCATTACTTATTTTTATTTTAAAAATTGCTGTGGGCTCTATGAGATTTTTTTTGTTTTGTTTGCGATGACGCGATCAAAATTGGAAATTGTGCACCTTGTGGCAGTTTTGTATTCACAATAATTGTTGCAATCTGGTGGTCATTCGAAATCAAGAAGACTGCAGTACCGTATCGATACTATGATTACAAAGATAATATGATACAAAGATTAGATACACATCCCACTTCGTGTTTGCCTTCTTGTCCTTATATTAAAGCATTGCTCTCTTGGTGAACTACTCAATTACACAATGGATAATACCACTAATCGTATTTCAGGACAATCTACTACATCTGTTTCGATAATAAATGAAAATGAATCTTCATCTCAAGTTTTATCGAATGCTTCATCTACAAATAAAACTTTCCAAAATATTCCTCGTATTATCAATGTTCCTGTGATTACTAGCTCTGTTTTGCTCCACGGAAGTAAGGATGAAGTGATTGATGAAAAACCTGTTGATATTGCAGAGGTAATTAGGCCTTGAAATCGTTTCGAAATATGAAGATAATTCTGCTGAAAATGGTAATCTTAGCATCTCTCAATTACAACATATTTTTTGACTGAATGATTAGGTTGCAGTCGTTGTGTGCAAGTGATCGCCCCATTTTTTGTGCTTTTTTTGGTACTCCTGTAGTATGTGTAGCAGGTTAAGGATAATTTATTCCGATTTCCCTTATTTAGTTCTATTACAAAGTCAGGGACTGTCTGTATTAGCCAAGTAAATACACCCCCTGCCCATGAGTTTCAGTCCCCTCACTCAACTTGTAAAGTGGGGGAACAAAATAAGTTACCTCCATATTTGTACAAATACTTCTGGAGCGCCCTTTTTTCAAAGTAAGCTTGCAAGCCCTCAACTAACAGCAGAAACAATAATGGAAAGGTGATCACTGAAAGTTATATTCACCAATTTATGTTTTGTATATTATTTCTGAGACAAATGATGGTTAGATATAATGTAGTATTTGTTTTAGGAAAGAAAAAATATTTAAGGCAATTTTAAAATGTCAGTAGAATGTGACCCTTATTCTTTGAGTAGGTTATGTGTTGTTGTATCTCAGATTATGATTATGTTCAGTCTGAGATAATCAATTCATTCAGACCACATGGAGCAAAACAACAGCAGATAGCAGCAGCATTGTTACTGACACAGGAACAGTTTATCAGTATCCAGGTTCAACTAATATCAGAAACAATGTGTCTTACATACACGGATTCGTGACTATTATAACAATGGCTATGTCACTTTTACTGTCTGCATTTTGCTTATATTATTGCTACCAAGTTGTATCTTTTGCTGGTATTGATTTTAAATACATGACTGATGCTTCTTTGTCATCTGCCGTCTTGTTTTTAATTATTGGAACGTTTGTTGAAGATCTTCTAGCTTTCATCTTCTTCAATGCTAATTGGATGCAAGATGAAATCAATTTTGAAAATGAGGTGAGAAACCATTTTTAATTTTAGTCATTAAACTAGTTTGATATAAAAAATTTGACTTTTACTTAAATAATTAGTTTTTTAATCTATCATTATGAAGAAATGCTATCAAAAATTTCGATAGCATTAAATCAAAAATACTCCCATTTATTTGGGGCTAAATGGTTTTTACAATCATCATTTCTTCGAAATCAATATCATCTTCAATGAAATTAAAATAAATGCAAAATTTTTCAGATTTTTGTTATGTTTAGTTCATAATTAATTTAATGATCATTGTGATATAAAATTATAAAAAAAATTAATTTTATCAATTTTGAATTATGCTCTAATATATGTTGAGCTGATACACATCTGGCTTTTTAACGAGTCTATTTCAACCACCATTGTTAGTTAAATAGCTTAAAGGTCTTTTATTTCAAGTACCGATGTTTTTCTTACAGCCCAAAACAATGCTCCTAAAACATGTTTCACAAAAAGTGGACAAAAATGATGTTGTTGATAGTATTTCAATTATATCTGAAGAAGATGATTATTCAGGCAAGGATGATTCTTCATCTGCAACCTTGTTATCAGAAGCACGCTGGAAACGAAGGACAACCGCTTGCCAGAAATCACAGTCTTCATTTGACAAGTTTCAAATCAAAAGACCGACATCAACAACGAATCTTATTGATACAATGTCAAGGAAAAGTCTTCCGAGGAATCTCAAATGTGATATACCTGATAAGGAACTTTCTAGATTAGACTTCACAGCTCAAGCTGATCTTTCTCGTCTAGATCAACTTGGTGTTGATGAATCTGCCGACATTTTAAAATTGGATCTTCTTGATGTTTTGCCACCTGATCAAGTTGATGTCTCTTCTTCCGTTGATATTACAAATTTGCAAGTTTATGAGAAGGCTCAACGTAGTGGCGATGTGCCTAAAATTAGCACTATATGGTCAGTTATGCCAGATGATAGAATTGATAGTAAATCAACGCCTGTGGAAGAAGAAATTTTCTGGGATGCTATAGACATTCCTTTTCCACCAATCAGATCGGAGCATGGTGATTTTCGTCCAAAAATTTCTAATAAACCATATCCAAGTCAAACCATCAAACATCCAGGGCCTTTTGGTGAGGGTCAATCGTCCCACTCTTCTATTGTAGTTACGAAAAGTCACCCCAGCAGTGAGATTTCATCATATGGAATTGACAAAACTTATAAGGGTAGTGTAGTTTCCGAAGATGAGCGCATATCAAAAAGTGATGCTTCATATGATGAGTATTCATCACTAGACGGACAAGATCAAGAAAAATTATCAAGTATATATAAAAAGATCAGGGAATCCCCTGTGCGCAAAGATAGTTCAGATTCATATGAAACATATGAAAAAATGACTGAAAGTCAGAAACAGTCAGAAAGTGGTGAATCAACCTCATTCGGCCATGAGATTTCACCTGATGCTACTACTCTCAGCAGTAGAACAGATAAACAAAAGTATAGTGATATTATTAGTAAATCAGGATTAAGTAGTCAAGGTGAAACTGTATCTAAAACAACAAGCTCATCTGAAAAATCTTCCAAATTTTTAGAATCAGTTGGCAGTTCGGAGTATTCGCAGAAAGACCACTCAAGTACAAGTGAAGCTGAAAGAAGTGCAATTTATTCAATATCTCATCAAAAAGATTCTAGTAAGAGCATTTCTAAAAAAAGTGATACGCCGACATACTCACAAAATTCAACCAAATCTGAATACGATAAAACTGAAAGCGATAGAAGTGACATGAAATCGGCATCTTCAAAAAGTGAATTTATTGATCCAAAAAGTTCAGCATCATACTCAGAGATGTCTTTAAGAAAAAATACTGGTGAAAGATTGTCAAAGTCTTCAAGCTACTCAAAATCAAAGAAGTTATCAGCCACCAGTGAACTTTCTGAGCAGAAGAGTTATTCGAAATCGTATTCTGAACAGTTGCCGAAGCGTGAATCTGGAGAAAAATCCACAAAATCTCCTTCAAGTTACTCAAACATTGAGTCCGAAAAGATCTCTTCAGAGAATGATGTTGATATGAGTGAGAGTGTTTCAGAATCCGATTACGAAAAATCTGCATCAAAAAAAACTTTTGAAGCCTCATTAAAATCTACTCCGAGTTACTCAAAATCTGCATCAGAGGAGATTTCAATAGAAAGTGATTTTTTAGAGCAGAATGAATCTTCCGAGTTATATTCTGGTCAACTGACAAAAAGGAAACCGACTTCAAATTACCCGAAACTTGATACTGAAAAAATATCGAGTATGAGTCACTCTACTTCAAGTTACTCAAAATCTGTGTCAGATAATAATTCTTCTGTGAGCGACTTTGCAAAAAGTGTAAGTTTCTCGGACTCTTATGATAAACAACTAACAGAGAGAAAATCTGAAGTAAAGTCATTAGAATCGGCATCCAGTCACTCAAAACCTGGAGCTGAAAAGTCCTCTGCAGAAAGTGACCTCAATATAAGTGCAAGCATTTCAGAATCTAATTATGAGAAATCGGCACTGAGAAAACCTGATAAAACCTCATTAAAATCTACTTCAAGTTACTCAAAGTCTACATCAAGAGAAATTTCAGTGAGGAGTGACTATTTTGAGCAAAATGCTTCAAAACCATATGCTGATCAACTCACAAAAAGGAAACCTGTGAATAATTACTCAAAATTTCCAACTGAGAAGATTTCGGGTGAAAGTGACTCCACTTCAAGTTATTCAAAATCTCACTTAAGTAACACCACCTCTATGAGTGACTTTGCAAAAAGTGTAAGCTTGTCGGAATCCTATGATAAACAACTACCAGAAAAAAAATCTGAAGTAGCATCATTAGAATCTGCATCAAGTCACTCAAAATCTGAGGCCGAAAAGATTTTTGCAGAGAGTGACTTTACCAGAAGTGAAAGTGCGTCAGAATCTAATTATGAACAGTCGACAACAAGGAAACCTGATGGGACAACATTAAAATCTACTCCAAGTTACTCAAAATCTGCATCAGGGGAGATTTCAGTAGGCAGTGACATTTCTGAGAAGAGGGTGTCTTCAGAGTCTTTGTCAAACTACTCAAACCTTGCCTCAGACAATACGGCAAGTACAAGCAATATTTCTGGGCAGAGAGTTTCTTCGAAATCAGCTTCTAAAAATACAACAAAAAGGAAGTTTGATGAATCTTTATCGAACATTACTTCAAGTTACTCAAATCCCGTATCAGACGGGATTTTGGTGAGGATTGATCCTCAGGAGCAGAGTGCTTCCTCGGAAAGGACCTCTATAGTGAGTGACTTTGTTAAAAATGTAAGTTTTTCTGAATTCGATGACGAACAATCGACAAAAGTAAAGTCTGATGAATCCCTATCAAAAGCTTCTTCAAGTTACACAAAATCTATATCCAAAAGGACTTCTGCAATGAGTGACTTAAGTGGTAGTAACACTTCATCAAAGACATATTCTGAGTATGTGGCAGAAAAACGACTCGATAAAGTTTCGCCAAAACCTTCAAGTTACTCAAGATCTGCTGCTGAAAAAAGCTCTAAGCAAAGTGATATTTCTAAACAAGAAGGTTTATCAGTATCATATTCTGATCCTTCGGCTGAGATTAACATTGAACAAACTTTGTCAAAATCCTCAGGGTACTCAAGATTAGCATCCGAAAAAATTTCAACAAAGAGCAATGTTTCTAAAGAGGAAAGTTTGTCAGCATCATATTCTGAACCATCTTCTCACAAGCAATCTGATGGAATTTACGACAAACTTTCTTCAAGCTACTCAATATCAAGAAACAGTAGAGGCTTTCCCAAAAAACGTGATGCAATTTCTACAAAGTCTGAAACAGAGAAAAGTGATTTTTCCAGTCACGAAACTCCACTAAAATCCTATTTAGGACAATCAACATCTGAAAAAGATGATGAATCAAAAACAGAATTTTCTTCGGACCATACCAACTCTGTAGCTGAAAAGAGTTCTACAAAAAGTAATATTACTAACCAGCCAAGTCCATTATTATTACCACCTTCTGAAAAATCTAATATAGCTTCTGCCAAAGCTTATTCAAGTTTGTCAGAGGTATATTCTGAACAGTCTTCAATAAAGAAACCTGATAAAACTTCACATCACTCTGCCGAGAAAAGCTCTCTAGACAGTGATATTTCTAATCTAAAGAGTTCATGGAAACCGAATTCTCATCTTTCATCAGTTAACGACTCTGATGGTTCTTCATCAGAATCTTCACATTACTCAAAATTTGGTGCGAGAAAAAGGTCCTCAGTGAGTGATAGTTACGAACAGCAAATTTCGTCTGCATCATCGGATCAGTCTTCCATTAAAAACGTCTATGAATCCCCAATTCATTCAAGATCTGGAACAGAGAAAAGTTTTGTACAGAGTGACATTTCGAATCAAGGAAGTTCATTGGCTTCCTTTTCTAATCAGTTGCCATCGAAACAAGCTACACCAAAATCTTCGATTTACTCAAGATATGGATTTGAAAACATATCAAAAAACACGTCAACATATTCACATTTGCCTTCCTTGCGAGAAGATGGAAAACAATCACTTGGATCATCAAATTATTCAAAATCTGAAACTGGAAGAATTACTGAAGACGGGGATTTATTGTCGTCTAATCATCAGTTATATTCCTCCGAAAAAATGAGTGAAGAATCAAAAATGATGTCTGATACTGGACGGATAGACCTTTTCCATGAAGATCGGTCACCTGCATCTTATTCTGGTACATCTCACTCGTTGTCGGACAAAGAAAAGGGTACAAATATCGAGCAAAGTCAATCCTATTCTGATCTGTCTTTGCCTAAAAAATCTCATGCCAATTTATCTAGTTATTCAGGTTCTAGTAGCCAAAACAGTTCTCAATCTGATCATGACACATTGTCACAGTCTTATTCTGGTGTTCAGTCTGTAAAGACGAATGAAAAAGCACGCCTAAAGACTTCGAACTACTCAGTTGCTGATCCTAGGAAGTTTGATTCTTCAGGGTCTAAAACTTCAGAATCCTATTCAGAAAAGTTCTCACTAAAAAGTGATGACTCTTCGAATCATGCTGATGCTAGCACTGGTGAAATTTCTTTGCCACCATCATATTCTGCTCAACTGTCAATCAATATATCTGAAAACTCTTCACGTCTGCCTACCCATTTACCATATGATTCAAAGAAATCAAATATTGATTCTCAAAAAACTAAGTCAATTTCTCATTCCGATAAAGCATTTTCGAAAATATCTGAAAAGTCTGAGTCAGAATTATTGAATTACTCGGGTTCTCAAACTGACAAAAGTGAAGAGAATGCATCACAATATTCTGGTGTCTCTTCACTGAAAAAGCCAGATAGAATTTCAAAATCTTCCATCGATTCTGTGGCAAAGGGAAGTGAGCTTCTGAATGATGATCTTTCTAGATCATATTCCAAGTTACCTTCTGTGAGAGAGTTATCAAATTCATCATTAGGTTACTCAGAACTAAGCAGCCGTCCTGAGAAAGATAATTTTGCAGCATCCCCATTGCCTGAAAAATCTGATGCTGTTTCAACAATTAACTCAGAATCTACTTCTGCAATGGGTAGTTTGACTGACCAAACATCCAAATTTTCCTTCAAGAAGTTTTCTATACAAGCATTTGGTGAAGTCGTGTCAGGATTACTTTCGAACTTTTCAAAGTCAATGCTTCAAGAGGATACAACACCTGAGAAAAAGATTACTACATCATATTCACAGAGTTCATCAAGTCAAAGAGTTTTAGATTCTCAGGATAAAGGTAGCCACTCTGATATTGATGCTTTTTCGCAATCATTAGAAAAATCATATGAACAATTATCAAGAACAACATCATCTTATACTAGATTTGATGATGACATGAATAATGTTGATGTGCTTAGTTCTGAAATTGAAAGTAGTTCTAAGTCTTTGAATAAACTGAGTGAAGTTTTATCGGAATCACAGTGCGATAAACCTGAAAAGTTAAGATTGGATATTAGTACTAGCGACAAGGCCGACAAGCCAACTCAATACGGTATAGAACATACAGGCAGTGATGTTGTAGAAACTAGCAAAGATATAACTTCAACTAAACCCAAAGACCCAAAGAGTATTAAAGACCCTATTATAAGATCCATGGGTGAAAGTAGCTCTGTGTCACATACAAGCAAACTATTATCTGAGATATCAAGCAAAACTCCATCAGCTAAAACATATTCTCTTCTAGAAGTAGATGGATCTGTTGGGCATGATGGATATCAAAGTTCATCTGGATCATGTTCTAAAGTGAATACACCTGATGATTTATTACCAGATACTGGATTGCGCAATCAGTCACCTGAAATTGTATCTCAAAAATCACGTCTTCATCAGCCCAAACTCGACAGAGAGAAAAGTGTAAGCCCAAAAGCGGATTCTATCAGCTATACGGCAACAAGTTCCTCTCCTCCAGGCACTTCAGATAAGAAGTACAAATCTGGAGACAAATTGGCTGGAAAATCCTGTGTGGAGACATTTGATCGCTCGTCGAAGACGTCAGTGCAAGTTCCAACTAAAACTTTAAAGCGTGAACAGAACAAGTTGGATGAGTCAGTAAATGAGACAAGCTATCCAACAAATGACCTTCCACAAGAAGACGCAAATTCATTCCAGCCTATCCATCAACATCAGAAAAAGATTGCTACGTCTCACAAACCTGTTTCATCATTGAGAGTATTGCAATCAGCACAAATCGGCAGATCACATTTTGGTGATTCGACTGTTGTTGAAAGTAACAAGCGATTTGAAATTCAAGATGATGGCACTATCGATGTCCAACCACAGTCGAGGGCAGTTTCTGATATGAGTTTACTAACAACTTCTGATAAATCTAGCTTAACACATATGGATGGAAGTATTTTGGTTCAAGATAATTTGCAGAATCCATTCAATTACAAGACGCACGTTACCAAAACCAAACTACCTAAAGACCAAATTTCCGAAAAGGTCCATAGTACTTTGGAAAAACAAGCCGCTTCCATAGTTAATAAGATACTTGGGGAATCTGTCCATTTGTCTCATTTCAAGCCAGACAATGAAAGCAAGCGTATCACAATTAATGAGCAAGGTAATATCACACTAAGTAACCTCAAAGATTTACAAAAGAAACCCACTGAAAAAAATAAGGTGCAAAAGTCATATGGCAAACCAACTGTGACAAAGCAAGATAAGTCAAATGTTCGTCACCACAGAGCATCTGATCAAGTTTCAGTAATAAAAGAGGACAATAAGGCATTTGATAAAAGCTCAGAAACGATTACAGTTCAAAGTAGAGTTGAACCCATGAGAAAGACTCAGCAGAAAAAGTATGGTGATAAAGAGAAATGGAAAAAAGAAAATCTTAATGAAAGCTTAGCTAGTTCTGACACCGATTCTGAAGACGGTTTTGCTTCTGAAAGTGATTCAGATGATGTGTTCGGAAGAGGTGAAGTTGGAAAGTCTCCCTCGCCAGTGGAGCCTGACTATGAAACTCCAAATAAACGACAACGTAAAAGTTCTGTTAGCAGATTAAAATCTCAGGTTGCCTCCGAAGAAATATTTTTACCAGGTAGCACTAAATCTCAAGGTACAAGACAGAAGAAAGCAAAGATTACAAAACAAACTTCCAGGAAGGCAAGGAAGAAGAGAGGTCTTTTTAGTTGCTGTACTTGTGCTAAAAGCAGTTCAACCACAGTAGATAGCATTATGGCTGAACAGATATATAAGGATATAAAAGAATCTGCTTTTGTCACAGATTCGGACTCTTTTGCGTCATTGGGTGAAATTGGTATTTCAAAACAAAGCAGCACTCAGGCTCCACAGGACTTAATCTTAAATGATGTATCAGAAGATGATTCTGATCATGTCGTTGGTCCTACAAAAGCAGTATATCCTGGAGGACCAGCAGAACTAGATTTGATAACCTCTTTCTCTGAAAAAAGTCAAATATCAACTAAGCAATCTGATATTACTGGTACTTCGACTTCTGAATGTTCAGTAGACGACACCAGAAAATTCAAAAATTACAATTTTGAAGAAGAAGATAACGTATCCTCATTACATACTGATAGCAAAAGCAGTAAGAGCAAACATTTGGAGAAAGACTTCAAAGCTGAGTCGAAAAGGCTGATGCTTGGAATTCCTCACAAAATGAAGCAACCTCACAAGCAATCTTCATCACAGATTGTGGCAGACAAATCAACTTTGCCCACCATCAAAACTGATGACACTGTCAAATCTAAAAATGAAAAGAAAGCCAGACGTTCTGCCAAGGATCTTATTTCATTGTCATTTGTTTCTGAGCCTGTTTCTGCAACAGATGATGTCAAAACAAAATTGGATATTCCGAAAACGAAAAAATCTTCTGTTTTGGAAAAAGTACCATTGGGGACAAGGCATAGAGAAAAGTTTGATGACAAAAGTCGATCAGGAATCATTACTAACGATGAAAAATTCTTGAGTGACAAGAAGACTTTACCTGAACAACCTGACATAACTTCTATAAAAAAAACACCAAAGGAAATGATCAAAAAACATGGCAGCAAGTTTGAACATGATAAAAAGCAATCAGCCATAAGTGATAGAAAGAACTCATCTGGACAACCTGGTTATACTCCTAAGAATATTCTAGAAAAGGAAGATGATGCCCCATATGATTTTGCAAAGCAAAAATCCAAACATGACACAAAACAACTTAACACATTCGAAAAGAAAATTTCCTGTGATAGTAAGGGAATATCTGAACAACCTAAAAAAGTTGCTTCTAGTATTCAATCCCACATGTTTGAACATGATGAAATTATAAAACGACATTCGCTGAAAGGAGATCAAAAAAGTGTTAGTGTTGAATCAGCGGTTTTATCTGACAAACAAAAATTTTATGAAACATCTTCAACCTCTTCCACTGAATCAATAGTATCATATACGGATATCCAAGCAAACCAGCCTCCTGAGCCGTCGAAGCCGAGTTATAAAGAGATACCACAAATTGTTGATTCTGAAGATGAGAATGGAAGTGTAGACGAGAAACCACTTGACACATCTGTAGTGCAGAAAACATCTCCAATGATCAAGAAACAAGATAGCAAACCTAAACATGGCGCAAAACAATCTATGATGAAAACAAGTACCAGGGAAATACAAACTGATAAAAAGGACTCACATGAACAGCCTGAAAAATTAACTTATCAACAAAAACGGAAGAGTAAAAATGCTGCTGCTTTAATAAAACCATCAGAAGAAATCATGAAGAAATATAGTAGCAAATTCAAAAGTGACACAGGAGTGCCAGTTGAAGCTGATAAGGCGGTCTCACCTAAGCGATTAGGCAAAATAGCTTCCCAGCAAATTAGGAAAAAGGAAGAATATACCCAAACTGATGTCACTAAGCCACCTGTGGATATGCCTATAAAATATAGTAGCAAGTTCAAGCACGTAGCGAAACAATCCACTATCAAAACCAAGGATGGAAGACTCTCTAGTGATAGGAAGGGCTTAACTGAACGCATAGAAAAGGTTCCATCCAGAGTTCAACCCAGTGTTACTGAATCTATTGATATTGTGGAACCAGTTTTACCAGAGAGGAAATGGAAGAGTATTGACACACTGGTCGAATCTTCTGACACATCTTCAGTTTTTTCCACTGAATCTGAATCGGAGTCACCTCATCACAAAGAGATACATGAACTAGTCATTGACTCCGATGTTGATTCTGAAACTGAACTGGAGGAATCTCTTGCGACTTCTGTACCACAGAAAAAGCCACCTGAAAGACAACAAAAACGACCATCGGAAGTCACAAAGAAATATAGTGGCAAATTCGAAAGTGACACAGGAGTGCTTGTTGAAACTTATAAGGCGATCTCTCCTAAACGACTAAATAAAATTGCTTCTAATGAAATTAGGTGCAAGAAAGAATTTAGCCAATCTGATTCCACTGAGCCACCTGTAGACATGTCTAGAAGATATACTAGCAAGTTCAAGCACATAGCGAAACAATCCACTATCAAAACCAAGAATGGAAGAATCTCTAGTGATAGGATGGGCTTAACTGAAAACATGGAAAAGGTTCCATCCAGAGTTCAACCCAGTGTTACCGAATCTAGTGATATTGTTGAACCAGTTTTACCAGAGAGGAAATGGAAGAGTATTGACACATTAGTTGAATCTTCTGACGTCTCTTCAGTTTTTTCCACTGAATCTGAATCGGAATCACCTCATCACAAAGAGATACATGAACAAGTCATTGATTCCGATGACGATTCTGAAACTGAACTGGAGGAATCTCTTGCGACTTCTGTACCACAGAAAAAGTCATCTGAAAAACGACCATCAGAACAAATTATAAAGAAATATAGTGATAACCTCAAAAGTGACACAAGAGTACCTGTTGAAACTTATAAGGCTGTGTCTCCTAAATTACTAGGTAAAATTACTTCTAAGCAAATTGGAGAAAAGGAAGAACGTAGCCAATCTGATGTCACTGAGCCACCTATGCGTATACCTAGAAAATATAGTAGCAAGTTCAAGCATGTAGCGAAACAATTCACTATCAAAGCCAAGGATGGGGGAATCTCTGGCGATAGAAGGGGCTTAACTGAACAAATGGAAAAAGTGCCATCTAGAGTCAAGCACGAAGTTACTGAACCTAGTAATTTTGTGAAACCCGTTTTACCAGAAAAAGAAGGAAGAGTATTGACACATTGGTCAAATCTTATAGCCCATCTTCAGTTTTTTCCACTGAATCTGAA